GAGCGATGGATCCGTACTTTTAAAAGTCGACTATACAAATATTTCACCCACTATGGACGCCGACGCTTCGTAGATGTGGTGCAGCAGACTGTAAGAGCGTACAATAATACTGAGAATTCAGCAATTGGAAGGGCACCGAATCGAGTCAACCAGAACAACATAAAAGAAGTGTGGCATTATTTGTATTCAGGCAACGGGCGTTACCCAAAATTTAAATTGAAAGAAAAATATTCTGTTCTACTGCGTGTGGGTGACGCAGTTAAAGTCACCGCCTCGAAACTACACTTCGCTAAAGGCTATCAACCGAACTGGTCCAGTGAAGTTTTTAAAATCGTAAAAATTATCAGGAGGAATCCTACGGTTTACAAATTATCTGATCTGCAGGGAGAAGAAATTACAGGAGTTTGGTACGCTAAGGAACTGCAAAAAGTAACCGTTGGTGACGCCACCGTATTTCGCATAGAGAAAATTCTCGGTGTCAGAGGAAAAGGGCTCAATAAAAGGCTGCTCGTCAAGTGGTTAGGGTTCCCCAGTAAATTCAACTCTGAGATATACGAAAAAGACTTGATCGATCTTTCAAAACAATGAACGAACAATTTTTTATTACGATCAGCAGCGATTCTGCATGCGAGTTTAAAAATGTTAACAGACCTTCGAATTTTCGAGTACATCTCGGAAAAGTTTTGGAATTAATAGGCAAATGGCAAGTTGCTCTTCTAGAGGTCTATTATCCATCTACAATCAACAATGTGAACGCGGACGATTGCTTTTTTGAAATAAAAAAGGAAGTGAGGCCCGTTCCTCAGTCGATAACTAATGATGACGATGGCTACGATAGCCATGACGAAGAACCCAATGATGAGCATAATGTACCGGTGGTTCATCAGAGAGCGATGAGAATGTCAAGTAAAACGTACCAGTCCGAAGAAGTATTTGTTGAAAAATTAAACGAGCTGCTTCGACCAGAGTTGAGCGTCGATTTCAAAAAGAAAAATGGTGAAGAAAAATCAAAGAAGTTAATTTTTTCTTGCAGGCAGGAAGGTTTGTGCGAAAACCAAAACCTACAAGTTACTTTTTCAGACGGGCTGAAAAATATTCTGGGTCTAACGGCAAAAAAATATTTAGATTTTCGAGGACTGGTTGAAGGTGACGAGCCTTGTGACTTGAAAAGAGGATTGCCACACATGATGAGCATTTGTTCAGATCTGGTGCCGGATCAAATAGTAAATAACAGTCATGCACGGATTCTACGATTGTTTGACATTCCCAGACAAAAATATTTTCATGGACACGTAAAAAAAGAACATTTTTCTAAGTTGATATTCCTTCCTGTGGTAAAAAAATCCATCGAGCACATCCATGTGTATATAAATGATGGTAACGGTAAAGAAATATCATTTTCAGACGGACGATTGGTGCTAGTGCTTCTTTTTAGACGCGTGGGAAATGAGTGAAGATCATTACATTGCATATTATTCTGCTCAAGCAAAGGGTTTGGGTGGTTCTTACACACAAGTAAGAAACCAAAGAGGTGACGGGTTAGGTAGTTTTATTAAAGGCATATTCAGAAAAGTTTTTCCATACTTAAAAAGCGGGGCAAAAGCTGTTGGCTCGGAGCTACTTAATGCCGGTGTTGGTTTTCTGAAGGATCATTAGGGAAACGTTGACACGAAGGAAAGCATCAAAACAAGGATAAGTGAGGCCGGTAAAAATTTGTCAGATAAAACAACAAATTCCATCACCAGCATGTTGGGTTTGGGATATAAAAGAAAGAGAGCCACTCGGTCAGCTCATTCTAAGGCGAGCAAACGACGTAAGCGCAGCAGCTCCACCGCAAAGCGAAAGAGTGCAGCTAAAAAAAAGAAGAGAAGTAAAAGTAAAAAAGATATTTTCGGCAATTAAGAAAAATGACCGGAGGTGATACGGTGGAATCTTCGGTCCCTGAGTTGGATTTATTCTCTCTGCCGGCGGTTCAATCTGCAGTAACTGGTGGTGATTGGCAATGGTACAAACCAGTGCAAGCAATTTCCTCAGACGGCCCCATTACTTTTTTGGTCCCCGGCCAAGGATCCATGTACACAGATATGGGAAGGACTCTTTTGTTCCTTAAATTTAAAATAATTGACGGGACAACGAACAGCGCGTACAAGGATGACGATAAATTTTCAGTCGTGAACAACACTCTGAACTCTTTATTTTCAGACCTGCAAATAGATTTTAACCAAACGACTGTTTCATCGTCCAATCACATGTACCATTACAGAAGTTATTTAGAAAACTTGGTTAATTTTAACGACACCGCCAAGACAACGCATCTAACAAGTAGTTTGTACTACCAAGACGAGGCTGATAAGTTTGAGGATTTGAATGCAGGTCCCTTGGAAAAACGTGCTCACTTTGTAAAAGGGAGCAAAGAGGTTGAACTGATCGGCCGTCTGCATGCAGATGTTCTAAACTGTGGAAAATACTTGGTCAACGAAATTGATATTCGCTTGACACTCAATAGAAACTCGACAAATTTGGTTGTCATTGCAGCCGACGGGCTGAATCCGCGCATCGAGATCACGGATGCAACGCTACTTGTGAGAAAAGTGAGCATAAATCCGTCAATTTTGGTTGCTCATGCAAAAATTCTGGGCACGAACACTATGAAATATCACTACAAAAAAGTTGAAATGCTGAACTTTACAATTAGTGCGGGGGTTTTTCAAAAAATGCAAGAAAATATTTGCTTGGGAAAAATTCCAAACAGAATTATTTTTGGTCTGGTGAATAACAGTGCCTACTCGGGAGCGCTGAAAGAAAATTGCTTCAATTTCAAGAATTTTAATATCAGCAGCGTAACTGTGACGGTGAACGGCAGAATTGTCGGCTCTTCACCATACAAATTAAATTTTAAAAATAACGAATTCATAATGCCGTTCATTAATTCCTTCATACACACTGGACTACCACTAGGAGATGATGGATATTGTGTCGACAGGCAAGCATATCCCAATGGATTTTGCCTTTTTGCGTACGATCTGACAGCCGACTTGAGCGCGTCAGAGTCACACAAATATCCCCTCAAGAAGGAAACGTTCGTTTGGAAATAACGTTTGCAGAGGCCCTGCCCTGTGTGGCGAATTTAATAATGTACACTGAAAGCAACCAAACAATGGAGATCGACAGAAATCGCGAAATTTACTTGCAATATAAGTGATTCCGTTTTGCACTTTACAACAGTCAGGTTCGAGATGTACTGCGTGATTGACGTTCAAGGCTTTAAAGTCAATGGCCGGTTTGTGCCCAAGGAGGTGGTTTTGATGGGATCCGGTGAAAATGTAGTGGAAACTTTTGTGGTTAAACCACCATGTAATTTTGAGGAGCTCTCTGCCAGCGACCAGAAAACAGCAAACTGGGTTATTTGGAAATATCACTGCGTGGCTTGGAACACTGGAAACATATATATTCCTGAATTCGAATCCCAGTTGCAATTGTTGACCGCGAATTACCCTGTCGTCTGCACGAAAGGCAAGGAAAAAGCAAAATATTTACAAATGCTACTGCCTGACAAAAATATTGTGGACCTAACTCTCCACGGTTGTCCCAGTGTGAGGATAAAAAGCCCAGGAAATGCTTGCTCTCTTCACATCTCGAAAACTGCTCACTGCGCATACGTGTGCGTTGAAGAAATAAAAAATTGGATCAATGGAAACGGACACGTTAAAAAACTGCTTGAATCTTATCAATAGAACCACGAGTGGAAAATATCATACGGGAGTGTATGCAGCAGACCGCCTACCGAAGAAAAAATCTAGCAAACCAATGGCTATAATTGCCCACGATGAAAACCACGATAAAAAAACTGGGCATTGGACAGCCATTTTTGTTTCTCGAACTGGTAAATGTTTTTACTTTGATAGTTTCGGTCGGTCGCCGCTTAGAAAATCCCACCTCAATTTTTTAAAAAGAATGGGAAATAATTTTTCACACAATAAACGGTGCTATCAAAGTATCGTAAGCAACGTTTGTGGTGGTTACTGTTTACTCTTTTTAGCCAATAAAATGGGTTACTGTAAAAGTTTTTGTAAATTAATGACCAAGAACAGGCAGACAAATGATGATATTATAGAAAAAGCCACAATAATGCTGCACGAGCATCTAAATGCCATGCGCGAAAAATAACTACATATGTGATTGCGTTAATTCGAAATCTTCAGTCTGCAAAAACCAAGATGCAAAGGAAGACCGCGGGAGGAAAACTTCCTGCCCCTTCGTGGCAGAGAAGGCTTTTTCCTACGCAGCAAAAATTTTATCAACCAACAGCCCGCAGCGGCCAAGTGAAATTTCAACAACAGGATCTCGCTGAGGGCCCCAGCAAGTCGCAGAATGTCGAGGAAAAAAAGATCAACGCTGGCTTGATTCATCGCACCAAGTATCCACTCAACTGGAGCGCAACAAAACAAGTCATCATTGCCGCTGATCCATCGCTCGCATTTTCTCCAGTTCTTATTTTGGGTACTCCTGGAAAAATCGGCATCAAGCTTGATGTGCCCTCCATGGTAAAACTCGTCGAAACCTCGGCAGTAATCACGAAATTTTTTGAAAGCCCAGTAGAAAAGCACGGGCAGTTTGTCCATCTGGGCGACGAAAATTACGTCGAGTTCACTTATTTGTACGGAAAGCCTGTTGTCGCTTTCCGTCGAGGAGTGGCTACAGAGGAAGAAAAATATATTGGACTCAGCAAAGAAACTTGGCAAAATTTCGTCAATGGCTTGAATCTTTTCGAGCACGCAATGGAATCCTTGAGGAGTTACCAGAATGAGACCACGCGTATTTTCAACGCCCTCAGCGCTTACGTGAGTGAAAAAATTTGGTTGAGCGACCAGCCTGCAGACCAAATGTTTGTTCAAAACGCACTGCAAAACATCAAGCTAGAAGACATCGGTCTGGAGAAAAACGCCGAAGAACAGCATCCACCGGCAACATTTGATCAAGTTGGAACCTTTTTGCAGATCAAGAATTATTGTGTTCCGTGGCTTATTGGACAGAATTAAAAAATACCGTTGGAATAAAAAACAATTTTTTAAACAACAAAAAGTTTTCATTTCTATCAATCTAACCATAGTTTTAGGATATTAGAAATAGAAAAACAGAAGTTTGTTTTCAATCGTTTATTTCAAGGATTATAATCCCTAACTTGCCATCCTTCAATTTCAATGTTCGGATTCGGAGCGAGCTCTTGGGCGCCTTCAATTTCTCCCCATGGTCTTGTTAGGTATGAACCTACAGCGCGACACCTTTTGTCATACACCAAACGTAGCAGCTTAGACGTTTCTGTGGCAGAGTAAATCTGGTATTCGCTGGTTCTCTGGATTCTCCTCAAAAAATTGACTCGCACAGACTCGTCCTCATTGTCAATCAGCATTTTAAGTGTTTCAATGGAGGTCTCTTCTTGGTTGTTTGCCTTCAGCGTGATTCCCTTGATTCGACGGACTTGTTTTTTTGTTCCGTCCGCCTTCTCCACGACGTAGCTGTAGTTTTTCGCACCTCCGCTGGCGTACTCGACGATTTTTGCTCCTGCTCCGTACTCGTCGAAAATCTCATCTTTGAGTTCGCCCAAACCGCTACCAACTTTGAAAATCGGCTGGTCATCTTTTTCAACGTAAATAATGCTGTCTGTAAAAAAAGAAATTATAGCGTAAGATTATAATTTTTAGCAAAATAAATAAAATAACTCACCAGTGTCAAAATAAAGCGTGTTTTCACCAGCCATGTGAAGTAATTTGTAAAGCTGGCACCGTGCGTGCGCGGTAGTGAATGCTGCGATAACGACATTGGTGTTCCGAGACACAGCGGCTTCATCTTGGTAATTAATCAAAATCTTCTCCCCAATGTCAGCCAATAGAGAAGTAATCGACACATTAGGTGCGTTCAGTAATTGCAGAAGCTCTCGTGGTTCGCTGAGAATCGCGGTTTTTGGTTGATTTTCTCGCTGAGCAAATTTGCCCCTAAAAAATAAAAAAATATTGAAGTGCTCTGAAACCAAACAAAATTTCTTACCACAAGCTATTCAGGCATAATTTTGACAGCGTTCGCAGCACTTCGTTTTTTTCTATTCTCTCGGGGTTCAAAACTATTTTCTCAAGCCGCTCAAACTCAGCCAAGTACTGTACTTTTTCTTCTGCGCTCATGTCAGCCTTAGGCCAGCCGCTAGCTTCCTATTAAAGAAAAAAATGCTGTAGGGCTCCACAAAAATATAAGTTCCGTACTTGTTTCAGTTTTAGAAATCGGTCCACGAAAGTGTTGAATAAACCGTTGACTACGTTCGGTTGGTACTTGCAGAACTCGGGAAAATGGTATGCTTCGTATATTTCCATGATTCGATAGTGAAATTTTCTTGCCAAATCCAACTCGTTTGTGCACCAAACTCCTTCGATGGCTCTATCTTCGGGGCAATGCTTGCAGTACTCTTTATTTTTATTTTTCGCACACTTCGTGCAGAGATGAAACACTAATTTTCCGTCAATGTGGTCCGGCAGCACGGGAAACCTCAATTTTCCTGGAGCCTGCACTTTGCAGTACACCAAGCCCTTGATACTTTCTATTGGCGGGCAATTTCGACCAATATAAACTTCACCGTGACCAACGGGGTAAGACAAATACTTATTGCAGAAGCTGTAGAGCGACGTAAAATCATAATATTTGATTTTTTCACCGTGCTGCACCTTGTGATAAAGCTTGGATGCGTTAGTTCTACCACCGGCGAGTGCGGCTCGGGGCATTAGAAAACCTTTCAGCACTGTAGGATCTTCCGCCAGAATTTTTGCTATCTCTGGTTGATTTTTCAACATTCTGTTAAAGCGGCATTCATACATTACTTCGACCTTAAAATTTTTGCGCCTCAAAAACGCGTGCCTCGCAGTTGTTTTCAAACGTCTTGTGATGCCTGTGTCTGTTATTCTTGCAGTCGAAAAATCCTTCGCGGCAGCGTCAGGATAGCAGTCAGCGCAAAAATGCCAGTAACAACCACAGGCATCGTAAATTGTGATCTTGCCTGTATTTTTATCTTGACGGAAACCGTCAACTGGTGCTCCATGCACAACGATTTCTTTGCCATTACCAGCATGTAGTATATCAGAGATTCCCTGCATCTCCAGCCAGCGCATATATTTCAAACCGAACTTGCTTTGTTGTTTTGTGCGATAGCCGTTTTGCGGGATTATTCCAATGGTTTTATCTCGGTAGTCTAACCTTTTGAAGACTAAACTCGTAAGAGAGGCGATCGTAAATGTTTCTAAAAAAGGCTCAACACCGAATCCCACAAAAAACTCTCTAAACTTTAGCATTGCTTTAAGCAAAATCGTGACGTCTTGCCTGCAGAACTTGATTAACTCTGTTTGAAAATCGAAATTTTCACCATTTTGCTGCAGTCTTTTATTTTCTTCATCGTACCAAGCGAGCAATTCTGCTTTTTTCGACACAGCCATATTTTCCGCATCGTAAAACTCCAACGGTGGAAGATGAGGTTGATTATAATTGTAATTTTTCGGTTCATTACACAAGTGCGGAAAATTTCCTTTGGCCAAATCTTCACCTAGTTTTAAACACTTTGGCAATTTCGCTAAAGGATATGGGACGAATGATAAAAAATCTATCAACTTGACTTCAGTCCCGCTGTTCACATTTTGAATTTCTAACAGCAAAATTTGCATTCCACTCAAAACAATCGACTTCACTTTCCAGTCCTTGTTTGCGAATATTTCTCTTAACAAAAGACTACCGTCGAAAAATTTACTGTTATGCATCAACATAATATGCTTCATCGCTCGGCGCTTTTGTCCACCTTCCAAGTCTTTTGGTTGTCCTTTTTTATCTAGGTATTCTAAAAGGTCACGAATAACATTTTTCCCCGGCTCGTCAAAGTCAGTAAAAGTTTGATCTCGAGAGCCGCACACGTTGCACTCCGTTTCATTTTCATTATCGCGACAAAATCTGCACACACTCTGAACATTTATACAGTTGACGCGATGAACAAAGCAATTTTTTTTCACTTCCTCGTACTGAGTTGTTTCAAAATCGCACGCGCTGAGTATGACAGTTTCGTCTTGTTTTTCTAATGATTTTGGCTGTTTCGATTTTTTCAAAAAGCAAAAATGCGGATGCTTTACGTATGTGTTGCATACTCTACACAAAGAAGTGTAGCATTCGTGTGGCACGATCTTATTCTTGTTTTTATTCAGAGAGCTTTGTTTGTAGAAAAAACCACACTCGGAGCAAACATGCCTGGTTTCGCACACTCTTCGTTGCAAGTGCCCTTTGAAGCAATTTTCTGTGAAAAATTCAATGTTGCATCCGCTGCAAGTTTTCGTTTCTCTCTTTCCCGGGTCCAATTTGCAGAAACCTTCGCATTTTGCACACAATGCCCCTCTACAGTTTTTGTGCTTTTTACTGAGATAACAAGATTCGCAATAGTCACAAAATATTCTGAAACCCATCATACATGCGGGATTTTTTATCATGTCGAAGTGTTTCAATTCTCTATCATACAAGAGAAAAATCTTCTTCTTTTTCTCGTCACCGGGTTGAAAATCATTCCCAAACAGTCGACTCTCGAGCGTTCTTCCGCCGTAAACAATTATTTTGTAATCGTCACTCAAAATATCTTGCACTCGTTGTAGGATCTCAAAGTTAGATCCGTTGGGCAAAGAATCGCTTAAGCTATCAATTAGACTGTCAACTTGACGGGCAAATGAAAGCGAGCTTTGTTTACGTGCTTGAGTCCAACGTGATTTTCCAACGAGATGTCCTGCAGATAAATACACGTTGTATTCGACGCCTAATATCACAGCATACAGCATACATAGCGTTGTATTATCAACCTTTAAAATTTTGTTTTTTCTCAGGGCATTAAGTCTTTTTCCAGCTAAATTTTTTACTTTAATCACACTTTTCATTTCGCAGTATTCCCTATTATTTCGAGGTCCACGCCCCTCCATATCGGGGACATGCACAATTTCTAGCCGAAAACGATTTGAAGCTAGAAATTCTCGATTTGATTGTGTGATTCTAAATATCTGAGCAAAAATAGCTTCAGAGTCGACTTGAGATCTCTTTCGAAATGGTAAGAAAATCTCGTCCTCCTCGGGTAATGTTAAAAATCTTAGTCCCACATAGTCTTCAGGAGAGCCCACGTTTAGAACCTCGGTATTTATAAGTTGCTCCAAAACTTGCAGTAAGCCCAAGTCACTCTCCAACACTTGGTCTGATATTTTTACATCCAGACGCAAGTTATGAATTGCAAATTTTTCGTGAGTATGCTCATTTCTGCGGATAATTTCGTAAGGTTTTTGGCTCTCCGTAGTTTCGCTTTCTTCTTCTTCTTCTTCCAACTCGGACGTATTGCTTTCCTGATGCGCTTCAATAATATCGTGAACTTGTCTCAAACGTTGCCTATCTTCAACCTGTCTCTGTTGTTCGTCGCCTTCCGTAACTCCAGAGCCAACTTGCTGCTAAAATAATAATAACGCAGTTTTAGGTATTTAATTTAAAGTAATGCTCAGAGAAATTTGATTAAGCATTTATTTTTATTAAGTACAAAGCATTGCTATTTCTACCGCAAACAAACATACACAAGGTTAGATGTTAATACACTTAAAGTAATGTCGATCTATTTTGCAATCGGCTATAACTCCAGACGTCATTCAGCCTCCTTTCCCAAGTGGATAATTTATTTTCACTAAAAAATCACCTGAGTTGTTTTACAAATGAATCTAATTTTTTCTTACATTTGGACTGAACAATTTGCGAACTACTTCATTTTGCTTATGCTTTTCATCTTCCTTTCGAGTTTTAGCAAGAATGGCCGTGTAGCGCCTGTCGAAGTCGTGCACCACCTTAGGACAAGAAAGTAGATTAAGTAATTATGATGAATTGAAAATATAAAACTCACAATCCTCAACTCTGTGTAGAGGTGGCGCAAATCACTTCTCATCTCACTATTTTTAGTCTGCATGATATAATAGTTTTACAAAATATTTATAACGCAAAAATTAAACTTACGGCTGATTTCGCGAGGCCGCTGTTTTTGATTTGACGCTCCGAAAAACCAAATGCATCGGGTTTTTCAATCTCAGTGAGTTGTTCTGATTTCACACCAATTATTTTGTTTATAAGTTCCTTTAATTTTTTTCGCTTCTAAAAAATAAGCAATAAAACTCACAGAAAAAAACATTACAATCAGAATTTACTTTCTGCTGAGCCTGCTGGACCTTCATACACATAATTATGTCGTTGCCGAGTGCCGTGCCGTTGTATATTTGGTCCAGGTCAAGTAATTTCTTTGAAACATCTTCATTCACGCAAAGCAATTTGCGCAGTGGACCTTCGTAAAGGGTCGCTGCCGCAGTCTCGCAATCGTACTCGCTGCTCGGCCGTGGCACCGCTGCCTCCACCATTTTGGTTTTCTTGCCCGTTTTATTTTCCTTCACTGTGTGGCTTTTGCGTTTTGCAGCCTACATAATAATTCGAATCATTTGCAATTCATGTTTAAATAGAAACTCACTTTTTTCTGCATGCGAGCTTCACCAGTGGCACTCTGCAAATATTTTTTTTTTATTTGATCTTATATATGTTTAAATTAATATTTCAATTCATACCTCATTAAGGTTATTTCGCATTTCAGCACTGTGCTCTGCCTTTTTCTCGACAACTTGCAAAATTTCCTGAATAAGAAAGTTATTATCTTCCCTTAAATAAATTTATGTTTTACCATTGGCTGCTCCTCCATATTTTGCACTTCAGTACTTTGCCCCGCCTCTTTCGCGTCAGCTTGTAAAATTTCCTGAATAAAAAAAATATTTATTATCTACCCTGAAATTACTTTGAGTTCAACCATTGGATGCTCATCCATATTTTCACTCTCTTGGGTGCGCCCAGCGGCGTCTTCGTTATTTCTCTGCTTAGCTTTTTCACGCTGCAAGAAAATCGGTTACAAAAATAAATTTCAAACAAACATTGCTAAACTGAGAAAAAGTTGTTACTGTGCTATAAAATAGAAAAGAACTAACCATCTCCGCTATTCGCAAAGAAGCAGAAAGCTTTTCAATTAAGTCATCGCGCATTCGTGCATCTGCTTCGATGCGCATGGCAAAATCTTCTTTAGTTTGCTGAAGTTCCTCTTCAAAAGCTTTTTGAGCCTACATTTGTTTCATATTTAATTACTTAATAATTTTTAAATTAACATACCAATGATTGTTTAATTTCCAGTTTTTTGCATGAGTCGACCTTAGACGACCAGAGCAAACCGTATTTTTTTCGGTCTTCTTCAATTTTTGCTCCCGCAGACTCCAAAATTGTCTTTTTCTCAATAAGTGCGTCGATCTGCTTTTGCAATTCATTAACTTCTGTGCAATGGCTGTAAAATTTCTTGTTAAGCTCTTCGTGAGTTTCAAGAGCAGATTGGCTGTCCGCTTTTAATAATTCAAGCTTCTCGTCGAATTTTTCAATTTCCAATTTTCGAGCAGCATGAAGTCCCTTTATTTTGCGCTTTAAAATTTTATTTCCATTTTGAGTAGTAAGCATTTTCTTTTTCTTAAGCCCAAAACAGCCGTCAATTTTTAAAAATCTATTCTAAATAGAATTGAAGCATAAGAAAAGCTGGATGCTGATTGGCCGAAAAATAGATGCGTAAGAACTTATACATCTATCCAAATTCCTTATAAATCTATTTAAGAATTTGGCCGAGCCAAATTCTGGTTAATAGATTTATAAGGAAGGACCAATGGGAGAGTGGGAAATAGATTCACAAGGAGTCTGCCCAATGGTGTTCAAAAATTATGTGCGCGCGCTAACACTAGCTCAGTTCAAAACTTTTGACACGAGTCATGCTTTTATGGAAAGCAATATCAAGAGCAATAACATTATTATATTAAATTATTTTATTTTTTATCCTTCTTGGGCGAATAAAAAAAATGTTTTTAGATTTATAAAAAAAAAAAATGGACGATAAAGGTTGGATATCACGTATCACAGCTAGCAGATATTTGCTCAAATGCCAAATAAAAATATTTGGCCGCCGCGGCCAGCCCAAAAATATAAAATGAAATTTTTTTTGAGGATTCAAAATCCAAAGAAACCACTCGCTACGGGAGAAATAATTAAATTAGTAATTGTAGCTAATCACCTTTACGTAGAATTATGTTCCGAGACGCGAGACATTTGAGACAAATCCGGTGTAAAAGGTTAGATGTGATAATAAAAAATAATAAATATTAATTGAGGGTGAAAATTTCCCAAAATTAACATTCTTTAAAATCACCCAATCTGTCTGTTCCACGTTAAGTCGAATAGTGACAAGTACTAATTTAAAACGAAATAATTTCTTTTATTTCTAACAAATTTCTAATTTCGTTTTTTTAATTGATAATAATTTAATTATCTTTTTATGTAATTAATTCTGTCCCTTCACTACCAGAAAAGCTACAAAAAAGCTGAAATTCAATCGTTACTTCCATATATATCTAGAAAAATTTTAAATTGTGCCAAGAAAGGGTTGTTAAGTCCTCAAACAAACAAGCAGAGGCGGGCACATTAATTAACTAAATTATTAGGTCCATCGGCGCCGATAAGTATTAAAGTATTATTTGGGGTAACACCCACTCAGCACCTGACCGGTTTATTTTCTATTCTATTCGTCTGACCAATGTTTTGATCGCATCTCTTATAAATCTATTTTGTTAAATACTTTCATAAGAATAGAATAGATTTTTAAAATTTGACGGCTGTTTTGGGCTTAATTGCTCTATCCTGGTCTCAATATCTTTTATATTTTCGTGTAAATTAAGCGTATTTACCGGCTGAGCAGCCCCTTGAGTTTTCTTAGTTGGGCGTTTTTCTATCTCCTTCGCTATTTTATTCTACACGAACAATAAATCGGGTAAAATATTTTATTTTATTTAATGACCATACCTCGAAGAAACCCCTCTTCAGAACCTTAACCAACTTTTTGCCACCCTCGTCCTTTTTCGTCACATTAATTATATCATCTGATTTCTTTATCAGCGGTAGGCCACTCGTCCCTGCATCGCAATCGCGCTCATTTTCTTGACTCGCCTTTTCCTTAAAGGTAGAAAGAATTCAGATAAAATATTCATGCTATTTTTAAAATACTTCATCATCTTTGCTCTGGCCGCTGCTGCTGACGCTTGAAGTTGAGCTTGTTTCTCCTTCCTGAAAAATTTTTATTAAATGGATTCCGATTTAAAAATTAGAATTTACCTCGCTCGACTGAACACCACTTTCGACCTGCTGACAAAATTTCAAACATTAATTATTTCGTGTTGAGATAATAAAATAAATTTCACACGCCTCGTTTTAAAAATATATACCTCTACTTTTACCACACTTTCCATCAATTCGTCCAGTATAGGCATGCTCGGACAATCTTGAGAAGTACTCGGAAAGTCATAAAGCTCGTTTATTAATTCGTACTGCGCACTACTCCTTGAGGGCTGCGAATCCTTTGGAACAAAAAATTAAAAGTGGGCCCTCAAGTAAAATCGCATTACCGAAAATTCGCAAAGGATTGACTGCACTGCTAGCTCCGCCTCCGTCACCGCGTCTCGCTGCGACAACAGTTGGTTTAGCAATTCAATTTAACAAATGCTGCGTGCGTAAGTAAAAAAATTAAATTTTCTCCGAAAGCTGTGAGAAAAATTTTCCTGTGCAACTTGCCATGCTTTCTATAGCTTAAAATTTGCTCACGTTTTCTCGCTCTTGCTGCGGAGCCGCCGTCGCCGCAGAATCAGCGCCGCCGTTTTCTTCTTGGTCCATTTTTTTAAATATGCACACGCTGCTCACACAACACCCCTGTTCATTGCTCGACTCCAAGATTGAAACTGATCGTCACATATGTAATAACCGCGGACATTCCAATTAATGCAGAGGTCTCTGCCTCTATGTGAATTATTATAAATTTTTAAACCAGAGCAATTATTTATTTACGTATTTTCAACTGCCCAGAGTAAATTCAAATTTTCAGTTATTTTCTTACCAAGTTTATTTCCCTTTGCTATCTAATTTTATTTTACCTCTCCTTTTTATTTTATTTTATCGTCGATGAATATCCCTCGTTTATTTCACTAGCGTTTTTTTTAATACGCCGCACAATTATGGTCGGACCTTACATTTTACTTGTGCTGATTTTTTAGAAATAACACTCTTAACTATGCGCTCTTCTCAGAAGACTTCACGTGGTTTTTCATCTCACGTTGCAGCACGCACAACCTCTCATAATTTTTTTTGCTTGATGTTTTTACACGTTATAGAAAAGCCTTCTTGAGCTGCAGTAGCACCCGCATTTTATTCTCGTGCTCTGGGTTCGGAGACGAAAAAATTAAACGTACAGCATCCAGAGCGCGAGTGCAATTTTTCCGCGGGCAACCCATGCACTTAACACATGTTTAATCGAACCAGCAGCTGACTGCTATGAGACGAAAAATAAAAAAAGCAGCAGCAGGCTTACCCTGTTTAAAATTTTTCTTTGCGCGCACCCAGTTAAAATGCATCAATGCTTTCCCAAGCCCTTGCCCAATTTCTATGTAGCCAACGCTTGGAGATGAAGAATAAAAAAACGAACAGCATCGCGCCGGAGTGAGAGTAAAATTTATCTCGCTGGAACCCCGCACTCTCTATGTTTCAATTTTTAGTCAGTAGCTGCCCGCTAGGAGACGAAGAAGGAAGCAGCCACGCGCACGCTTGGCGCGCATGAAAATTTTTCCTTGCTTGCACCCAGTAGTTAAATACACTGCTCAATTTTTTTGTAACTTGTACTGCTATGAGACGATAAATAAATCAGCATCGCGCCATGCGAGGCACGCATGGAAATTTTTCCTCAAGCGCAAAAACCAACAGGCGGTAGGAGAAGTGGCGCAACTTGGCTGCCGGGGCGCAAATTTTTTTCTTGGGTACGCCAGGGGCGCGATTCTTATGAGCACCACATGAACGGCCGAGGCGCGAATTATTTTCTTGGGTACGCCAGGCGCGAATTTTTCCCCCCTATGAGCACTACATTGTAATATGAAACGAAACGGTTCATAAAGGCAACTGGTTCACGTTGTATAGTATACTACTTCCCTCTTTTCCTTTGTTCGCCGCTGAGTTTGATCTCGGCCGACGACACGACGCCCTTTTAAATCTTTTGCATTTAATTAATCGGTGCACAAGAGACAGTGAACCTCCACTTGAGTTAAATTCGAAATTACAACGATCATGAAACGTTTGAATTAAAGCAGAGTGCATTCTTCAAAAGTAATGAAACTCGTCATTATGTGATCGCAGTGCAACTCACGTTGGTCGGTATTGTTTGCGGTGACGCCGCTTTTCGTGTCACCAGACTCTGTGGCTGGCAAAAAATAGACGCGAAAAAACGACTCATCAACCAACCTGTTCCGCACGTCCCCTATTTGGTGGCGTCACCGAAACTGCACTCGGTTTTTCAGCGAATTACAAGAATACTCATTTGACTGCTGCGTTATCTAATCGCTCTGACATTTTAGCAGCTCGTTGCCTTCGATCACATTATCATTATTTGCTATTCGCCTCCAGTCTCTATCTCTATTGCTCTCGCCTACCTTAATTGCAAGTATTTCAATTTACTCGGTTTAATTAATTCAGAATTTAGCAATTTGCAATCAACGCTCAAGTTCAACTCACTCAGTCATTGTCTCGGCAGACTTCATGAGTTGGCGGCAATTGCCAGACAAAAACAATAACTCGCCGCTCCAGTGAGCGAAACAGCTACCTTTTCTGGAGTATGACACCGGCAGCTGTTTTAACTGCGTTTTAATTAATTCCATGGACGCCTAGCCCTGACAGAATTATTCACCAGGCGATTGCAATCCAATCAGCTTGTTCGGTTGAAACTGATAAACCCAAATATAGTATTATTTTTAATGATTTTATTTCAATTTAATTTAATTATTAAATTTATTACTTTACTTAGGGTAGAATACAACTATGTAATGGTCTTCATAAGACAATTGTTTGGTTTATTTTGATTTACCGCAAAAAAGTGTGGGACATCAAAATAATATTAAATAATAACGAAAGTTTGTCAAAAAAAAAAATTGCTCGCTCAGTTATGGATATTTTGAAAACAGATAGCATAAATATAGGGTTTCGAAAAGAACACCAAGGTTTTTTTTTTTTTTGTTAAAATAATTCAACCTTGTGGTCCTCACTGAATTTTTTTTTCATATCGTTAAATATAATGCAGAAATTTTCATTTTCAAATTCGCCGGGAGTGCGTGAACCAAATCGCAGCCTCCCCTGCGCCGCGAGTTCCTCCAGCCGAGCCTGCGTGCGTGTTGATTGTGTCGCTCCGTTCGCTCTTTTTCCATTTCATAATTACAATCCAGCAGCAGAGCGTGGCAATCCCGAGCACCACTCGCTCGTTGCCAGACACTTCCGCGCTCACAATTCCGCCGACCGCGATGACGACTTGTCGCTTTTAGACTCTCCTTTTCCGTTTATTGCTCAGAAAAAAATTAACTTCAAAATGAAACTGAAACGGGATAGTGTGTTCGAGGACGATGGAGTGACCACCATCTCTGTGTTGCAGTGGCTCAGCCCGAGCGACAGCGAGGGTCGCGTCTACTTTTTCGCCGAAAACAGCAACGACTCCACCTGGAGCCTCCCGAAGACCCCCGCCGCCCCCAAGGGATCGCCACCCCTGCCAGGGAGCGCGTCGCCACCAAAGGTGAGTTCAAATATATATTATTTTAATTATTTTGCTTCATTTTTTACTTCTGTGTTGACATGAATTTCTTTAAACAATGAAATGCTTCCTGGCAGGATCATAAAAATAAATTTTTTTTGTAGTTCTCAATTTTAAATAAATACAGAATTCAGACCGGTAAGGTTTCTAGTGAGGGTAACCACATTTATTTGGCTTGGTTTTATTCTCATTAATTTTTTTATTCTCTTATTCTTTCAAAACAAGCCGACAAAAAAATATGAAAAAGGAAATGAACATTAGGAAAGAGTTGACAACCAGCTCTAGCAAACAATTTAATCAAACTGAAAAGCCCAATTTTTCAATAAAAGTGATTCCGTTCTTGCCAAGCTGGATAAAGGACAAAAATTATGTCACTCATTCTTTAATACATGCAATCTTAAACTGAACAACTTTTGAACCCAGATGGCAGGGAAATGAGACTATTTTATTGTTTCAAGTTTAACCATTCGTTTGGTTGAATTTTGAAGCAGACATTTAAAAATCTAAAGTTAGCGTTTGAGATAAGGCGATTCAGTTTTCAAATGCGGAAGTTTTTTTTTAATTCGTTGATTTATTTCCTGGTGATTTATATATTTATTTTCTAACGACGCCAGCTTTTCATTTAATCGTCGCACTAAACTACAAATTGCACTGCTGCTGCGGCAACAGGTGTTTTGCTTTGAATAGGCCACATGCTAACGGCGCCCTGCAGCAGCACATGCTATTTTTTAATAACTGCGCTAAACAATTCGCGCTGACTCGACCAATTCTTCATCTTGCAAAGAGCCAAGCAAAGCGATTTTAGAGTAAGCAAAAAAGGAAAAATCGCAAACAGTTTTTATATGGTGACAAAGAATATGGAATAAGGCAATGACAGACTATTAGAGTCGTACGAAGAGAGACATTTTTTTTATGTTTTTACAGCTTTTAATGAATTTTCATGTAATTATTATATATAAAAATTAAATATGAAATTAAGAAATAAAATATATTTCTTACAAAGAGAAAAATTCAATTGCATTTTAAAAAAATAATGGCAACTTTCAATTTTAATCGTCCAAGAAGTTTCATAACTTTGATCATTTTCATAGATTAAGGTGCTTCCGTTTTAAATTAGATACACCTTTGACTTCCAATTACAACACTTGTTGGTTTAAATAAGAACTTGATTTTTCTTAATAAAGGGGAAAGTGCAAGATCGTAATCAATAGCAGAAGAAAAAACAGCAGTGCGTAAAAACGCAATTAATATTTAAAACCAATCCTAGCGTGCACAAAATATGCACTCAAGAAACTTTCCACCACACTTTCAATCTCACTTTTTAACACTGAAAACGGTCTTTTTTCACTTTTTCAATCGCCAATATTGTGTGTCACTGCTCACAAGGGCCATAAAATAAAATTGCTCCGACCAAAACCAGCGATTTGAAATATCATAATAAAAGTTGGCGTGCGTCGCGGTCCATGATTTTGGTGCCTTTTGCTACACTTTCACTCTCTCTCGTTACAAAACTGCTGCTAATTGTATCAAAAAGAATAGCAAATCGAATGCTCCTGTACCACCTTGAGAGAGGATTCATTCAGATTCATTTACTTTTTTTATGGTTGCGCAAAGCTTCACAGGTTTGCGTTCCGTATGAGAGGTGGCCAAAAACACACGCACGCGTCCATTCACAATAATTCGGATGTTCCTTCCCTTCGCCCGGTTCATGCTTGGATAATTTAAACACGCCTATCGTCCTTGCATCCAATTTTTAATCGCTTTGAATGGGTAAAAATATTGCGACGTAATTAAATATATAAATTAATTTGCGTGATTCCGCAGCAATTTTGAAATAATTATAGAATAAATTTAGGTTGAGGTCTTTTGCTGAATTTGGTATGCTCGGCTGATTTTTATGACTATTAGTCTGGCCAGATTTGCAGATTGCGATTTTGAAACTTCTAAGAACTACTAAATAAGTTCAAATCTTAATTTATCATTGAATTTGAAAATGTGCAACAAGAAGAAAGCACGTGACCATGAAATTTAATATTCTATTATTTTCAGATCATTTAAGTGCGAAAATTTTAATTCCAATATTTGGCTAATAGAATTTCCCAAAACTTTTAAATTTGTACCTGCACTACTTAATTCCAGTTTTTTAATATTAATTGATATTTTTGCACACCATCAAAATATCAAGAAATCCGAATTAAATTATGCTTAAACGATTATTTCTCCCTAGTCTGTCTGATTGGGGGAGGATATTCATTGCATTGCAAAATACTTTAAGTCCACTTTTTTTAAACAATTTATCTGTTGAGTAATTATTAATTTTTTCAAATAATAGTTCCGGTCTGCCAAGATATTTCGCGCACACAGACATTAATGATTTTTTATTTAAAAAAAAGGTGGTTAAGTTGCTGCTTAAGTTCAATTTCAAAATCCAGGTATCCTAAATTTTTTTTGCCGTAACATTTAAAAAAAAATATTTTGCCACTCAAAATAATCTGATATTGTCGGATGTGCCCATGAAAAATGATATTTTTGCAGTTTAATGAAATTTTTAAATTTTAAACAACATTCTTAAAAATATATTTATTTATTTTATGCTCATAAATTATGTGTGAAATATTGGCACTCCAACGATTTCTTTGCCAAGTTTTGATGCTAAGAATACTCTATTTATTCTGCTCCAGACCTCCACTCCGCTGCCGAGGGTTGCGCCGCAGGGGGTGCCGCCGGTGTTCAAAAGACTGGAGCTGCAGTTACAACAGACCGCCGATGAGTCGTCGCCGACCGACGAAAACGACACGCCGGGGCTGTACCGGCCTCGAAAGAACATGGGCCCGTGTCTGCTGCCGCCACTGCCCAACTCCAGAACGGCCAAGTCGCAGTCCATGCACGTACCTGACATCAAGTAAGTGCAGTTTAACTGTTTCTCTCCGACTTGAACTTGTTGCCAGACAAATCAAGTTTTGCTGCGGCTGATCAATTATAGTAGTTTTTGTGGAAGTAACTGAACACTTGTCTTTTACAAACTTTAATTATACTTTGTCCGAATATGGCTCTAAAAAAAGATGTATAAATTTTGTAAAATATAGGATTAAATTTTTAAGGTCAGGCAAAATCTTTTTGGCCTGTGCCCTTTATTTTTGGTGCATAAGGCATCAACCAATTTTTATATTTTTTCTGGCTCAACTTTATTTGAAAAACATCATTTTTTTCAACATTAAAAGCAAAATATTTCTTTTTAAATAAATAGAGTCTATTTTAAAAATCTAATTTATCTCGTTTAATAAGATTTTTAACATTTATTTTCTGTTAAGGACACCGATGACTGATTGTTCAGTGGACACCTCAGGGCCGTGGGCTAGTCTTGAGAATACAGGAGTGGTAAAAATGTCGATTTCAAACCTAAATCCAAACAGTAAAAAATATTAATATTTACAGACAATTTTGAAAGAAGGTCTCGTCTCAAGGACCAAAGTGATGGAAAGCGGGAAGAAAGTGAAGAAAAACTGGGCCCAAGGTTGGGCACTGCTCACCGACGACTGCATGTACTTTTTCAAGGACGAAAAGAGTTTTAAACTGATGGTAAAATAGTTATTGGAGCAATATTTTTTCACTCTTTTTAAAACGTTACTTTTCAGAGGAATGATTCAATTGGTCATCCAGAGCTGTGCATCAGACTTCTGAACTCTACTTTCGGAGAGGCAGACAAAAGTATGAGCAGCAAGAAGAATGCATTTATCATTGGAAACAGCACAACACAGCTTCTGTGCCAAGAGGACCAAATCAGAGAACAGGACAGTTGGTTTAACAAAATTAGCGTTGCCAAAAAGAGCTTGGTAAGAACAAAATTGAAAAAAATCAATGTATATTTGAAAAAATCGTTAAAATATTTTAATCAAAATGTTCAATTAATGTGTTTTTTCAAAACTGCAGCCTGAAAATCACCTCAATACGGCGCCGAGAGTTCCTGTTATTAGCAGAGAAGCCAGTCCAAACCCTCCGGCAACCCAGAATCACCGAATGGGCTCGGCCTCTCCTGAAATCCACAAGAGCAACTCTCTGAATCGGTCAAAATCAGTGAAAAGTGAGATAATTTACCAAAAAGTATATAGCGAGACCAAAATTATTAATATTCCACAGTGAAAAAAGATGTTGCCGAGAGCAATGAAGACTTGACTTCGCAAGATAGCCAAAAGAATATCAGAGCTGGACTGAAAAAATTCTTCAAAAGAAGACCCACCATGGAAACGCTAGTCAAAAAGGGAATTTGGAAAGGTGAGTTTCATTTGTTGTCAAGCGTTCTTTTCCTCAACTATTTTTGATTAATCAGATGAACCTGCCTTTGGATCAACACTTAAAAAGCTCTGTGAGGACCGAAGTCCTGGTCCCAACCCCAAAATTCCAAAGTTTGTGTACGAGTGCATCAAAGCCATCGAAAAGAAACCCGAAAACCTGAAGACAGACGGAATCTACAGGGCGTCTGGAAACTTATCTCAGGTCCAAAAAATCAGACTGCAGGTACCTTCCGAGCAAAGTTTTTGTTTCCCTTAAATAAAAATTTATTTCCCTCAGGTGGACCAAAATAATTTGGAAATTTTAGATCAAGAGGAAGAAGTCCATGTACTCACTGGTGCCTTAAAATTATTCTTCAGAGAACTCAAAGAGCCCCTCATTCCATTTGACGCCTTTCAAAAGTCACTCTTTGCTAGCAGTAAGATTTAAGTTTAAACTTGAAAGATTGAATAATTTATGATATTGCAATTCAGGTGTCGGGGACAAATTAGAGAGATCAAGACTCTTTCGAGAAATAATCCAAAACCTGCCTAAAGAAAATCACGATACTCTGAAATTTTTGCTGGAACATTTGTTAAGGTATAATTAGTATAGTTTAAAATTATCAATGTACTGGAATTAATTTATAATTCTCAGGGTGGTCGCCAACCAAATATTCAACAGGATGGACATCGGAAACTTGTCCATCGTTTTTGGGCCAACGCTGATGTGGCCCGAGCAGGAGTCGCTCGACTGCATGGCCGTTGACTTGATGAGGCAAAACAACGTGATTGTCTGCCTTTTGCATGAGTTTGACTCCATATTCAATTAGAGCTGTGATCCTACCGTAAAAACTGTTGTCATCATTCGAGACAAAAGAGACTCTAGCCAAAAATTTTAGAAATGAATTTAAAAAAAAAGTGCTGTGTGAGAGTGTGGATGCCGAATCAATTTGTTGGGATGCATTAAAAATGTTAATCATTCATCATAAACTTGGTTCTAGTTGTGTACATAATTATATATTTGTATAGTTTTAAGCAATCGATTTATCATGTTGCAATTTTGCTCACAATAAATTTTATTGCAAATTATTATGAGATGTTAAAAGATCATTCCTGAAGTGTGAATTGCATGTAAGAAATCTTAAAGATAAAAATTGACATATGTGAAGGAGTCAATGCTACAATAAATAAGAACATAATAACGAACTTGGATTTTTATATTCACATCCATGCCGCATCCATATTATTTGAAAAATCTGCATATATTCAAATATTATGTAATGAGCCAGTTAATTTTTTCTTTAAAAAAATATATCAAAATAGTTAATAGCTTAAAATATTTCATCCTATCGCACATTATTGTAGATTTTTTTACCAAAATAATTAAAGTTGATCTCAACTCTCTAAATTCTTTGTATCAACATCAACCATTATAGTTATTATAATTTCAATTTTGTGAAAGTATAGGAATTTAATTATTATTAATTGAAATATCAAATTTCGGTGTTTGATTTCTGTTTTTAAAGCTTTAAGTTCACCCGCAAGGTTTCATTTATCCACGTTATAATCTTCACAAAAAAATCGTCATTTAGTTTCAATTAATTATCGATTGTAAGCGTTGACAGATGTGTGCAGTTGTTTAGTTATGCAACCCGCTAGGCAGTCATAGTGTGCAAATTGCGTACCTCACGCGCTAGTCTCAGTTTTTGATCCGTGTAAATGTAACAAGATATTATTATTATCTTTACTAAAAAACAATTGGCCTAGTAAAATTACGAAAATTATTCAAATTATTCATCATTTAGATAAGCCCCATCCATCAGACTATTTTATAGTAGCAACTGGATATGGTGGGTTAATTTTAAATTATTAAAAAAATATCCGCATATAACTATTCAAAATAACCGCTTTTCAAAGGGTGAAACTTATTTTTGCTGATTAAAAAAAATGTAAGAAGCCTTGCCGCTGGCACTGCCTGTGTCTTTTAAATTGCATAAAAGCGGAGGGAAATCCTTTCTTTGCTAGTGATTCACAATGGGAACAAAACACCGCCTGCTCCTAATGGTATTACTCGGTCATCGCCATCATATACACATAAAAATAATATAAATACATATGTGTATTTATTGATCGAAAAATATTATCTTTCAAACAATTTTTTTCTTACAGAAGTAAAAGACAAATTTTTTTATCACGAGAAAGTTTTTTCTTACAAATTTTTTAAACTTTTTCTACCTAAAAGTTTTTTTTTTAATTTTTCCCCAATAGAAACATTATGTTTTTTTTTCACAGAAATATTTGAAGTTCAGAAATACAGGAAAGATATTATAAGTGCGCTAGGGAGAGAGGACAAAGTTTGTAAGTCCCTGTGGTCAAATCTCGGTATCCGAATTAAAAAAAAAAGACTTTCCACCGGGCTTTTTCATATACACACCCATATGATGCTAATTAGCATGCAGAGAAGGCGGCTGCGCAAAGCCATGAACACAAAACACATGTATTGTGTCACATGACCCTCACTGTTTATTTTTATTTCCGCCGGCCGCTGTTGTTAAGGCTATAGTCACATCACAATTCTCGTCGGTATCACACCACCCTTTACTGTTAATATTTCGCCTTTGCTTTTTGATATTTCCGTCCGGCGGCTTTCTCTAATAATTTTTAGAAAGCGTGTTAGTTCCCCTTTGACCCTCTACTCTGTTCAGAGTTTGAAGACAGCTTTAGTATATTTTCGTGTTGCTTAATTCAAGAGGCCGGTCTTGTTTTCTCAAGAGAAACAATACATTATAACATGGTTTGTGTCAATTTGTGGATTAAAATTTTTCCAACCCTGAGTTTTGTTGCAGGTCTTTTGGATCGCAGTGGCGACGGTGGCGGTCGTTGTTCTCGCCACCAAATTCTACTACCAATCAACCATGGGAAAGTTTGATGATGACGTTTCCATGCGTGGGAAAACAGTCATTGTCACTGGCTCCAATACTGGTATAAGTTTTATTCATTTTCAATCAACGTTCCTTCGGGTGCTATTTTTTTATAATTTACTAAAAACTTAAAAAATAAACTAATTTATTTTGGGGGAAAATTTTTAATTTTCTCAAATTAAAAAAGTCAACTATTACAATTTCTTTTATTTCAAGGACAAAATTGTATGCTTATATTGCAAATGTATATGTATTTATTTTTAAAATATTTTTTAATTTTTTTTATTAACTACAAATAATAAAATGCAGTTCATATATCATGAATTTAAACTAATATGGATTAATTAGGAATCGGCAAAGCCACCGCCTTGGATTTGGCAAAAAGAGGAGCCCGGGTGATTCTGGCCTGCCGCGATTTGCAAAGAGCCAAAGAGGCAAAAGGTGAGACAAAAGCTTTCATTGCAATTCAAAATTAACTTTTAATTAATTGTTTTTTTTCCAGTTGAAATTTCGGAGAAAAGTGGGAATTCCAGCGTCATTGTGATGAAACTGGACTTGAGCACATTGGAGTCGGTGCGCGAATTTGTGCAGCAGTTTTTGGCCAAGGAGGACAGGCTTGACGTGCTGGTCAACAACGCGGCCGCCGTCGGCATGGCCTACAAACTGTCCAAGGACGGGATGCAGCAGGAGTTGCAGGTCAACCACTTTGGACCCTTCCTGCTCACCATCCTCTTAATTGGTTATTATTTGTGAATTTAAATTTTTACTATTCTACTTTTAATATAATTTGAAAAATTCAGACATTTTGAAAAAGTCGTCGCCCAGCAGGGTGGTCGTGGTCTCGTCGCTGGCGCACAAATTCGGATCAATCGACTTTGACAACCTGAACTGCGAGAGGTCCTACCCTGGTACCCGCAGGAACTACGCAAACGCCAAACTGGCCAACGTGCTTTTCGCCAACGAACTTGCCAGACGACTTGAGGGAACTGGCGAGTCAAATTTTAAAATTCTGAGATTAATTATCTCATTAAAAAATAATATTAATTTGACAGGCGTGACAGTGAATAGTGTGCACCCAGGCCTGGTGAACACTGAGATAGCCCGGAGAATGCCCAGTTTTTGGCACAAAATTTACAAAGCGTTTATCGGCTTCATCTTTAAGGTTGTCAAAATTTTCATTTTTAATTTTAATCCAAATTTGTATTCAGAGCGCGGAGGATGGAGCAAAAACAGTATGCTACCTGGCAGTTTCGGACAAAGTGCGCGACGTGACTGGAAAATATTTTGCCGATTGCAAGGTTCATATAAATCTATTGATTTTGGAGCAAAAATTGATAAATCTACTTTTATGAAAAAAAAGGTTGCGGAAATGTCTGAAGAAGCGAAAAACGAGGAGCTGGCGAAAACATTTTGGGTCAAGTGCGTCGAGTTAGTAAAATTGCAGCCAAATGAAATTTGTGGCATTTGAATCAAATACTTTTATTACCAAATTAAAATAAAATTTGAAAGCGCTGCAGGAAGTAATAAATTAATTATAAGCTTGAAAACCAAAAACTTTCTTGTATGATAATTTTTTATCTCAAAATTTATGCATAAAAAAACTGGCAATAACTTGTGTAGAATATTAAAAATAAAATCTTTAATGCATCAAGTGGAATGCATAAGTGTTTGTGTTTCTTTTAATCAAATATTTAAATAATAATAATAATTTTAAAAAAATGTTTTTTTTAATATCCATGGTTAAAGAAAAAAATTTATTTTTATAATAATCATTTTTGTCAATTGAAAGATTTAAAAAAAAAATTGTTTTGGATTGATTCCATAATAAAGTTTTACAGATTTACACATTATAAGATTTTGGATGAAAATTTTGTTTGAAGGTTATGAAGGGATTAACAATTAAAAAAAAATCCCTACCTTTGATGAACAGCAAATTGCAAGGACCTCGAGGTGTCTGCAGCATTAAAGCACCAATTCAAACTGGGTCGATTTAATTATGAGATTTTCGGCTAGAACGATGAAAATAATATAATAAATAAATTTTGTTCACATTATAAGTCTCAGAAAATGGAAGTAATAGTTGGGCAGACTACAATCCCTTCACTCTATAATAGCTTTCGCGGCTTTTTGCACGACTTTCGAAAAAAAATACTTTCTCGACGGATTTAGACATGGTTTTTTAATATAAGTTTCACTTTTTCCCGAGAAATCGGCGAGTCCGACCCCCGCCGAGTTATGGGCAAAAAGGTCCGTTTTTTGCCCATTCTCTCATAAGGGAGGTTTTTCCGCGCTAGCTCGGCGAGAAAATCACCTAGCGGGGCGTTCGGGGCACCCGAAGACGCGGAAAAATCCGGCGCGTCGGAAAAAATTGCGGCACACCCCCGATTTCGGCCTCCTTCGCCGACTTTCGGCCGAAAAACACGCTTTTTCGAGGTTTAAAATTCGTAGCGAAAAAACTGTACGTACGATCCTAACCAAAATTTGATACGGCCTAGACGATTCGGTCTTCTTTCGATTGCCGAAATAAAAAAAACTTCGGATTCGGCCACTTTTCGGCAAATTGCCGAAAAGTCGGCCGACTTAATTTTTCGGCCGTTTCGACGACGGATTCGGATTCCTCGGGTCCGAATTAGTCGGAGACGCGAGCCGATTCGCGATCCGTGACCGGCTTCGTGCCGAAAAAAATCGCCGAAAGTTCGGGCCGAATTCGAGGCGGTTCGGTCGCCGCCGAATAACTCCCGAACGCCGCGTCCCACGAAGACGCCGCGGGCACCGTCGGACGGAGCGCGAAATTTGGCGAATTTACGGGGGACGCGCTCGCCGATTCGGCCGTCCCTACCAATTTAATTCGCGTGCCGAAAAAGGGGCAAAAAACGCCCATTTTTCGGCTTCCGTCGGCCCTGGAAAGAAAACGGGGCAAATTCAGAAAGACATATTTGGGTTTTGGCCCCGAAATTCGGTCTTCTTTCGAAAAAAAATGTGAAAATCCATTTTCGGAGATATCATTTTCGGCAAATCGGCCGAAAGTTCGGCGACCTCGGAATTCGGCAATTTGAACGCCGGATTCGGTTAGATCGCGTCGGCTTAGGGTACCGACCAAATTTTCAACCCGAAATTCGCCATAGCCGACGAGCAATCGCCGGCCGAAGTCGGACGACGCCCGCGGTCGGCGCCCGATATCAAATCGACGGTTGGTGTCACGATGTTGTTCCGGGCACCGTTCGACGCGGAAAAATCGGGCGCAACTTTCCTGCGAGTTTCAGAATTTTTCTACGCACCCCGCGCCCGTGAGGCCGATTCGGCATAATTTCGCCCAAATGCCGACTTTTTTCCCACAAGTTACAAATTTCTGATTTCGACATATGTTACTTTTTTCGGGGTCCTTAGCATTTTGAGAGAGTTTTATAATTTTCCACCGTCCAGTTTTTCGGCAATTCGGCCGACGATTCGGCCGACTCGGAATTCTGCAATTTTTTCGACGGATTCGGGTTGCCCGCGTTGACATTGGTCTAGGATTAAATTTTCAGCCGATTATTCGCCATAGCCGACGCACGGCGGCCGATCAAAGTTTCGCCCATTTGATGTTTTTCGACGGTCGACGGCCATTAGCAAAAAAACTTGACGTTAGCCAGATATGCCGCTACCCCCACCGGATAGAGGACAAAATTCGGCGTCTTTCTAGGGTAGTCTCGGATTTTTTCTAATGGACCAATTATTTTTAAAGTTTTTTTGAAAATGGAATTTCGAAAAAACGGCCAAAAAACCACGTTTTCCGACGGTCGACGGCGCAAAGCAAAATAACTCGACCTTAGCCAGATTTGCCGCTAGCACCACCGGATAGAGAGTGAAATTCCGCGTCTTTCTAGGGTAGTCTCGGATTTTTCTAATCAACCAATTATTTTTAAAGATTTTTTGAATTAAGTTTTATTTCTCATTTTTGGCTCATATCCAATTCGCAGCACATATGCAGTGTAATTTCCTTCCCTCCCCGTGATCATCGGTAGCCCGGTCGGTTAGTGCGGCTCCGCTCTGTAGGACCCGCGTTCGCTCCCCAGTACTGGAACTTTTTGCAATAACTTTTTTTTCGCCACAAGCCCCGCCGATCCAAGTGAGTCTTTCGGCGCCACCCTAAAATGGGCAACCACGTTGTTTTTGCTACTTACAGCGTAGCTAATCTTTCCGTGCACGTTCCAGTGACCGGCCACGTTCGACGGAGGGGCACGTTCGTGTGGCCGGCCACGTTCCACAATCAAGCCACGATCCTCTCTCTGGGCACGTTCGACGGAGGGGCACGTTCGTGTGGCCGGCCACGTTCCACAATCCAGGCACGATCCTCTCTCCGCGCACGTTCGACGGACACGCACGTTCCAGTGGCCGGTCACGTTCCAAAATCAAGCCACGATCCTCTCTCCGGACACGTTTGACGGAGGGGCACGTTCGTGTGGCCGGCCACGTTCCACAATCATAGCTCGCTCCTCTCTCCGCGCACATTCGTCTGACACGCACGTTCCAGTGGCCTGCCACGTTCTACAATCATAGCTCGCTCCTCTCTCCGCGCACGTTCGACGGAGGGGCACGTTCGTGTGGCCGGCCACGTTCCGATATCAAACCACGCTCCTCTGTCCGGGCACGTTCGACGGACAAGCACGTTCCAGTGGCCGGCCACATTCCACAATCATAGCTCGCTCCTCTCTCCGCGCACGTTCGTCTGACACGCACGTTCCAGTGGCCGGCCACGTTCTACAATCATAGCTCGATCCTCTCTCCGCGCACGTTCGACAGAAACGCACGTTCCACGGTGGGTAAGTTTGAACTTTGCACGTTCCACGGTGCGTGGGCACGTTCCAATGTTGCACGTTCCACGGTGGGCACGTTCAAATATTGCACGTTCCACGGTGGGCACGTTAGAATTTGGTCACCGAACCGCTTTTAGTGAAATTTAGAAAAAATCGATTTTCGACGATTTTTTCAATCTTTGTTAGCCTATTACACACGTTTGCGCAAGCACCAGGACTGCGTTCAGGGTATTGACGGATACCTCGACATGATTTCCTTCGAGATTTCCGTAGAAAAGCGGCGGAGGGACAAAAGTTCACGATTTACAGCCCTCCGAAAGAGGCACTTTGGCGTCGGACGGACCTTACATCTAAGGCGGGCACGTTCAGACTTACCAAATTCCGCGGTGGGCACGTTCAGAATTAGCCCGTTTCACGGTGGGCACGTTCGATCTTTGTACAATACCACGTTCTGGGGGGGCACGTTCGGATGGGCGGCGTTCTAAAGAGGCACGTTACAAGGTCAACCCATGTTCCAAGGGGGCACGTTCCGAGGTAGCACGATTAAATAACCGAGACACTTAAAGACCCGCGCCGCATTAATATAATTAAACTATGGGAAAGAAAACTCTTTGTGGATAGGCACACCACCGAGGATAAGACCCGACCCCACTCTCTGGGTACGCGATACTGACCAGGCTTTCCCCTTGTATACAAGCATATTATGTTTTTACTTATGTAATTTGATTTCATTATTAGTTTTAGTTATGGGCCTGACGAAAAAGCCAGCGAATAACTGTCGAAGAGCCATTGTAAATAAATACAAGTATTACAATAAAACCCTAAAAACCGCTAAAAACAATCAATACCTACAAAAACAAAAACTGGAATGCAAACTCACTTCTCACTAAAGCAAATTACTTGCGATCGCTGACCACTGCAAGCGAGCACTGAGCAGCGCCAGCGGCACACAGAGCTCGATTTTGGACGAAAAAAATTCCTGAAAAATCCGAAATTTGACATCACAAACATGTTATTTGGAGGGGCGAGTGCAATTTCGCTTCGCTTTCCCTGTCTCCCACTCTCGTCAAGATCGAGGTTCGCTTGCATCAAAGTTCAAGGTCAAGATTCAGAGTTCAGAGTCAATGACAATTATAAGGAGTCGAAGGGAAAAATAATACCCCTCTCCCGGATGATCCCTGTTTTCCCCCCTCTTTATTGCACGATCGATGACGTGATTTCCAGCCAATCAAGGGAGAACATTCTTGAGAGCAATGACCTGCTGCAAATTCGTCAGTTTCGGCAGGGGTTACTTGAGTGCAATAAGTTGCATGACAAGTTGGTACTTGTCTTGGGCTGTGGGGGATAGACAGACACAACCAAATCGCAGGACTAGACGGTTTGCGCATTCGCATGTAGAGGTAAAGACTTCGTATTTCTGCACTTTTTTTTTAATTTTGGAGTTAATCATAAATTACCTTCATGCGACTTTTGACTATAATTATTTCGAAGTGATCGAGAATAATCAAATTGGAAAATTTCATCCTTCTAATCTCCTATTTCCTCTCGGATTTGAAAGGACGTTGACCTCTATTATAAGCTAATTCTACTTACAGTGGATTTTTTCGTCTTTCAACAAAAATAAGAGAAGTGCGACCAAAGTTTGGTCTACGGCAACAACAAAATGATAGAACCCGGGGACAATCAGTCAGAGGTATGTCTGCATTATTATAAATAAATAAATTTAAAAAAAAATTATATAGGAATTTTCTGTCCCTATAAATTATTCCTTATAAATTATTGTTTTGGTATTCCCAAAAAATATAATTATCACTACCATATAATTCTTGCTTTTTTGCTTATTTAATTTATTGACTCAATGTGTTTGCAGAAAAAGAGGGGCAGGGGACGAGGTCGTCCAGCAAAGGTGCAAAAACTGGACGAGGGAGGAAGTAGTGGTGACAGGAGCGAGCTGGATATGATGCGGGAGCGCAACATCATCGAGAAAAGCATCATGTTCAAAACCACAGGTCTGCTCGAATCCGCAGCCGCCTTCGAAGCAACCCTCAAGAGGAAACAGGAAAAAGTTAGACCAGGAAGAGACCCTTCCACCTTGGCGGGTAGGTCAACAAGGTCAAACCGAATTGCTGCCCAGCAGGACCAAGCAATCTTGCCTGCGGCTGACGCTTCAAAGGTCCAGGACAAGAAGGATAAGAGCTTGAAAGACTGTGTGGCGCCTTTTAGCAAACCTGAGGATGTCCCCATCTTCCTCGAAGTGGCCAAAGAAGTTCAAAAAGGTATAATAATTTCATTATATTATGTAATTAAAAAAAAAAAATCGTTTTTAGAAGAATCTCCTAAGAAATCTAGCGAACTCCAAAGCATGGAGTTTTCGACCATGAAGGAAAAACTGGAGGGACTGTGCAAAATTTCTGAGCTGATGTTGAACTACCAAGCGTCAAAGGTGACTGCTCTTGCCGTCCATAGATCTGTCAATCCTCTGCTGCTGACCAGCGGCACCAAGAGCGGCAGCGTCTGCATCTGGAAGGTAGAGGAGGATGACCCTGAAGTGGCCTCCTCTCAGGTCTTCGGCTTCGGCACTCACGTAGATCAGGTCAATCACCTCCTCTTCGGGGCTGACCACCCCAACTTCCTGTTCTCCAGCAGCCGAGATGGGACTGTCAAGTGTCTGGACCTCAACCGGGAGCAGTTCACTCTCTGCCACAAAAGTACTTAAAAAAAAATTAATAATAATTAATTATAATATCACATTTCCGCAGCTCTTGAAGAGGAGACTTGGCTGACCTGGCACGCCCAGGTAAAACCTTCTGTCCTGTTAGTTGCTTCTTCTGAAGGCTGCCTGCTCCGTCTGGACACACGTGAAGAAGCCGTGTCTAAATTCCAGTGCCACTACGGCTCCATCAACTCAGTGGATGTGGTTCGAGAAAACTGCGTTCTGACTGCTTCAGACGACGGAATCATGAGCATCTGGGACCTGCGCTGCATGAGCACCAGCAAATCTGTGGACAGTGGGATAGTCAAAGGGCGTCAGAGGGCCACGCCAATCACTGAAGCTGTGGAATCGGCCTTCTTTTCTCCGCAGGGTGGCAACCGCCTCCTCGCTTCCAGCAAGGACCACTTCTACGTCTACGACCATGCCCCAAACCTGGCGCCCTTCCAATCCTTCTCAGGCGTCATCCTGAACTCAGACACCAGGAAGAGCAATTTACCCATGGTAGAACTATACATTCATTTGTAAATAATTATAAATTTATTAAAACTCAATTTCCATAGGCCCATTGGCATCCTTCGAGGAGTGATGTGTTTGTGGCTGGTGGCTCCAGCGGTCCTGCTGCTGGAATCAACATCTTCAACGCAAAGGTTTCCTCAACTCCGACTGTGCTCCGTCAGGCAGACTATCTTATCAAAGATGGTTGCACTTCAAGTGTTTTGTTCCATCCAACTTGCTTTGTCCTAGTCTCTGCTGCTGCTTCAAAAATCCATGTCTTCAAGTGAAAAATTTATGAAAAAGAGTACTCCCTCTCTACTCATAATTTAATTTTTTCTTCTCAATAATCTTTCAAATTAATCTCAATTAATCTCACGGAATCTCACTTTGATTATCTTCTTTGCGTACATTTCAAAAGATTTTCAATGTATCCATTTTTTGGGTATGTATACATATAATATAGTTTTGTACTGTTTATTATTTTTGGCTTTATGGCAAAAATACCATGATTATTTTTCTAACTATATGAATTTGATAACTGAATATGAAACAACATACCTGAAATTAACTTCTGTGGTCGATGAGAAGGATTGCTATAAATAAAATTGAAATAATTATAACGAATTATAATATACAAAAAAAAAATATGCATTAAAATCTGAAGATTCTGTTGGTTCTATTTATTTTCGCGCCATCAAGTCATAGTTTTCAGAAGGAGCTACTTTCCGTGAGGCGAAAACTGCGTGTTGATTGGTTTATTAGAATAGTTATTCGATGCAACAACGGCTCTCGGCTACTCCTCTACGAAACCCTGCGAAGAGAACATCGACTGTCACTTTTTTGCTTTGGCGCTCTAAATCCGCCGAATCCGCCGCTCGGCGCTCGCAGCTGTCAACGTAAAAACACATGGTCGTCCACGAAAACCGGAAAATTTAATCCAAATCTCGTGCATCTTTCCAAAAACACTCAAAGTAGGTACCCTTTCACACACAACAAAAATTTTTGGCTCAATTTGAAAATTTTCCATCAAATAAATTGAAACAAATTAGATTTTCTAAAACATCCGATAAAACTGTTATGTAACACTTGACGACGCTGTATTATTGGTATTATTATTGTGTTATGTTACTCAGTGCTCCTCTCTTTTTGTGTGTTTTGAAATTTTTTAATTGTCAAATATTTGTATTTCAGGTTATTTTTACATCGCTGGCTTTCCCTGTTGCTGGAAAAAAAATGAGTCGTCGCAGTGGACGATTGAGTTTAAAGCACCTCAATCGCGAAGTTGAGGGTTCCACCAGTCTAAAGAAATTATCAACGCCAACAAAGAGGAAACAAGAACCACTCTTGGAGTTGGAAACTGTGGGCAGACGGAAATCACTCAACTATGACGACGAAATTGCATTCAAGCCTAGCGTCAAGCGACCACACGGCTTTCGACTGGCTCGACCATTAAGAAGAAAACAATTTTGGGAATTTTGAGTTCTGATAACAGTGATGACAACAAAGAGTCACCCTTTAAAGAAAATGATTATCAATCCAACATAATCCCAGCAAGCACTAAAACCGAAACAGCCGTCAAGGCTGAGATCAAGGAGGAACCTGCTGAAGACGAGGCCGCTGAGGAATCGGAAATGACCGAAGTGGAACGGCTCCGCAGACAGAATATAGAGCAACGTATGAAAATGTTTGAGGAGCTGAACTTGGGGGAACTCAAGAAGGAAATAGAAACGTCTTTCACGGAGACCAAAGCAAGTTCGAGCAGAAGGTCGTCCATCTTCAGCTCAAAATCAAGCATTCCCTTCGGAGCCACAGAGGAAGTCGGCGCGTCTGCTAGGGTTGGAGGCCAAGAAGGAGGAGCTGCCTCCTGATTTTTTGAGGCCAAGTAGGACACGGGCCTCTGCAAATGGTCAAAGCGTCTTCCGATCTTACCAGCAGGACGACTGGGGTTCCGTTCCAAGAAACTCGACCCCGGTGCTGACCCTTGATGACGCTGTACATCACAACTTTGTCGACAAAGAGAATTCGGTGCTGCTGGAGGACATTTGCTGCAGCATGAAAGTAAAAAATATGCAGAAAAAGACAGGCATGAGGGAGGAAAATTTGTCATTGGAGGAATTCAAGAAAAAGATGAACTCCCTGACCCTGAAGGAGCACCACAAGACTAAGGTCGGTATTTTTTCATAATTTAAATATTTTAGAAAATTATTCATATTGTGCTGTGTATTGCAGGTGGTGCCCAGTCGGATATATTCCATGGCAGTGTGTCCCATGAGTTCAGGATTTGTGGTGGCCGCAGGTTGCAAATCGGGCGCCGTTGGTCTGTGGAAGATTGACCCCGAGGGCAGTGAGTGGGACAAGGCCAAACAAGTTTGTTTCGACTACCACTCAAAACCCACCAACTGCATAACCTTTGGAATGCAAGAGCCACACCTGATGTACACAACCAGCTACGATGGAACCTTCCGCAGGGGCGACCTGGAGAAGCAGACCTTCACCCTGCTGTATGAAACACCACCTAATCGAAAGGATAACCACACTTGTTGGCACGCTGAGATCGAACCTGGCGTATTTCTGCTCGGAGTGGGAGATGGAAGTGTTGCCAGGATTGACTCTAGGGAAGACCCTTCCACCGGCACAGAAACCTTCAGGTATTTTTTTTTCTTTTAGAAACAAAAATGAATGAAATAAATTTTTTAGATGTCACGACCGCTCTTTGCGGACAATCAGTGTGCACCCTGAAACAGGCGTCCACTTTGCCACCACCTCTTCGTACAACAAGGAAGTGGCGATCTGGGACCTGCGGAAAACAACCAATAATAAATCCTTTAGTGGGAAACTGTCCAGCATTGAATTCACAAAGCCCCTCTCTTCAGCGTTTTTCTCTCCAGTCAAAGGCGACTCCCTGCTCACCACATGTGCTGATTACACGGTCTGCGTGTACAACTGCTGGGACCTGGAAAATCCAAAACTGCAGGCCAAAGTCTCACACAACAACCACACCGGCCGCTGGATCACCAACTTCAGGGCTGTCTGGCACCCGCAGCGAGATGACGTATGCATCATTGGCTCAATGGACCGACCGATTTTTGCTTAATAACTAACGAATTTTATTATGAAGATTAAGCAAGCTGAAAATCATTCAGATATATAATATTATATCCTAATTTTGCACCGAAAATTTTCAAAAACTCATCAAAGGATATTTTCAAGACATGTATTACATAAATATAGTACGAGTTTACTTTATTTAGTGAATACTGTGATATTTGAAAAGATTTTGAAATTTAATTATTTTATCGCGAGAGACAGCTTTATAAAAACTAATAAACCAGTGATTGCCTCTGTCATAATTGTATCAATAAATTTAATATTAATTGCAATAACAACATCCCCGCGGTTTTGCTATACAGAAAATTTCACAAAATAAATTGCGAATTTTAAATAATAGAAAAGTAAATAGTGAAATAAAAATTGGTGTTCTTACAGTGGGGGCATAGCGATGGGCATCTTGGTGGCTGTGGGAGGGTTGGGTGTTCTCCTCAAATATTCCTTGAAGCGGATCTCAAAGGCCTATCCGACGGTGGTGATGACGTCCTGAGCCATTCCACCGCCGCACTCCAGCACCATGCACGCCCGCCACTGGTTTGCGTCCTTGGCCACGTAGGCCATGAAATCAAGCGTGTCCTTGGAAGAAATTAAAATTTCAGTTGAAATTAGGATTTGAATTTGAATTGACGTACTGGGTCGCCACCAGAGGCAAAGGAAATGTTGGGCATGTCGTGTTGGGCGATCATCTGGCCTGTGTCCAGGACAGTCAGTTGTAAACCTTTGCTAGAAATGCTCAGGGTCACGTTAGCTCCCGCGTGGTTCATGTTCGGATGGTCTGCTAAGACGCGCCCCACCCGACGCTCCACCTGCCAAAAAAAATCACAAATTTTAGAGTGACAAAATCTCAAATGAAGTAGAAATTTTTAATTACAAACCTTTCTCTTTTTATCAACAGTCTTAAGGCCGGCAGCTTCACATACCCTGTTTATACATTCCCTGAGAGAAAAAAATATTTCTTATTTCAAATAAAATTGAGATGGAAACTCACTTTGCAATCATAGACCTAGTTTCAAAATCTAGGCTCTTCATTGACGTTTTGACTTCTAGGCAGCCAACATACTGTGGAGGGTGCGTCCAGGATAGATTTGAGGGTAAATGTTAAAATTTTTTCTTGAAAACATGCCATTCCAAATTTGAAGTATGTTGTTGGGGTGGTCATGAGGCCTCGCTCACCAAATTTTCAAGTCAAAATATGGGGTACTTTTCCGGGAAATCAGATTTTTCCAAAAACAAAAAATATTGAATATCTTTGCTCCTATTGAGAAATTATAAATTATCTTTTCATTTCTAGACGTAACTTTTTACGCCCAACAATTTTTCTGTTGACAACTTTTGCGTAGGTCAAAGGTCAAGGTCACTAAATTGCAAATTTCACTTTCTGACGCAATTTTCGCAAAGATGCACCCCTCAGAAATTTTTCGCAGTATAGGAAAAAATGTAGCCCCAAGTGTGTAGAACAACATACTTGATTTCCAGAATGGCATTATTTTTGTTTTTTTAATTAATTCTAAATGAATATTAAAAAACAGTGAAAAATCACTTTTCCGCAATAGAAAATAATTTTCAAACAGCGATAACTCAGTTTCTGTTAGAGATACGCAAAAATGTTTAAGAACAAAAACGATTTGTTTTGACGTTTTGCATCTAACCATGTATTGGTTATACAGGTCAGGTCACTTGGGGTCATTGACCTCAGTGACATGTGACCTTAAAGAGCAGTTTACTGAATATTTCGCACATAGTTTGGAAGAACTATTTTATGGAATGGTTTTCATAAGCTTATTACCAGCTAATTATATTTTGAGGTCACAGGTCACGGAGGTCAATGACCCCAAGTGACCTGACCTGTATAACCAATACATGGTTAGATGCAAAACGTCAAAACAAATCGTTTTTGTTCTTAAACATTTTTGCGTATCTCTAACAGAAACTGAGTTATCGCTGTTTGAAAATTATTTTCTATTGCGGAAAAGTGATTTTTCACTGTTTTTTAATATTCATTTAGAATTAATTAAAAAACTAAAAATAATGCCATTCTGGAAATCAAGTATGTTGTTCTACACACTTGGGGCTACATTTTTTCCTATACTGCGAAAAATTTCTGAGGGGTGCATCTTTGCGAAAATTGCGTCAGAAAGTGAAATTTGCAATTTAGTGACCTTGACCTTTGACCTACGCAAAAGTTGTCAACAGAAAAATTGTTGGGCGTAAAAAGTTACGTCTAGAAATGAAAAGATAATTTATAATTTCTCAATAGGAGCAAAGATATTCAATATTTTTTGTTTTTGGAAAAATCTGATTTCCCGGAAAAGTACCCCATATTTTGACTTGAAAATTTGGTGAGCGAGGCCTCATGACCACCCCAACAACATACTTAAAATTTGGAATGGCATGTTTTCAAGAAAAATTTTTAACATTTACCCTCAAATCTATCCTGGACGCACCCTGGAGCAGAAAATTCACTATTTCTGTTCAGTTGCAAGGTGAATTTACAAACCTTGACCAGGTAGCTGATTCCCTCCCTGGCAAGTTTGTGCTCCGAGTGGAGCCAGCCATTGTCGGGCCGGCTGACGAGGGCGCCCCGATGGGGCTCTGGGGGTGGTGGGGCGGCCATCGAGGGGCGTTGCAGCAAAAGCACCGTGCTGCCCGCAAATGCCCTCAACCCCTCTTGGTTGTGCGCCGCTAGTGGACAAGAGGCGCAGTGCGGAAACGCATGGCGCGCGCTGCACAACGAGGTTTCTGTGGTGGGCGCCGCCGCGGCCGGAGGACTCGTACGCCCGATCCGGAACTTGTGGTTTCGTTCGAGCGAGCGCGACCCGTTGCTTGACACCACCACCGTCCCACTGTTCACTGGGTAGACCCTACAATGAAAAAAATAGTATTTTTTTTTTAAAAATATAAAATAAATTAAGATTTGTTACAAGTGAGCCTTATAATAATAAAAATAATATTATATGATGAACAATAAAAATTGGTTGCAAGTTTTTGTTTCTAGGACTGTGTAGGACTGTTAAAGTAAGTTTAGTTTATTTTATTATCAATCATTTTTTGATCAGCATTATGTAATTTTGCTTTTTTTCTGACAATTTAGTTCCATACGCGTCATTTTTTTCCTTCAAATGTATATAATTTTTCATTTGTTTAAATACAAAATAAATAATAATCAAGATTTTAACATTCAAGATTAACAGCGTTTCAAAGCATCTCAGGAAAAAAAATAATAAAATAAACTCAGAAACTGAAAAAAAAAAAAAATGAAATGTATACCTGAAATTGGAGGTCCTCTCGAGGGAGCGCGACCTTCTAGCGGACTTCTTGCTATCGGGGATGGGGGCTGGGGGGCTGTGAGGGGGCAGGAAGACGTGCTGCTCACTGCTATTGCGTACGAGCAGCCTCTGGAGGGCGTGATCGGAGCGGCTGGTGGCGCCGTGCACCACCGACAGTCTTTGCAGACTGTTGTCCGACTTGGAGCGCTCGCGCAGCAACTTTGCGGCGCCCTTGTGGCGCCGCAGCAGCTGCAGAGCGCTGGCGACGCGCGACTTGGTCGCCGCCGGCAGACGCGTGTATCGCGGCGCCGCACTCGCGTCGCCGCCGCAAGATGCGCACTCGTCGTTTGCCGCCGCGGCGCGCTTCGGCTCTGAGCGCAGACCTCGCAAGCGCAATCCGATGGCGCTTTTCAGGCCGTGCAGACCACCTGTCCGCTGCGGACTGCCCAACGTCGACGCCGGCTCTGAGTGGCTCCTGCTACCGCTCTTTTTGATTGGCTCCTCACTTTCTGCAACATGCAAAAATTGCAAAATTTTTAGAAATTAATCAGATGAGAACATTTTACAAAATCCGATTTAAATCTGAATTTAATGATGGATTTTTCTAAATGATCTTGATTTTAAGATTAATTTTTGAAGAGTAATAATTTTTTGTCTTCGTTTATTTTTATAGCAATAAAAAAATCATAGGATAAAAAAATGTTTGGTAGGTGATTTTAGGATTTGGTTTGTGGTTAAATAAAACTGTGGTTTTAGATGAAAAGTGTCAAACTTTCATATAATTTTTCCAGTGACAAGAATATTCAACATTTTTCCGAGATTAATAGAGATAATTAACTTATCAAATTTAAAATTATTATTAAAATAAACATTATGATGCAATTAAATAAAAATAATTTCTGCACAATATTTTTTAAACCTAATTAGAGTGTATTGATTAAGAAGATTCTGCATTTATAATTACAAATAAATGAAGTACATTGAAATTGATATTAAAAAATTGCCTACACACGTTTTTGTTTTGAATGCTGATGTCTATTTTTTGCAACATTTTAGATAATTTTACTACGTCGGATGAGTCTTTTTGATCTCGGAAGTTTTAGCACCATTCTTGCTGCCGGTGGTGCTGTTTTCTCAGAAAAAAAATTCTTTCAAAAATTGAATATAATCAATTTGATGTAACAATTGAACGAATAGACAACTTTTAACAAATAAAACCATTTTGTTAAATAAAGAACTATTTCAACTATTACATACAACTGGTCAAGTTGCTATTTTAAACGGTTAAAATTTGTTTGATCAAACTAATTGGAATGAAATATAAATTAGACGAATCTTGGCGTTGATTAGGCGCTTGTGTATTCGCGCCGAGCGAATTTGCATTCAAGACGCGGCGCGCCGGCGGGTTGTGTGCATTGCATTTGCGTGTGACACGTTTTGTTTATATTTATTGATTCACGCGGCGGCTGCGACGGAAGCGAGAAAGGGCAGAGGTCGCGGCTCGGTTGGTTCTGCGAGGGACACATAATTAGTGCGAATTCACGGTTGCGGGGGCGCGAGCGGAAGATGGATAGGCGCACAAAAAACTCGATTACTCGCGCGACGAGTGACGCAATTTTCGCCCTCGACGGAGCCAATCAATGGGGCGCAAATCTAATTAGCGTGCCATTGATGCACGTCGAAAAGATTGGACTTTTGCAGCCACTCGACCGCCGGAACAATCAACAGATCTGCCACAGCCAACAAGCAAACTTTCCTGGCGCGCCTGCGGATTATGTTAGGCTGCGAATTGCGCGTCAACTTCTTCCTTGACTGCCGCACATTAAAAACTTGCTTCTCGAAATGTGTTTCAAATCCACAGATATCGTTGTAAAAGTTTCTTCTTTAAAATTTAATTTTCACCTCTGTCAATTGCGGCCAGAATTGCCAGAAACTTGGAAGGCCATTTTAATTAAAAATACAGAATCTGCTTTTGTTAAGAATCAAAATTTACAAAAATTTTCACTCGCAACAAAATTTATTTCTATTTAATAATAAATATCCATTTTTTCCTAAAAATAAAACAAAATGGTGCTTGTAAAAAAATATTTGTGACGATTTTGAAAGGAAATTCATTATGAGGTAGCAATTTAAAAAAAAGCGGTAGTTTCACTTACTAAAATAAAAGAGTTTTCGTCTCGCTTTGTTATAACAAATTCTAGCCTAATTTCTATGTGACACGTTTTGAAACGAGACACAAAGTTGAGCAGATGCAATGTAACACCACTGTCACTTTGACCGCGTGAATCGTGTGTGGGAACGCGCGTAGAAATGAGATTCTGGTCTGGCGAAAGAAGAGATTCAGACTTTTTAGGCGCCCTTGGTAGTTGATCGCTCAGCACTTACATGGAAGTATCGTTTTGCGTGGGAGGAAAGAGCAGCGTGTAATTTTGCGCAGTATCATTTCAGAATCATGGATATTTGAAAAGCGCAAAATTTTATTTTAGGCTAAAAGTTTTTGCTTTTATCACAGGCATCACAGCCTGTGTGCCACGTTCTGTTTTAGTTACCTAAATAATATTTAAATCTGCAAACATAGAACATTTTAAATTTTCTCCTGATTTCCAGGTCTTGTTCCCAAAAATTTTTGGAAAGTTAAAAACTGCTGGAAAAGACTTAATGGAATATTAAGAGCTGCTTTTTTCTTCAAGAAAATGACGCATATACTCGAAAACTACCCTGCCCTGTTTTATCACAAACAATTTCTCTTGACAGCAGATTTCCAATTGTGAATTAATAGATTTTCCTTGAGATAAACCAAAAAAATTAGGTTTTTAAAGTGGATTTTCCAACAATCTAGCGACCATACACATTCCTGAGTTTAGCTCTTTCGAATGGGGTATTCCGCAAGTGCCTGTGTTCAAAAACATAAATGTCAGCGTGTCCCAAAACAATTACAGTAAGAATTGTTACTTTAAATTTTGAGCAGTTTTTTCTGTATCAGCTTGGAAAAAATGCGAAGCGAAATTATAATTATGAGGCGCAATTAAAGGATTGCGCTGATTGGAGGCGGAATGGAAACGGTGTGGCGCGAAGGCGTGCAAAAGCATCGTTCAAAGCAATGCACCTGCGGTTGCTGCGGCATGAATGGGTCGGTTCGTTGATGGGTGCGCACCCCTCCCTCCCTCGCGCACCCCTCCGGCGGCCCCGTCGCAGCATCGATCGGCCGGTGCCGCCGCCGCCGCTTTGCGAGACTGCACGCAGAAAAGCAAGCCTTCCGTCGACGTGACCTGACCCGGCCGCGGAGCGCGGGCGGGCGGGTCAAGGTCGCGCACCCCTCTCGCCGGTCCATTCACCCGCCGCCGCTCCATTCATCCACCGGATCACTTCCGGCCGCGACCCTTCCGCTCCCCATTCACTCTTTCCTCAGCTTCTTCCCTCAACTGATCTGATTTTCCTGAAAATTTATCCAACAGTATTAATGAAGCACTAAATAATTGAATTGTACTGGATTTTCCTGTGCGAGTGTGTATGCCTGATCAAAGTAAAATTGTCATTGACTCATTCTAAAGAATGCAATAATATTTTTTAAGTAAAAATTTCAAATACTTGGCAATGTCGCAGAGTTTCTACAGATGTAAATATATATTAAAAACTTATATTCCCAAAGTATAATAATGTGGTGTAAAATGTTCACAACATCATCATATATTTTGAGAAGAAAACTTCTGTTCAAGAGAGAGGCTATTTTATATATTTAGTTATAAGTGAAAACCAGTCAATATATTTTGGTCATTGAAGGCCTTGTTGAGTTCAATGTTTATTGAAATAGAAATTTTCTGACACAAAATATTAATTCTGATTGTGATTATAAACAAACAACTTTTTATTTTGTGAAATGAAATTTATTTTGAATCGATAGTGACACTATCACTGCTATCTTATTTGGAAAAACTGTGGAAAGAAAATTTCACTAAGCAAAACCAAACTCTAATGTTTTATTTCCTATTTCATAATAAGATTAATAAGGGTGATCAAAAACCCTATAATCAGAATTATTTTTGTTATAATTGTTTTTTGGTTTTTTCTTATATTAATTTAATGCAATTATGTAGAATAAGTATCCAAAATTATCCATGTTAGCAACTATTTTACTTTCACCAAAATATTAATTTTTAGTCACTATAAATGGCTTTTGAATTTTGACATTTTCTGGATGAGTGAAATCCTTGAAACGCGATGTTAAAAAATACAAGGCAGGGGCTTTGGTTTTTGAATCGCCCAATTTTTTTTTTTTTTTTTTTTTTTTTGGTTTATGTATGTTATTTAAGTAAATGAATTACTAAATTATCACTTATCAAGTAAAATAAAATTAATACAAAAAAAAATTATAATTATTTGACGAGGCCTCAGCCAATGAAGTGATGCCAGTTCTGTTTGTAAACAAGTGAAAGAAAGTATTAATAACTTTTCAATCAAACCGATTTTTTAGGACCACTATAAAATGAATTAAAATAATCTTGATTGAGCTGAGAACAAAAATTTAATTTCCCAGGTGCATTTGAACAATATTCTCAAGAACTGTAGTCTAGAGACTTTATTTGAAATAATTAAGCATTGAATTTAATTTATTCCTCAAAATTACAATTTCCTTTTTTTGCAGGTTTTTTTTGTAGCTCTTTGTGTGGTGTAATTTGCAAGTCCTTGATAATGAGCACCGCGTGTTGCGGGATTATTTCCAGCACAAAAGAGACAAAGTAAAACCTCAAAGCAAAGAGCTCTCTTTTGACAGTAGAAAGGTTCCTAGAAATTCCATGTTAAAAAACGGAGCTTTTCTATACTTTGTACAAAAAAAAAAATTATTATTCGATGAAGTTTGTGAAACTTATTGTTAGTGGAAAAAAAGTGGGGCTGTATTTTTAATCAAAATGAATAAGAAATTTTTAGTGAATGGAATTGCGTTTCCTGGCGTGTTTGGTGAGGAGATTTTGAGACGCATATCAAAATCGGTATATTGAGCGGCTCTGATAAATTTAGCCTGTGGTCGGTCGGCGGTCAGTGGCGCTGCTTTTCGCTCTCTCGGAATAAGCAAGGTGCGGATGAGAGAGCAGATGAAGAAACGCACATGAACGTTGACGAGGCAAACAAACGGAAACGCCCACGCGGCCACTTTGGAGGCACTTCCGCGCGCGCCGCGGAGAACGCACGCTTGGCGGACACTTGACTTGGCAGCAGCCGAAAAAACTCATTTGCATCGAGCGGCCGCTTCCTCTCGCTAGCCCCACGAATCACAAAGCCGGCCGGCCTACGATATTCCTCAATCTTCATCATCTCCAACTTCCGTCCTCTGTTTTTGATAAAATTTACACAATGTCCGAGACAAAATTGATTGAAAAGGAAAAGGGAGAGATGCAGAGGATAAATTTTCAACTTAGAGAACTATTTCTGTTTTTTTTTTTTTAAAGAGACTTGCGGTGGTCCATACACATGAAAGATCTAAAGATCCGAGATGAAATTTTGACGAAATTGATTTAAGTTTAATTAATTTGAAAATAATTGTATTTATTTATAGAGTACCCAGTACCCTCTAAAAAATTTACACAATAAATGCTAAAATATAAACGCCATAAATATTTAAAAATAAACAGATCAATTGAATTATTGCTTATTGGATTTTGTAAGAGTATTTAATATTTTCCTTAAATTGAAATGAAAAAGCCGAAAATGGGAATCTGTGTGTTAAATTTAATTCAGGATAAAAATAATACAAAGAGATACTTTTTGATACGCACTAACTACAATACAATAACTTCCAAATATAACCACCTTTTTTTTTTTAAATCTAACAGTAACTTAATTGTAAATCACACAAGTTGTGTAATGGAAATGAAATCAAATTGAAAAATCACAATTGAAAAATTGTAAGGGGATGGTCAAAACTCAGGTCATCCACAAATGTTATATTTTTCAAAAAATAAATGGAACCAGTTTGATTATTCACCTTGAATAAATCGTTTCATAGATCGTCTCCATACAAAAGGCGAACAAAACACTCTGCAAAATTTAGGCTCTGCACTCATACATTTAGTGTGCCATAATAAAATATGGGACAAAAAAAGTCGCAAAAATTCTCATATAAAAATCCATTTGATTGGCAGAGGAAAAGTTCTCCCCTGGGTCTCACCCCTATAATCCTATTATTTCGTTCATAAATTTTTTAGATTGGCCAGCTGCCAATTAACATTATTGCTTTTAAGTGAATTTTAGGCGCTTTTGGTAAATTATCAATTACGGACAAACCCAAACACCGTTTTGAGTCGTGAACTGAACTTTTATAACACGATTACAATGAAATTAATTTATTTCCTACAGATTAAGCAACTTGATGTAGTTTGTGATTAATTGCATCCTCGAACATTAACTAGAAGTTTGACGCGACCAAAGTTGCCGCAAATTAATTATGCAAGCGTGTCCAGCAGCTTACTTTGGGCTGACAGCTGATTGGCATTCGATTTCGAACGCCGAGCAAAAGCAGTTTTTTGTCGGATGGCTTTGCGTCCGGTTTGTTTACGGGGCGCCGACGGACGGACGGACGGACTCGAAGGGGTCTTTCTTTGAGAGGGGGGCGCGGGGGGGTCAGGTCGGCAGTGGGAGATTCCACGGCGCGCGCGAGGGGCCGCGGAGAACGCCGGCTGCCGCCCCTTCTGCTTTCGCAAGGACCCGGCTGGGCCCCCGAAGAGCGCAAATTTTGAGGTTTTTTGGTCTGCCGAGGAGAAGAAGAAGTTTGGACTCACTTATTGCATGATTAACAGGTGTGTAGTTGTCCTCCTGCAGCGAGCGATATGTGCGGTGGGTGAGGCACTTGAGCATTTTGCCCAGCTCGGCGCTCATTTTGGGGCCCGGGGGCGCCGGTGGGTGGCCGGGGCGCCTCCGCCCCGGGGCTCCTCCATTCGCTGCACCTCACTCGCGGGCGGCTCCAGCTCGCGGCCGCCGCTCTTTCGCTCTCTCTCTCTCTCGGCTTCGCACTCTGCCTGGCTGCTCCGCCAACAAGAGCGCCCGCCAGACCCGGCCGACGACGGAGCCCAACGCATGCGCCGCCGCCCCGCGAGCGTGGGCGCACCCCCCCGCAGCCCGACCGGAAACAAGTGACCCCGACCGCCAGAGCCCACACGACCGGCCCCACACACCTAACTGTGAGTCCCTCCTGCACGTCCTCCGCCTTGCTCTCTTTCTTGAGCCATGAATTGCACTGCCAGGATTCTACACACTTGATGTTTCATTTTTGCACATCAATTCATATTTTCCTTGTCTTAATTAATCATTCATTTCCCATACGAGACAAGACTCACCCTTCCTGATGTAAAATAATGAAATGCCTTGAGTTTTGAAAACTATTTTATATTCGTTCAATCTCTTTTTATCCACCATACGTTTTTCGTACATTTTGAGGTCTGACAATCCAAGGAAACATTTGAATTTTGTTTGTGAATACATTTTTAAATACCTCCATAATCAAGTTCATGCAACAAAATAAGCTAATTTTTTCTATTATTGGAAGCATGGAAGACAACTAGAAAATTAGAAACCATTTTTGAACAAATAACATTTTGTGTATTTTCGATATATTTTATGTTCTGTTTAATGGAAGTTATTGGAAGCATATAAACCTGATCAAATAAAATTAACAAGGGCTAGAATTGAGCCTGATCAATTTTTATAATGATTTTTTATAATTAAAAATGTTTTGCAGTGTGACAAAAGCATCACACAAAAAACTAATCAAGAGAGAATTGATTTTTTTATTCACCTGATTCGCTTCTTTTTATTATGGAGATTAATTTTCCAAATTACTTTTTTCAGCACGAGCCCTTCTAAAACAAAACAACCCCACGTTAAATCTCTGTATTGTTAGTCAATAAAATAAGGTTTAGCATGACTTCAAAATTTATATTGACCGTACGAAAATTATTTTTTTGTTTATCGGCGAATTCCTCATTAAGAAAGACAGCTTAATTTTCAATTCCTGATTCCAGTAAAATTCGGTATAATTTCTGCAGTATTAAATGATTACCGCGCCTCCCTCCTGCGACCCTCGCGCTGAATCAGCACCAAAATAGCAGGTCGGTTCATTGTGGATCGGCCGGCGCATGAATGGGGCCTGCAGCAGTGCGCCTGCGTCCCTCCTGGCTCTCAATCGTCTGCCCTGCTTGCGTCTGCCGGCCCCGCACAGGCCTTACTTCGACCTGATCGCCCACCCACCCTTCCACACACGCACAAATACCGACCTGACCACTTTTTTGCCACATTCGGCTCAGAGTGACACTAAATCACGATTGATCTCATTGATAATAAAACCCACATTCAAAAGAAGAACGCAGCGACAGTATAATAATCAATGAATATTTCTCTTCTAACACAAATAACTGAATTTAAATCAAACCAACCCCCGATTTGTTTTCTTTTTCACGGTTTATAATACTTATATTGATATTAAAAATCCGCTTTTTCCTAATTCTCAATGGAAAATTGGTAAAAACTAATAAATTGTACAAAAATTGTCAAAATGAAAATTCCAGCCTTAATTTGTCAGACCAAAACAAGTCATAAATTAAACATAGCCGCGCGTAAGAAATATTAATATATCTAAAACTGATGCCCCCAAAGCAACACTCGAGGCGCTTTGTAATTAGCCATCGTCACGACCCGACAGAACAATTAACCGCCGTTATAACTAAAAATCACCTGGCGGCTTTCTTTTTCTCATTATCACCTTTGGGTCAGACGGCGAATTCTCCACATTCCTCCATTAAAAACTTCATAGCATTTTTTTTTCAATAATTTTCAAATGCTCTGCTTCCATTTATCAGGCCAAGTAAAAGTTTCTTGCCGTTTCGCAAAACCCGTTTGATGATCAAGTCAAAAGAAACGCGTAAATGGTTATCGCAATGAGAATGGATCGCGGACGTGTGAGTCACTATTCTTGACCCCACAGCAGAAAGGAACGAGATGAAAAAGTGTGATCGAGGCTGGGAGATTAAAGTGCCGCTGGCTACTAATTCCAGCAGCAAGTGCATTCCAATCGTTTACTGCGAATCAAAAACTTGAAATTCAAACACAGACCGCACAGACAATAAATTTGCACGCATGATAATTTATTAAAATAAAAAAAAAATAAAATTATTTTATTGTTCAAGACGCAATAAAATTCAAGAAGCAGTTCGTATAAAATGCATATAATAATAAATGCTGAGAATGCAAATTATTTTCCTGTCAGGAAATTTGCCGTCGAGTCACGTCGATTCCCAAGAAAAATTATTCTGTCTTTCGTCGTTTCGTGACGGGGCGGAAGTCGTTTTCCTATTTCTGAGTGAGTGGGACGCGCAGGGAGGAAGGGTTGCGGTTGCACTCGAGTAAACAACGCGCACCCTCTTTTAAGGTCTTGGAAAATTTTGCCCGGCGTTTTCCTCGCCAGCACGAAAATTTGGAAAGGGAGGGCACGTTTGGAAAAACATGCAAATTTCGTGGTACGAAACTTACCGCAAAGCAGAGAATTTTAGCGAATCGGTCCTGCGGCGAGAGGAAGAAGACACGGGACCGGAGATGATACGTCAACAAGCACAGCTGCTGTTGCTGCATCCCACAGAGTTGTACAAACAGAGAGAGCATCCTTGGTTAAATTTTGTCTCTTATGGGAGAGTGAAAATTCAGAGTTCAGCGTTTTGCCAGTAGAGGCGCTGGGTACGATCGGGTAAAATCGTGATGTCACATGGCTCTTTCGTAAGTAATCGGGGGTCGGGGGCGTCGAGGCGGTAAGGATTAAAGGAAATAATGTACCTGCGAGGGCTGCGAGCATTGTTGTGGCGAGCAGAATGAACCCTTTATGCCAGGCAGCCAAATAAATTATGCAGGAATTTTCTCTACGATTTAAATTTTTTACTTTTCTTCCCATTTCAAATTTTGCATGATTAAATTAATTGTCTATATTTTCAAACTGTTTAAAAATTAATTTAAAAATTGGATGCCCTTGCTTTTTATATTGCTGGTTGTGTTGAGAAAATATTATTAGAAATTAATTAGATTAACAATTAAGAATTCAGTTGATATAAATTCGCTAAATTCGCTGCAAAATTGGCAAAATTGACGGAAAAAGTAAAATAGAAAAACTTTTTGGTGCAGAAAAATCCTACATTTTTTGCATAAAAAATTTTCCACGACATAGCACTACTAAATTGCGAAATAAAGAAAGAATAATTAATTTTTTTGTTTCCAATTCAAAAAGTTTAAATTTCTTCCAAAATAAAAATAATTATGAAATTTGTGTACTTCTTAGACATTGCCAAGAGAAGTAAAGCAAAATTTTTACTTGGCATTGGTTACACTTTTAAGGGGAGCGTGATAGAAAAGTATAATTATGGATTTTTGGTAGATTTTCACGATTGATGGTTGCTACATGGTGATTTGAATTTAACGAATTTAAAAGTCGGCTTTTATCCTCGATGGGTTTTGTGAGTTGCTTATTGTGAAAGTTTGATTTTTGTTCTACAATGCCCATCAAGGAAAAGTCGACTTTAAAATAAAATCATCATGTTTTTAAATTGTGAGAGTGTGATATATAGTCTGTGGGTGTGTTTTTTTCTCTGAACTTGTGCAAATGCAAAAATAATTATGGTACACATTCTTCAAGCCCCCAAAATTTACTATGGAACTAATTGAATGTACGAAATCAATCAAATTCTCAAAACTAATTATATAAACATCTATTGAAAATTTAAAGCAATGAATTAATTAAAAACCTCATGAAGATCGCTGACTTGATAAAAAAAAAAACTTATTTTCCGATCGACAATCTTCTTGCATATTTACACTGCATCAAATTCTAAACTATTTTTAACAGTTTTAAATCAAGCAAGCAAGTTAAGCAAGTAACCAATTCAATTTTATAATTTAAATTCCGTAAGTTAATGCAATATTTTTATATCGTGCAAGTATTTAACTTTCAAAATTATGAATTATGAGATCTACTTTTTTAAATAATTTATCACGATCAAGGTTATTGCATGCTGCTTTAATTATTGGAAAAAAAACGATAGGTGTTTTTATTCATTTATTGTTTTACAGGACTGAAAAAAAAATATCCTTGCCTTCCTGCTTTACATTTTTTGGCTGAGGGCTGCAGCCACATATAATGAACCGTGAAATTATCTTAACAAGAATTTATAGTTATTAATTTTACCAAATTTTTTAAGTGTTATAACGAATTTCTGAGAATTTTTTTAAGTCTTCAATTTTACGGACTAAACATAGTTTCAGTTTTTAATACAAAATTTTGCCCTTTTCTTAAAAGTTTTACCGCGTTTAGAATTTAAACTTCTAAACGATTTTTACGCATAGTCTCATCCAGTCTCATCAAGGAACTGCCCGTTTCAAAATTAAAAAATAAAGAGACATGTTTGAAATGTAAAGAATTGTCTATAGGGTGCACTAGGGTGCATACTGCACATATATAATTTTGCTTTTGCAATGAAAAATTGTATTGTGAATTTATTTTTCTCAGCAACAATATTGCAGCCGCGTGTGCAAAATTGCGTGGCTGACATCTAAAAAAAAAAAACTATAATTATATTTTTTTTTTGAAACAGGTTGTTTTGAATTGTTCTATTTTCGTAATTCTATTTAAATTAAATTTATTTTTTACTTCTGGCCTTGGGGTTAACCAAGTTATTATTATTCACTGTCGTTATAAATTGCATAGTCAACAATTTAACTTTTTCGGATCGTGTCAGTAACTGTTTATAGGATTAAATGGCAAAAATCTAATTTAATGATTTGATTTAATAAATATATAACTTATTAGTTCGGAAACTTTTCAAGAGCAAAAATCTTCAAAATAGTGGCTGATCAGATTTTGAACAATCGTTATTTAAAAAAATATATATATATAAATAAATAAATAAAAAGTTTACAATGAAAAATCACAAAATAAATACAACAAAATTTAATTGATAAATTAAAAGAAAAAAGTTGGCTTGCTTGAAAAATATGTTAAAACTTTTTGCTCTCAATGGACAGAATATTTCATGTGATTTCATGTATCTTAATGATCTTAATTGACGATCCGCTACAAAGACAATATGTACAACTATGCACACCTATATGCCAGATTTGATAGCGAATTTTACAAACCTTTATTTTAATTAAATAGGTAAATCAGCAAATACAGCGTGAATAAAATTTTTCGATACAACTCAATCAGATAAACCTTTTAACTTTCAAAGTTTAATTAAATTATTTTAACGAATTTAAAAAATATGTTTGTACAATTTGCACAATTAATTATTTTTCAAATTTAACTGAATAAAACAAACTTACGTTATCTTTAAATTTTGTAGCACACTAAAAGAACTATTTTTTTTCAATTGAAATTTTTCATAAAATTTCCTCATAGGCTCATATTTAAACTTGAGAAATTGATATTTTACCGTGAGCGCGCAAAGCTGAGAACCGGAGAAAAAAATATATCCCTAATATTTGAAAAGGAGAAAAAGGCCCAAGGAAGAGCCCAGGAGAGAAAAGAAACAAAATCATCGGAGTGGAATAAATGTTCACAATAGCAGCCAGCAGCCGCTCGGTTGCTCAGTTGCAGCTCGTGCTCTACCTCCCCCCTCAGTTTCTCTCCGAGGTCAGTTGCAGAGGCAGGCGACACTCGCGCATAGGGGATTTAACAGGGATGCTCTCTCTGTACAACTCTGTGCTGCATCCCATTTCGGCCATACCTTTATGATTTCGGCATGAGAAGTGAACGAGAGGGGCGAGGCCGGTCTCTGCCATAAAGGTATTAGAAAGAGAGGGAAGGCGGGTATGCTGGCCCATGCTTTCTGGCCGAGCAAAAGTGGGATGTTGAACATCGCATTTTCAGCATCGCGAGTAGTGGGGATGCGATGTTCAGTACGGGTGGGGGTTACATGTTGTGTGCTCGCTCGGCTCGGCTGCGATCGTATCGCGACGCAGCGGAGCAAAAAAAGACAAGGGCAATATGCGCATTTGTCACAAGATAAAATGTTCAAAAATCAAACCGCTCAACAAAATTATTTTATTTTTATTAAATATTATTGATTTTTTTTAAATTTCATGAAAATAAACATTGTAAAATAAAGATTCTGTAAAAATATAATAAATATTTAATTAAAAATAAGGTAGTCTTATGAATTTTAATAAAACACACATTGTCAACATAAATTTACAAGTTTTTATTTAAATTTTAGTTAAATATAAAATTTATTAGTTTTAACAAATAAAAACTTAAAAGCTTATACATTTTTCATAACTTATATATATCATGTATTTATTTCTAAATTCATGAGTAAATGCAGTTTATCCTATATATAATTTTTAATTGTTATAATTACATTAACTTAATTAATATTCAATATGTAATTGTCAATAAACTTTTTATTATTAACTATTTACATACCTTGGTAATGGAGTGTCTTTAAATACGCTCGACGTTGTGACACAACATCGTGGTTTAAAACTTTTGCTTGATTTCCCACAATAATTTTAACATATCTTGCGCTTATTTTATGGATGATCATTTGCATATAATCAGGGCCATGATTCAAAAAGTGGTCCCTAAATGTACTGAAAATATTAGAATTTTCCAACGCTGTGGCAACTTTTTTTGGAATATTACTCCCAATGATCTCATTGAGATTTTTCCCATTCAATTCATTAATACAAGCATCGGTAATTAAACAAATTTTTAACACATGTTGAGATGGTTTCACGAGACCATAGGTGGCTTCTACCCTGTTTTTTTGTTTAATTAACCCAACTCCAGGTAAGTCATGGCCAATGCTTTCATCAGTTAAAACAGATATGCACAAATCACATGCTGACGTTGATTTAAACCTGCGAGCTAAAAAACCAGCAATATAACCAACAATATCAACAGCACAGTCCTCTGCCATTTCATAATCATGCTCAATTAATTCGTTCTTTGTGCTCAACATGGAAAGATAACGCAACTGAAGGCCATAATTTACCTTGAGTTTCTCAAATAATGATTGAATATCAGTTGGCGCCAAATCATTCATATTTCTAGATTCATTTAGCCAAGAATTTATACTATTTTCAATTCCAACTCTCTCTTTCTTAAAATTATTTCTAATAGGAGTTTCATCAAACACAATATTTCTATCAATCGACTCCAAAATATTGTAATGCTCCTTAATTGTGTCTAATATTACTTGCCGTGTCAAGTTGTTGCTTACAGGCGCTGAACTTGTCGTACGATAATTAACTGCGCCAAGAGACATATCCAATGTGCTGCAGCCGCTGACATTTAGGTTGGAGGAATTTGATGGTGCTGCTTGTGAGATGTCAACGCGAATTTCTGCTCCATTATCGCTGATGATTTGACGCCGAATTTTATTGGTTTTAGGGGCCTAATTGAATTTAATTGTTAAGGATAAATAAATTGAAATTTGAAAATAACTTTAATGGTCAACTCACAATATTGGATTGCTCGGGAGCTTTCCTTTTTGCAGCTGTTTCTAGATTGTCATCTTGCACTGGAAGCTAGAAAAATTTCTTAAATAGTATTTCAAAAGGAAATAGTAATATTGAGAAAATTAAAATAAAGATGTAACTTGAAATTGAAATAATTTTAACAATTATAATATTTAAATCAAAGTAAGAAATGATAATTTCATTGATAAATTAATTAAATTAATATAAATTAATTAATAAATAATTAAAATATAGGAAATATAACAATAATAACTATCAGTAGTGAGGATATTTAATTTTTCAATATATAAATACTTCAGTTTTGTGTGATTAACTAAAATTTGTATTTTACCAAAAAAAATTAATTAAAAACACTTAATAAATAATGGTATTTAAACCCGCTTCCAAAATTAAAAATAAAACGGAATTGTATTTTGCCTTACTTTTTTGGCATATATAAGAGGATGCACATATATACTCGGAACGGCCCCCCTTTCCAGTTTCCATCTCATGTTGTTTCCACCCTTGATTGACATGGGCGAAAAGTGCTCCCCGCCGACATAAAGGTTGGGAGAAATATTCACTTCAGGATAGTACTCCTGGATCCAATCACACCACTGATTTTTAATATCTTCGTCTTTGACATTGCGCATACTGAAAGTTTTAATTAACGTTGATAATATTAATAAACCATGAAATTTTAAAAATTAAATTTATATACCGAAAAAGAGGAATATTGACATTTTCATCAATATTTGATTCAAGGGGACCCCGCCGTCTCTTGCATAAGCTGCATGACAAAAATTTCTTCTGGCGAGGACATTGAAGAGCATAGGTTGGATCATTTTTTGCGTCACTTAAGTTGCTCATTTAAATTTGATCTAAAGATTATAATTTAAAAAATAATTAATTTCAAAACTATAATTATTGCAGCTGATTGCAACTTGCAATTTTAAATCTTTAAATAATTTTTGGCTTACCAAATTTTAATTGTGAATAATTTCTGGACTGCTCGGAACTCGGAATATAGTTTCGTCAATGATAGATACTGGAGGGATACGTCTTTCCAGCCGCTGAAAATATTTCAGACTGACCGAGCAGTGCAGGTCGAAAAGTTGCACAGGTGCATTCTGCATTGTCTGCAAACGGCGTGTCTGAGCCTTTGAGGAATTTTCGGAAATCGGCGCCGAGTCCATCTCACCCAATTGCCCCTTTTATTTGTCTAATCCCCAAAAAAGTGGCATTAACATTTCTTTTGGTATTTATTTCTATGCCTGGCGAATTCAACAAATTAGGTGTTAAGCCGACCTTCCAGGTAAATATAATTCGTCTATTCAATTTATTCATCCTGACTCGGAGTATGAGAGCGGCAGGGTGCCTGGCTGATGGGTTACGTCCGCACCCACGGCTGCCTTTTGTGCAGTCTTCCTCGACTCGGCGCCAATGTTTTGCGCCTCCACGAAATAGAGCCGAGTATACCCGAACGAAAAGCCAACCTCTCCTACCGCGAGGCAGAAGAGGAGAAATCTCTCTCCATAAGGAAACGCATTTAACACAGGAGCCTTCCCTCTCTTTCTAATACCTTTATGGTCTCTGCGCCAAAGATCAACAAGTGCAATTCGTACACGTAGCGCCATCAGGTGCATCCGAGCAAACTACGGTAATTAAAATTCAATAATATCAGTGAACTGCAATCAACAGTCAAGAAAATGCCTTTAATTGAATTCCAAATGAAATAACTCTTCCATTTAGTTTTATGTAATTTTCAAATTTATTTATTTTTTTATTTATTTTTATATTTCTTTAGAACATCCTGATGTTAATCAAGTGATCAAAGTTTATTACTGTTATCAATAGTAGTTTTTAGTTTAAGTAGGCAACATCCAATCGAGTTACGTGTCATTTTTACCGACATAATGTCTGGTGCACGTTTAAGGATTATAAAATACAATGTTGCAGCGCTATTTACAATTTCGGTGCAAAAATACTTAAACCCAGTCTGGTTCATCTCGAGCTATTTACAATCTTAGCAATAGTAGTTCAATGGTGGGGGCAAGTTACAAAATAAAATTGACACAAAATAGAACAGTCACAGAAGCGCGACTTACATAATATAATTGCCACGGCTCTGGTCATGTTTTACAAAATGCATGGTAGTATTATAAATACAATAAAACAATTGATTACAGGGGGGGGGTCAAAATATTATGTACATAAAAAAATGAATTGTAATGCAGCTCATAACATTTGCTTACTTTTCATGAAGTCAAAGAAAAAGTTAACATTAAAGAGCATCACTTAGAAAAAGCAACAAGGATATCAGCATTCACTGAATGAGTGACTTGATCATTTCCAGTTTGCCTTCGACAAACTGGCTTATCTCAGCCTGGCTTTTGGTAGAATACTTCTTGCGCACAGCCTGAAAAAAAAAAAAAAATAAATAAAATCTTATTCAAAATTTGGCTGAAGAGGATCTCACCGTAAGGGAAGAAGTGTGACCCTTGACTACGACAGCTGCCACCAACTTGACGGCCGCCTCAACCTCAGCGAAACTGTATGCCGAGAAGAAATGGAGGGTGGGGGTCCACATTTGGGCAAGGGTGGGTTGTTCCTCCTCCGAGTTGAGCAGGAGGGAGAGGCAGAGGGCGGCAGCCGCCTGCAGGGAGGGTGCCACATGGCACAACTCGTGCCGCACCAACAGCAGCTCCATGAAATACTTGGCCGTGCAGTGGTCCTCGTAGGTGGCGTCAGAGGTTTTGGTGAAGCGCCGCAAGAAGTGCAGAGGCAGCGGCCGGCCGATGTTGAAGTTGAGAGCGGACAGGATCTTCATTTCCATGTCAGCCACCTGCTTTTTGTTGTAAGTGTTGTCAGTCACGTAGACGCAGTCACCAATGGTCGGGCACATGATCTCCTCGTACTTGGCAGCGAGCAGCAGGCAGGTCACTCCAACAAGTTGCAGCTGTGACTTTGGAGTTGCCAGTGCAGTCTATCGGAAAAAATTATTAGTTGATATTTTCTAATAATAAATAAGAGACTTGAACGCACCGGCATGTAGCGGTCAAAAATGGCAACAGTCAGGTATAGGGTCTCAGGGGTGAGTTTGAACTGGCGGTGCACACCAACAATCCAGTCAATCAACACAGCTCGCATGTGGAACGTCATTTGTTTGCACTGCTTTATGTAGCCCATGGGGACACTGTAGGTAACCTGATCAAAATAAAATACATAATTATGGTCTAATTATAATTCATTTTTTTATTTTTATAACAAACCTCAAGTTCTCTCAAGTATGAGTAGATGTCCCCCACATAATCAGCCGCATTCTGGGCATTGTCTCTGTCCCTTGTGTCCAGCTTTTCCAGTTGTTTGATTTGCTCGTTCGAGAAGCCACTGAAGTCAGGCTTGTTCTTCGTACTTTCCACTTTAGGGGCCTCCTCTTTAGGCTTAACCTGCAGAATGCTAGGCTTGACCCTGACCACAGGCTTGGGAGCAGCCAAAGACACCTTGGGTTTGGTCTGAGGGACGGCCTGGTTGGTCATGATGTTAGTGACGCGGCGCAGGATGCCTGGTTTAGCTGCGGCTGGTTTTTCCCTCACACTCAGACCAGCGGGTTTCTGCTCAGCGACTGGTTTTGACGTGGCCTTGCTAGCCAGGGTCAGCCTGGTTTAGAAGTTTCAATTTTAGAAAATTAGAAAAAACTATGATTACTAAAATAATACTTTGGCTTAGCCAGTGGGGCATTTTCCTTGAGATTGGCGTTTGGTTTGTTCAGGGTAAGGCCTCCTCCCTTGCCGATGGTAACCATTTGGACGGTGGCCTTGTTGCTGATCTCGCCCAGGGTGCTGCGCACATGTTGCAAAGGTGCAACTTTGCGGGTGACGGCGTCCTTCGCCAAGACATTTTCCTTCAGCAAACCCGACGACTGTAACAGAACGGGAATGTGAGCAAGAATTCTTCGCACTTTTCAAACAAGTTTGAACATGCAAAGAATTCGTGAAATGGCCGTTGGAAGAATGGTCAGAATGGAGTTCTACCGAAGGGAATTCCGGTTTCCGGTGCATAAATCGCAGCCGGCATTGTCGGCCGACGAGTCAAATACGAAAAAATTAGAAAATCAACTAAATTTAATTCATGAATTTGAAAATACTCACTTGGAAGTTGCGGCGAGTGACGCGAACAGGCCTTGCGTTTTCTGCCATTCTTTTTGGCTGTTTTTTCGACAAGAAACGACAAAAAAAGTGAGCTGCTAGCTGTAATATTGCCGCAGATATCGACAACTAGTCCGATTTTCCACGAAAAATGGCTTTTTTCCAGTAATTTTCGAAGATTCTTGCGACTTTCTTTTAGCACGACGTTCGTTCCAACGGTTTCTCTCCTTCAACAATGCAACTTGCCGCACTAATGAACTAATCCGCGGGCCAATCACAGCTCTCTAAAATGATCACGTGACCAACGGTTGCGGGCATTTAAATCGAGTCAAGTGACCTACGAATATTTTTAAGTTTGGTTTTTCTGAGCTTAATAGAACAACATTATTTACTAATACGCGTAATAAAATCATAAGTAGTTTTTCATTAATTTTAATCAAAATTTAAGTTATTAAAATTTTAAACGTTAAAAAATAATACTTTATAATGACTTCAGCTGCTGTGTTTTTCTTTTTAGCCCATTGGTGGCGCCAACAACAACGTACAAATACAAATAATAAGACTTTTCTTATTATTGGAGTTTTACGAAGTTTTATTATATAGGTGGTAAATTTTTCAAATTTTAAAAGATTGTAAAATATATCCACAATTAATTTGGTTTTTCTTATTTATATGATTTTCAAATTAGATTAAAAATTTATGTACATTTAAAAAAAATGGTAACTAACCAAACTAATGACCCGTTACCACAATTCATGTTATTGAGATTGAAAGCGCTATGAAGGGTGCATGGAATTAAAATTTTAATTTTTATTAAGCTCCTGTTCTCAATTTTCATTTACAAAGTTAAATGAAAAAATTAATACAAATTTTAAAAGTGTATAAAAGGTAAAAAAATTCATTAATTAAATGCCACTGTACATCATGATAAACAAGAGTTTTATTTTTAATATTATTCGGTAATTCTTTCACTACACAATAGAAACAAGTAAAGAAGCTAGGAAATTGAAAATCACATGAAGACTTAGAGAATGCAAGTTAAGTGAAGTAAAAAGTCAGGTTAGTTCACTTTTCAATCATCTACTAGAAAGGAATGCAGCAAGCGACGAGTTTCCCAAAATACATATATTGGTAAATTTTTAACTTTTTCCATAGAACTTCTTGTTCAGCAGGAAGAGCAGCAGGTTAACATTGACCTTTGCTTTTCCAAACATATCCATGATCGCCTTGCCCTCGTACTGAAGCTGCAGCAACTCCTACCAAAAAATAAAAAACAAACATTATTTGAAATTTGAGAATATTTTTCCGAAGGATACCTGAATGTCGATTTCTGCACTGTCCATGGGTATGCCCATGAAACATCCTTTGACGAGGAAAACTCCCACAGACTCGGAGGGTGAGATTTCAAATTGGACGCTCTTGAATTGGTTAGACGGCAGACCCTGCATTTGGTGCAGCACTCCTTTTGCGTGCAGCTGGGCTGCAGTGTACTTAAGTACCTTCTGCGTCTTGGCCTTGCCTGGGTGCTGCCCTGAGAGGCGCAGAGTGTGGACCCTTCTAATAAATTAGAGAGCAAGAATTATAAAATAACATGTTGAAAAATGAAAACTAACTTCTTTCCACTGTCCAGGCTTGCCAGGCAAGTTTCAATGTACTTGTTGTAAAATTCGACTTGTTTTTGGTACCACTGATTTTTCTGCTCCAAACTGCTGATGGTGTTTTTTAAAAGGACCATTTCCTGCAAATATTTGAATTGATGATTTTCTACATGATCATGAATCACTCCTTACGTTGCGCCTAGCCTGGCAATATTGGCCTCTGTTGATAATGTCTTTGGCCACGGAGGAAAGAAGTTGCTGGTAGTCGTTTTCAGAGGACACCAGCCCCTGTTGTTCCAATTTGCCAAGCCAGAGTTGAAGGCGCCTCTTACTCAGATGCAAACTGCAAACGCACTTTTATTTAGTGCTCATTGAAAATAACATAAACATACTTTGAATTGTTTCCTGACTGCTGTGAGTGGATAGAATTCTGCTGCTTGAGAAATTGTTCATTTTGGCCCGGCAGCTCCTGTGCATCCAGAGCTTCCGTCAAAGATGAACCTTTGAGGAACGGAAGCAACGCCACAAGCAGTTCTTTTGCCCTGAAATAAATTTTTTTAACGCTTTTTCCACATATAAAAAATTATTTACATAATGAACATTTGACTTTGATTTGGCTCTTGCTTTCCATTTGACATCTGCTCTGTGAGCACCTCAAGTTTACTGTTGGACAGCGTCAAGGTTATGTCTCCCTTCGGAAGCAAGGAGTCAGTGGAGCTCCCTGAATTATGAGTAATTTAAAATTCAATTGTTTTTTGTACACAAGAGTAAAATACCTCCTAGCAACTTGCGTACAGAAGTCAAAGGACCCAGGCCTTCAAGGATAGAATGCAACGGATCAGATTGTTTAGGCGCAATGTCATCCTCATACTGCAAAACTAACTGATGCGTGTCCCAGAGTTCCTAATTCAAAATTTATTTTGCAAGTAAATGCGTATTTTCTACCAAAAAAATTCTAGACCGACCTGCAGCGATATTAAAATGGTAGGCTTGACAATCATGGTGGCCTCCGAGTAGGCATGAACTCCAAAGTGTTCTTCAAGGTCTTCTACTTGGCAGCAGCGAGTGAGGAATTTTTTGAACTTTTCGTGACACTGTATGATGAAAGGGTTGAGAACTTTCAAGTGCGACGACTCTTCACCAAACTGAAAGTGCATAAAAATTTAACAAACTTAACTTTAGCCTGATTAAATAGATACCCCTTTCTTGGAAGCTGCATACTGAAGGATTTTGGCAATGCTAGCTAAATTGTTCCTCTGATCTGCAGTGAGGGTTTTGTCTGCAGGCAGGGTGACAACATCGTAGGCATCAGGGGCCACAATGGCAGCATTAATGAAATGGTAATAAACAACGTGTCCAATAACCTGCAGTTTTAAGTTGAAAAATTGGATGCTAGTTTTAAACATTGCAAGTCTGTACCTTCAAAAGATCTTTTTCGGGAAAACCTGGGAACCTTTGAGCAAGGGCGTTGTGTAGAGTGCGAGCCGTGTGCAACAAACTGTAAGGAAGCTGCTCGCGCTCCTCACAAATTCGCTCAAGAAAGAGACGCACTGTTTCCTGCAGACTTTGAATGCCTTTTTGAAGGCGCTTTTGTACTTCTTCGTGTGCCAATGCTTCGGCAACAGTCACGTTTCGAGGCAGATCACTAATTACGACAAAATAAATAAAAGACAAATTTCACTGCTTCAGTTTTATTTACCTGGCTGCGCCTGTGGTCATTTCCATTTTGTTGATCCAGCTGTTGTAAATCTCAATAGGATTTGTTTCAAAAACTGTGCTTTTGTCGTTGACCACTCTTTGAATGAGAGGACCCAAAATTTCACGCAGCGCATTTTGCCCAGAGTGCTGACGAGAAAAGTTGACGGCGATTTTCAAGACTTGAGGGTATACTTTGAGAATGTCCACAGGCTCCTTGAATTTACATCTAGTTTGAAACAATTTACTTGAGAACTTAATTTGGAAATTAATTTTATTTATCATACTTGATTTCCTCCTCAAGTGCCGTTTTCAGAAGATTCAACAACATGTACTCATCCCTCTTACTGGAGCCAAAGTTGAAAAGGGAGAAAATTACGTCTTGAAGGAAATGCATGGACTTGCTCTGCGGCAAGCAAAATAACAACTTGGACAAATATCGAGGCTGCGTTTGCAGCAGGTAGAAAAGGTTTTGGTATCCTTCAAGCAGGTGCCTGCCCTCCTTGGTCAGGGACTTGAGTCCTTTGCCTCCCAAAAAGCTGCACCCCACTGACGGCTGATCCGACATTGAGGACTTTGGGCCTCGTGCAAGATCGGACATTTGGGAATGGTGGGCTTGCACATCCTAGCATAAATTAAAAAAAAATAACATAGGGGTACAGTTAAGGAAATAGATTACTCACATGTAGGGAAATTCTGTTTTGCACAAGCAGACCAATTTTCACATCCATGTCCTCCAGTTGCTGGGATAAAGTTTGATAAAGTTTGATTGAAGTTCTCAGCGCGCGCGTCATCCAGGTTGCCCTCAAATCAGCAACTCGGCATCTGTGACCTTTGCTCTTTGTTCGGACAGATTCATAGACAAATATGTTTCGCAAACAGTGAACTTACATTTTAATTACAATTTTCGAAAATTTTAAATTTTGTTCCTGGAAGGTGGTAAGCAACCCGCGCTACATTTGTGCGAGCGTGTTGCCTAAATCCGTGCGTTTTCTTTCTTCCTCGTCTTCTTGCCTGCTCGCTCCTGCGGGAGGCGTGACGCCACGCACAGGGCAGCGAACAGCTGTGCGGTGGAGGGAGGAGGAAAGGTACCAAAACAAAACATAAACAAATTGGCGATGAGAGAACTGCACTCGTCGATGCGGCGATGATTTTCGACACGATTTCGCTTGCCGACAGTGCCGACGAATGTAGGAGGTGAGCTTGAACTATTCGCACATTTAATTATTCTAACATTTTGACAACAATTTTAAAACACCGCTTAGATTTAAGTGTCGCGATTTGTAAGCACTCTTATCTCACAACGTAAACATAATTTCAAAACAATTCTTATTTTAAATTTACTCTACTTTTCTTAAATTATGCTGGCCTAACTTAATTCCTTGCATTTAAAGTTAAACATAATTTTTGAAATCATAATACTGTCCTCCTTAAATTAAAATTATGGTTGACTTGCAATTCTGGGCCACTTTTTTCAAATTGGCAATTTTCTAAATATTTACAACAGAGGGGAATGTGGTTGTATACAAATAACAGGGATTACCTTTATTTAAACCATTTCTGAATATGCAATTAATTACAATTATCAGATTATTGGAATAAATTAAGAATTTCGATATCCTTGTGACTTTTGATTCTGGGCCACTAACTTTCATTTCTGGCCACACTTCCTTTTAATTCTGGACCATCTTGTGATAAAAACAAAGGGCCCAGAATTGAAAGTGGCACTCACAACTCTGGGCCACTTACTTTCAATTCTGGACCGTCTTTTTTACATGATAAAACAAATGGCCCAGAATTGAAAGTAAAACTCACAATTCTGGGCCGCCCTTCTATGAACCCTATGTAGTGAACTAAATGGTCCAGAATTGAAAGTATCCCTCACAATTCTGGGCCCCCACCTGAGAAAAAACAAGTAATTATTAAATATTTTATACACGAATCGCTGTGAAATTTGACTGATTTTGAAGATTGAATGATCAAAAGATTAATCAAAAAGCTTTTAACTAAAAAAATTTAATTTATTAATATAAAACATTGGATGCGAAAATTTTGCAAATATCCATTGCTCTAAACTTGCCATTTCTTTTAAATGTTTACTACATAATTTTTTATATAATTAGGGGAGTTATTGTAAAAAACAACAATAGATAATGTAAGGAACCACTGCACATTGCAAAACAACAGTTACCATCCCCAAGTTTTGTGCTTTCTCAAGAAAAACTCATTTTGATGGCCCAGAATTGAAAGTGGCCCAGAATTGCAAGTTAACCATACAAAACACAATTTTACACAATCAATTCTCAAATTTTTTTTCTGGTCAAAATTCAACTGTGTTAAATTTAACAATCTTGTTTTCCTTTTTAACTTGTAACTTTTTGACATTTTATATTTGAACTCTTAATTTATAATTGGGGAAATTTTAACTTTTGCTGTGGCTCATTTACTTTTAAAACATTTTATCATTTTAAAAAAAATATTTAATTAATTTTCATTTACTTTTAAAATTCACTCTTAATTTTAATTACATGTTGCCTTAAAATTAAAAATTCACACATACTAATTTTCACATTCTTTCAGGATATCTCTTGCTCGTCAAGAAGCTTTTACGGCCTCCCGACAAGACTCTTGCGTCGGTCTTCTCTTCTGGTGGGATGAGATGACTCTACTTGGACCTTGGGGTTGCTCGAGGTTGGCATCCGAGCACACTGGAGCCTTTCTTTGGTTTCCGATGGAGGGAGCCCATCGAGTTGCTCGGCAGTGGCGGACATTCACGACAAGCTTGACGAAGGCTAAGAGGTGAGTGAGGCTGCACCATTGTTGCCTCTCAAAGCCCTCTGGATTGGACATCTCTTGGCCGGGTGCCCTCGGGCTGAGCAGAATGTGCAAATTTGCTCGGGGCACCGGCCAAAGCGGTGTCCTTTCCTGGAACACAGCTGGCAAGGCACGTTTGGGCAGTTCCTCGCCATGTGTCCCTTCTGTTTACACTTGTAACATTTCTTTTCTTGCAGGCTTTCCTTGGTTGCTGGAGGGTGGCCGTTGGTGATCGGCAGTGTAGCTCCCACCGTGGAGCCACACACTGAGGTGATGGTCGCACTCGGAGGCTGAACGGGGCAGACTGACGGTGCTGCTGGATTGCTCTGCCACATATTGGACGTCACCACACTGCTGGTGGTTTGCATGAGAGTGCTCTGGTGGTTGGGGGCACCAAAGACAGCATCCTTCAGCTGGCGAATGTATCCCAAGAGCTGCTGCTGCTGCTGCTGCAATTTTTCATCCTCAGCTGCTTGAGCTTGCTCCTCACGCTCACGCCTGAGCTTGGTTCGCCGCAAGAAGTGCTCTTGATTTTCTGCAATTTCTCTCATGCTGGAAAGGTGATTTGAATTTGAATAAACAATTGCTTGCTGAAACTCGGTGCGGAGCCCCTCAAAGAATCGGTGCTTCAGTTCCTCCTCCAGGAAGAACCGTCGTGTTTCCTCCTTGTACTTGGTTCGTTCGAGCAGGGCACTGAGGAGCACCTCCCCTGCATTGACAAGTCGGCGGTAGAACTGGACGACTGACTCATTGCTGCCTTGTTCCAGGCCATCAAATGCATCTTTGGCCTCGGAGTAGCTGGGTGGCTGCTCAAACTCGGACGCCAACGCCTTCTTCAGGTCTTGGAGTGAGAGGGCGTCCAAGTTGAGCTTGCTGGCGAACCGGAACACATCGCCTTCAGTGTTGCTGACAGCAAGGCGGACAAGCTCTGCATCTTGGGTGTGTGGAAAGGCGATTTTCACCCGCTCAACACTGTGGATGAAGTTCTTCAAGGACAGGCTGCCATCTGCTTTGTAGATGCCAATCAACTGGTAGACATGGGCTCGAATGGCGATGGACTGTGGGTCTTCTGGTTGGACATCTCTGTTGACCAACTCGGACGAGGTGAGAGGTTCCATGGTCAAATTGGTGAGTACAATATTACAAAATTTCTTAAATTTATTCGCTTATTTATAAAAATTGAGCCACAACAATAAAATTTAGCAATGGACCATTTTATTTGTTTCTTTGTAAAAAAAATTTCTCTCAATTAGAGGATTATCACCCAATCTCTAATTAAACTTTTCGCGTTTTTAACCCAACTTTGCTGATTACTTTTAACTTTCAATTTCCGAGTTCCTTTTTGGCATGAAGTGCAACTTTGCAAAACGCCCTTAAGGCTGATATTTACAAAAAGCACTCTACCCACTCAAATAATAGGATCCATTACAACTTAAAAGGGATACCTTAAATTAACAGCTCTGCGTTTTTCTTGGTCGCGCTCTACAGCAGTGTGCCTGTGTTTTCCCGTGAACAAAATCGGCAAGGTGCTTCTTAAGGCGCTCTCCTTCCGTCAGCCTCTTTTAACTTTCGGTGCACCTCGATCCAGCGGTCGCTTCTTGTCGATGGCACCAGGCTTGTCACGGTCGGTCTCGGATCCTCAGAACTTCGGCGAAAACAGGGTACGGGAGAGTACCGTGCTCTCTGGGCTGGCCAGGGTGCGCGGGACGTTCCAAAGGGTGCGTTTATTTGGAGAAAAAAAAACACACCCCACACCTGACACCAAATCTGTCGTGACTCTCGACAGGACTTTTCCCCGAAGTTCTCACTTTGCGCAGAGCTGGAGACTTTCCCGGACTCGAACGTGCTTCTTAATTAATTATTGACTTAACTTGGCGGCCTCATGGAAATTGGCTTTAATTCTAATTGGCCTTTAATGCTTTTACTCTTTTATCTTTGTGCTCTAACTAAAAAGGGTTAATTGATATTTCAAGTAAACAAGTTAATTAACAATAACAAATAAAGTGATGGTTTATTATTCTTAATACTAAACAATAATTGGCCAAACTAATGCGGAATTACTATTAGATTTAATAGTCTAATGCTGAGTTTTAAAGTTCGGGCTGAATTAGTGAACGGATTAAGCTGATTTAAAGGGATATTCAGTTCGGAATTTATATAGCGTGGGCGCCAAGCAATACCTTTTAAAGCGGGAAGGGAAACCATTACAACCACACTCAGTCGAGTCCAGGAAGCGTCTGCTTGGGCACTCAGGTGGCGCCCTGAGCGCGGCGGTCGTAGTTCTTGGTGGTGGCGTGGCGCGCGGGGCGGGAACTTAAGGGTTGTGCTCAGCTTTGGTTAATATACTAAATGGCCTTAACGCGCGCGGTTACATAATTATAAGATTTGTACAATTAAAGTTCTTCTTCTGCAATACAATAATTAAAGGTCCCTGTGGTTACACCACAGCACATGCTATACACAAATAAGTTATATTTTCTAAATTTATTCACATTGTAAGAACTATAAACTTACCCTGCTCAGCCTCTCGTGACTCTGCGTCAGCCATTCGAATTGCCTCCTCTGCGTCGGAAAGCCACAGTTCAGATGATTCTCTGTCTTCCTCTTCTCGGATGGCCTGCAAAATCCGCAGGTACAGCCTAGAGTTCTTCTCCTCCACAGGAAGGTCTATCTGAGAACTCAGGATTTCAAGTGCACCGAAAACCTCTCGTTGGTTGTCCTTAAGCACAGCTCGGTTCAATTTTTGCAATGCGCCCACCACTGGCAAAATTTGTAAGTTAGAATAATTTAAAAACAAAATTTTGACTTACTTTGATTTTGCATGTCAATCTTTTGGTGTACTTGGGTCACACAGTCGTCGATGTCAAAATACGTCAGCATAGGGCATCTGCTTTTCTCCAACAACTTCTTTTGTCTCATTTCGTAAAACGTTTTCCAATAGTCATCGATAAAATATTCATCCAGCTTAAAAATTGTAAAAAGATTTAAACAAATTTCAATAACTAGCACGGTGTAGCTTACATCAAAAATATCACCAAGGTTTTTTAGAGCTCTCCACATTTCCTTGGTGTTGTTCTTGTCGACTGCTAGTGTGACGCAGGCAATTTTAGTCAGTAAATCAATGCAGCCCTGGATTTCCTTGATTGTCAAGTCACGCTATAATATAATAATGAATAATTTGCATGGGTGCTAAATATTTAGATTATAATTTACCTCTAGGTCGCTTCTATCATTTTTCATTTCAAAATGATAAAGAGGAGCAGCTTCGGGAATGACATTGTCCAGAGAAAGAGCTGGATTTTGCAGAGCCTTTAGAGTTTCTACTGGAGTGCCACTTCGCAGAGCTTTGTTCACATTCCACATGGCTTCCAAACCTAAAAATTAAATGTGTTTATCTTTCAAGTTTTCAACTTGAATATCTGGTTCTTACGAAGAGCTGATTGCAAAGCAATGTTGTTTCCAGCTGTGATCACATTTTGCAGGATTTGTCGGCAGCGAAGAGAGTCAGGCGGTGTTTCCTGGAGATCATTATTCTCTACCATGCCGCGAAGGTCCTTCATGTAGTGACCAATGCATTTATCATCCACAGCCTAAAAACAAGATTTTTTTTCTGATTTCCATTCTAGTTAAAAAAAAAAACTCGGACCTTCAGTGCTAACGGAACAGCCCGCAAAGCTGACTTCAGTGCGCCTTCGTCTCCATCCTCAACAGCTTTCAACACAGCATTCCATGCAACAGCAACTAAATTTGTTTAAATAAAACTTAAAAATTATTTGTTTGTTAAATAGTTACTATTGACAGAATTAATGTATCCCTGGATCTCAGCTTGCGTCAGCAGCTCATCATATACATCAGCAGTGTAACTATCACTCAATGACTGAAAATTTTCAGATTTTTAGGAGATTTGAATGGCTGCAATTAACATTACCTTGTCCTGTGCTACTGCCGTTTTGTCCTTTTTAGCCTGAACCATAACTGCTTTGTATTTGCCCATATGGTCATCAACTACCCATTTGAGCTTGGCAACAGAAGCTTTCAAAGCATGGAGGAAATTATCACCTTCCTAAAATTAATTTATTATCTGTAAAAACTGAAATTCATTTTAGAAAAAGCAAACTTTTTTATCTAGAGTCTCGTTGATGGCAATGATGGCCGAGTGCAAGGCAGCCTTATCAACGGGCATTTCATTGGCAAGCAATCCTCCAATCTTTTGGAAAAGCGGCATCTGAACTCCAACCTTAACCAACTCCTTCTTCATAACATCAATTTCAGCATCTGTAAAATAATATATTGAAAGAAAATCAAAATAAATATAGTTAAAAATACCAGTGAAATATGCTTTTCCATAGAGGTCGCCCATGGCTGGTGTTTTGCCAAGTCGGAAAAGGTGCGTCGACAAGGCGTGAATGCAGTAAATCACCCTAGGCATGTTCTTTTTGTCGTAAACGTCAGTCGTCTCTGGGAAAAACGTCTGAAAACAGATTGATTATGTAAATGAGATTGAAAAATGTAATTTTGGGGAAGTTTGATACAAACCCTGGGCAGCTTGACGGCATCTAGGGAAGCAATCCATTTGTTGATGTTGTCAGTGTGACGAAACTGGAGGCCAAATCTGTCATATCTCGACTGGTCAATGTCGTAGATTTTGCTCAGCGAAACCACCTCCGGGGCAATCAGGTGTCCCAGCCTGGCAAGCACCACTCCGTTGCGCAGGTTTTCCTCTAATTCTGTCGAAGGTGGAAGACTGATCTGCAGTATGGACTCCAGCCACCTTTAATGTGCTTTAGTATTGAGTAAGTAAGTACATAGAAAATATTACTTTTTAGACTCCTCGAGGTGGCAAAGGTACTGGTAGGCCATGTCCTGCAGACGCATCTCGTCCATGTTTTCATATTTGTCAATGTTGGGACGCACGATGCCTGAAAAATATTTAGCTTTGCTGTCAAACATGATCCTGCACACCTTCACGTGGCCAATGAAACTCATTTTGTCGGAAAATCGGGAAAAAACGTCCTGAATCTTTGCACATTGGAAAGTGAGCAACACTGTGTGCTGAGGGATTTTTATAGACACTGCCTGCAAAAATTTAGGCAATTCACGGCTTTGAATTTTTCATCAATTGTAGAAAAATACTTAAGATTCCCACCAATGATTCAGTGACCTTTGTGTGCATTTCAATGTGTACCAAAATATTCCGACAAGCTAAATAAAATTATTGCAACAATGATCGACGATTCAGATCTTACCGGGAGCATCGGCTTTTGCGTCTGTCTCGATGACACCAGGCATGTTCGACGGTGCTTTTCACATCTACACCTCGGCGAAATGCTGCAAATGCATAAAATGCGCCCAAAACTCTGCGAATCTGTCAGAAGTCGTGATTAATTTGGAGAATTTCTGGCACGCCAGATTTTTGTGACACCCGTTGCCCGCCGTTTTGCTGTTTTCAACGATTTTTAAACGGCTTTGCAAACTTGATGCAATGTTACCAACTTAATAATATATTTCTGAAGCATATTTTTAGCTCCTTTTGTTATATAAACAGTTTATTTCAACAAAATATTTCAACAAAAGTTAAATTATATTCAAAAAATTATTTTAAAACAATTTACTTGCATATGAAGGCAGTATTATAATGATTCAAAATGGATTTTCGTACTGTTGGTGCACTTGATGGCAGCTGTTGTTTTTGTTTAGAAATCTCCAAGGATCTTTCATTTATAATAAAAGATCCTTGGAAATCTCTCGGACACGGCCCACGGCCAATAAGACACGGCTTATAACTACAAACTTTGGCATAATTTTGTAATTTTTCACGGGTTTTATGGCCTTGTTATTGATATGGAAGTCAAAACTTATTAAATACATATAACAGATCATCTCTTTAGCTGAAATTCAGCAGGTAAAAAACAAATTTTTTTATGAAAATTAAAACAAAAATACTGGACATACATAATTTCTCTAATTTCTTATTACATATTTGATAGCATTATTTAATTATTATGGAAATAACATTTTTGTTTTTTTATTTTGTAGGATTAAAAATGAGTAAGAAAGTTGAGCCTGCAGAGATGATTTCAACGGTGACAGAAGGGCCGGTGGAACTGGAGAACCAGTTCATCCTTCGGCTGCCTGCGGAGCCGGCCAAGGCCCTGCGGGAGGCGGTTAGAAGCGGCAGCAACAATCTGAAGGAGCGTCTGACCGTCAAGCTGGAGCCGGACATGCGGCACGGTGAGGTGCGATTCGACCACTGGTTGCTGCACGCTCGTCTTATGGACCTGCCCACCATCATGGAGTCGTTGAAGACCATAGACAACAAGAACTTCTACAAAACGGCCGACATCTGCCAGCTGCTGGTGTGCAGCACCGAGGAAGAACCGCCGCCCCCTCCTGAGGAAGAGGCGCCCAAGAAGAAAAAGGACCCCAACAAGGTGGACAAGAAGTACCTGTGGCCGCACGGAGTGACGCCGCCCATGAAGAACGTCCGGAAACGCAGATTCCGGAAAACCCTGAAGAAAAAGTACGTCGAGGCGCCTGAAATAGAGAAGGAGGTGAAGCGGCTGCTGCGAGTGGATAACGAGGCCGTCAATGTCAAGTGGGAGATCATCAGTGAGGACCAGTTGCTGGGCCCTCCAGAACCAGGGGTTGAGGTCGAGGACACGCCCCCCAAAGAGAAGGAAGGCAAGCGGAGCAAAAAGAGCCACAAGGAGGCCAACCTGGCCGAGCATGACATCTTCGGTGAGGCCGTGTCTGACTCAGACGCGGATGACGACTCCAACTCTGACGAGGATGACACCAAGGGCATTGACGTGCTTAACCTGGACGACGAGGAGAGCAGCCGGCTGATGATGTCTGCTGGGGAGGACAGTCTGGCGCCCAGTCAGGACACGGGCGGCGCCTCCACCTCCACCGGATTGGTCACGCAGTTCTCCAAGGAGATGTTCAGCAAGCCGGACAGTATGTCCCCCTCCTCGTCGCCCGTTCCGCTGGACGCCAAGGAGGGTCGTGGGGCGCGCGACCTCGAGTTGAGGGCGGCGCGGCTGCGTATAGACCTCGAGGAACTGCACGCGATGCGCGAGCAGCGCCAGCAGCAGCAAGAAATGGCCGGTGACAATGAAAACGTTGCCCTCAGGCAGAGGTTCAGCGAAATCTTTGACGAGCAGATTGCGGCCAAGGAGCGCGAGCTGCAGCAGGTGTTAGACAGTATGTGAGGACAGAGTCTTTTCTTTGGACCAAGAAAAACAAACATCTTTTGTAAAGTTTGTCTGTGAATAATTTAGATGCTATAATATTTCTGATTGTTCAGTAAATCATGTAATTTTTTTTAATTCAAATATAAAGATTTTTGATTTCAATAGCATTAAAATATCAATTTATAATTACAAAAGATACAAAAGAGTTGAATTTATGGATTGCTTGAATCTTAAATATTTAAAATTTAAAGAAATAAATAAACTCGAATGGGAAATTTAGCTCAACTGTTTTAATTAAGCATTTATTTTAATTGTGATCTTATTGATTAAGAGGATTTCAAAAGACAAATATGTCTTTGCACTCTTAAATTTCTTTTTGATTGTCATTCTAAAATATTTAAAAATTTATCCCTTCTTTTTCATTACTAATTTTATTTTTATTAGTGATTTTCCGAAGTAATTTTTTTTTTTTTTTAATTTATCAAAGACAAATGTTTCAATTGTCTGCGTGTTTGGAGAACAAAGCCGCATCCTTCTTCTATAAAGTGGTCTCATACTCCAAATCACATTTAATAAACGCAGACCCTGCAAGCTCTAAATTAAACAATTCGCAAAGCGACCGTTGCAGTGTCGTCTTAATGTGGTTACATCACCACGGCCGCTGTAAGAGAATCAATACACCAAGAGCGAAATTGAGCCTTGCTCGAAAGAATTTCAACTCCTGAAATTTCATAGGAAGATTCTTTATTTCATTGTTAACGTTCAAGGCTGGCTCTCGTACACTATCAGACCACGGAAAAGACCATATTAATTATAATTGATTATAATACTCATAAATTGGCATGAGAAATTAAATGCTGAACATTCAATTCAATGTCATTTGACATTGAAATGTTCTGAAATGCTTTTACATGATGTGTTAAAATTTAAAATTTTATGCGAGAATCAATATTAAATATTTTGCAGTATTTTTTTTATCAAATGCACAAAAATGGCATTGATGTGAAAATTAATTGGCTATCAAAATAATAATATTGAACAAGTTTTGAATATTAAATGTTTTAGTTCAAAACGGGAAACTGTAAGGAAGCTAAACTTGAAATTGTGATTATATTTCGTGACTATAAAAGAAACAGGCAGCGCACATTTTATATGGGTTTCGTAGGATAATTTTGCATTTTCCCTAAACTACCTGTATAAATATTTAATCGAATGGTGAGACCTAAATAATTTTATTAAGGAGATTGTGTTTGTATTCTCGGAGAGGAGAAAGGAAAAGTGTCACACGCACCAAATCGTATAATGCACGTTATAAAAAGCCGAGCTCTTTTTTTATCTTTCGGTGACCGGCTGCGGGTGTTTGTTTTGTGTGTGACCTCAAAAGTGACGCAATCGGTTCTCCAGCAGTGGAGGGAGGGGGCAGGGAGGGGACCGCACCAGACGCAGGTCGAGAGGAGAGGGACGACCGACCGGCTGCATACCGGAGCGAGCAACAAGTTGTCGTGTCTGTCTTGCAGTGCGTGCCTCTCGCTCTTTCTATCTGCAGTAGGAGAAGTCAATTCGTTTGATAATACTGTCACTCACTCGGGCAATTCAGTCTGGCTTTAAAGCACAGCGCGAGAGGGGTCGTAACGAGGAAGTCTTTTGGACACAAAACTGCTATTGTTTTCATTTTTCTATTTTTAATTAAAAAAAATGTAAGTTTTTTATTAGTTTTTTTTTATTGCTTAGCATGGCTTTAATATTTTACAAATCAAACAAAATATTGAGTTAGCTTAAATATTGATTGTGAAATTCAAGAAAATAAAATGATTGAAACGGGACAATTTTGGAGCTCTATTTGAAATCTAAGTAATATATTATCTAAAAGAAAATAAATTTATCTGTCTCTTTGAATATATTTAAACTTTAAGCGATTAAGGCTGCTCAGGTTCAGTGATTTAAAAAATTGATGGTTATATGTGGGCTATTTTTTTCTTCCGAAACAAAAGGGAATAAAAAAATGAAAGATTCCAACATTATTTAGATTCATATTTAATGTTGATATTATATTACTTATTTCTTTACTATAATAATAACTCTTTTTGATTACAATATAGATTATCATTTCCGTCCAAAAGTGATTTCTATAATAATTAGCAAAGCAAACAAAAGCCTTAGATGCATCTACTTGATGCACATCGGTAGGAAAAAGATAAGAACGACGCCAGTTAAGTTATGACTTGCGAGAAAGCGAGCACGTTTTATTTTCTCCGCACGAGACGACTGATAAGAACAATAAGGGGCAATAAGCAAACGAAGCACACTCATCTCCGAGCAAATTTAGAGTCGCGATAAGAGAACCAAAAGCAGTGTGGGAAAAGTGTGTGGCCACACACGGGCTTGATCCATCACAGCTCGGTCTTCTATCGTCATGTCGACGGCAGGACCCTGAACTGCAAGCTAGCGGAGCGGGCTGTGGCGGACGGCATGTGATAGACTGAATTGTTGTGTATATGAATTTGGTGTTGTTGCTGGTGCTGTGGAACTGCCACAGCAGTCAAACGCAAAACCGAACCCCGATCGGAACTAGTTAAAAATTTGTGAAAAAGGCGCAACACCTGGGCCGCGACCCGCAGCTGCCTGGCAATGTGTCCGAGTGGTTGCAAAACCTGCGGCGCAACACGGATTCGTCTGAAGTTGAGGACGAGTTGAGACACAAAGTGGAAAGTGCCGCGGCGGCCTCCGGGATCACGACAGGGGTTGCCGCCCCCAGGCTGAAGAGCCTTCCACCCTCCAAGCCAGAAATCGTCAACCCCAAGCCGGAAATTTCGCGCAAACCCAAGCTGAAGAAGAAGCCGTCGCTCAAAGAAGTCCATCCTCCGTCGGCGAAAATGGAGTGAGTTCTTAGAATTTGGTTCGGAAGCGAATCTCTTTAGCAGACCCCTGTCTTTGAGCTCCCGACCGGCTTATAGTTTTAATAGAGTGGCACCGACTGCGAATGTTTTTGCTTGAAAAGAGACGGGAGAGGATCAAATGACTTTGGCGTAGGATGCTGTGCATAATTAAAAAAATTTGTTTGTTAAGAAAGCCCACACATTAAGTTATTATTTAAAATATAGTTGCAAATTATATATAAAAATACTACTTAAATTTTATTTTGGGGACGCGGAAAATACAAATTCATATAGAGGAATATGTATTTATAGTTCGGCTTTTTACAATCTGTTAGATCGTGTACTGCATGCACGTATCTACTCATCTTTGATTCACGAGATTCCAGGCAATCAATACGGTTTTGTGAAAGGAAAATCCACTTTACAGGCAATTAAGTCCTTAGTTAATAACATTCAAGAGACAGTTTATAAGAAGAAATCACCCTTATATGCCTTATTTTTGGATGTAAGTAAAGCTTTTGACTCAATAGATAGGGCGTTTATTTTTAAGAAGTTAATAGAAAGCAAGAAGCTAACGTTCACGGAGTTAAATTATTTAGCTCACAACTTAGACTTAAATTTCTTGAGAATAGTAGATGGAGTAACAGTATCAAAACTTATTACACAATCAAATGGGGTAAGACAGGGGGGATGCACGTCCCCATTTCTGTTCAATTACTCTTTAGCTGATATAAATAATATTCTACGAGATTTGCCAAACGTGAAAGCCATATATTATGCAGATGATATTGTGTTAACCTCAGAAAAATTAAGTGACTTGAAAATTGCTTTAGCCAGAATGAAAGAATTTTTGTTAAAACGCAGTTTGAAACTTAACTTGGAAAAGTGCAAATTCATGAAATTTAGAAATAAGGGTCTAGGAAAATATGCATTAAGTGACCGCCTAGATTTAGGTGGAATTGAAATAGAGAGAGTTGCTGAGTTTACATATTTAGGAGTTACTTTTCAACCATCAGGAATCTCTTTTGGAAAGCACATTGAAAAAAGAACAAGAGCTGCATTGCTGGCCACTTATAATATACGAGAACTAAAACAATTATCCATTGAAACAGCACACAAGCTATTTGATCTAAAAATTTCCCCAATTGCGTCCTACGGCATTGAAGAAATATGGCCTTTCCTAACAAAGACTGATTTTGAAAATCTTGAAAAAGTCAAAACAAGATATTTAAAAAGAGTTTTAGGACTGTCCAAGTATATTAGATCTAGATTTGTGTATGAATTAGTTGACACTGATCTCTTTGTATCGGACTTACAGGTAAAATATTCTCTAACTGAAACTGAAGCATTCCAGAAATTTTGTGTGTCTAAATATTTAAACAAACTTGAGATATGTGATGAGTTCTACGAGACAGAAACTTTGAAGAATAAAAATTGGCAATGTGCAATGTTCAGTGATCGCCAAGTATTTACGAGATTTGCCTGTCACGGGTACCACTATTTATTTTGTAAGAATAAAAATTTTCATTCTCAAGCGACAATAGATTGTGAATGCAAGCACTGCGGTAAGAAATGTTCACAAATATCATATTCTTGAATGTAATGAACGAAAACTAAGCCTAAGAGAGGCTGCAAAAATCAAAATTAACTAATTTTGTACTTTGTAATAATTATCGAAACAAGCTTAATTGTAAAATTAATTTTAGGAAGACAAATTAGCTTTAGACACCCGTTGTACACCTAGTTGTGTTCAATAAATACTCTATCTATCTAATTTTATTTTATTATTTATATTAAATTTATAATATAAAATAGACATTAAAAATTACAGATTATCCCATTTTTCCTTAAAAATAATATTTTTTTATGTCGATCATTAGTTGTGATATGCCGGCCGATCAGTTATTTTACCCATTCACATAGAACAAAAATATAGGCCGCAAGGCGTGTCAAATTCAAAATGTAAAAGCAAACAATAATTGCTTCCTCCCCAGATGTCACAATCAGAGGGAACTATTCCTTACCCACGAGGGCTCGACCCAAACATGTCAGTTTGAAATGAACAGTAGGGGCTTCCCACAACTAACTTTTGACGATTAAATTAAGAGATTGCTCAATACTGTTTAAGTAGGGAGCACATTTCCCTGATGACTTACAAATTAAAATGGTGTCATTGAAAATTAAAAAGGTTATAATAATAAATATAATAATTATAATGCTAGTAGAATTTTTAATCGTAGTACTGTTTTTAAAAAGAAAAGAAAATCGAAATTAAAAATCACATCTCAAATTTTGTTCCGTTGATGTAGTCCAAAAGTCTGCAGACCTAACCCTCCCTAAAATCTCAAGCAAAGATTATTTCGGGCCACTCTGGTGAAAATGTAGGCCACGCACGTCTCTTCTTTTCCCACTCGCTTGCCATTCGCTCTTTATCTGCGTGGATCGAGAGTGAAGACGAGGAGGGAAAAGAGCGCGCGTGTTGATCGCGGCCCTCCACATGACGTCATGCGGCCCTTCCGCTGTTGCGTCAGCATCTCATGCACTGACACCACCCTCGGGCAGTTGCAGCAGTGCGTCGGACAAGGAGCACGGCGGCTGGAAGGCCAACCCCCTGGTCCAAGGCATCGAGCCGCCGCAGATCCGCCGCCAGGACTCGAGTGACGCACCCACGTCCTTCAGGACGCTGTGCGACGAGGCGCGCCGCGCCTCGCTTGACCTGCTCAAAGAGATGCCCTCCGACCTAAGCGCCGACCCTGAACCTGCCGCTGACGATGATGACGACGACGCTAAGGACGACGAGGAACCTGAAGAGCCAACAGTAGATGATGACCTTGACAAACTTACCGAACAGGCCCTTTCGCTTGTGGACGAGGCGCTGATCGAACACGCCGTCAACAAAAGGTTAGGGTCGAAAGTTTGCCAAGATTATTTTCATACAAAGGAATTTTGGCATGATTTTGGAAAATTTTACTGAGCAGTATTTTTTTAATATTTCTTATTATGATTCGAATCAACAGCGCTTTCATTAATTGTTAAATTCATTACTAGTTTTTCTCTAAATTTTACAGGCTGTAATTTATTGTCATTTTTTCCCTCCAGAATTTTGTGAGCAAAATTTTTTACCTACAGAGTTAATTGAAAAAAGCTAGAATTCCACCGTCTCTGAAATTTTTTATGGAATAATAGTAAAATATAATTGAATGAAAAGATAATCAGCAAAGTCATTGAACACTCAGGTGTACAAGCTACACTCGTTTCTCGAAAGTTCCAGAGATGCTTCTCTCAAGCTTTATTTATAATGCTTGCAATGTATGAGGTGATATTGTAGGCATTTTATTTTACAGACTTTACAAATACGATCCTCACTCGCTTCATAATTTGGAATTGATTATTATAAAAAATAATAATAATGTTAACTTTTTTAATTAAATTTCACTTCAACTTGCCAGTAAATTATTTAGTAAAATATGTTTTAATTAAAAATGACGATTTAAATATAATTAAAAAATTCACCCATCAATCAGGTTGAACGTGCCAAGAATGCGCAACAATTCTGTTGGCTCGGACCTCTCGGATGAGGTGTTTCTGTCGTGTAACAGCGACATGAACTGCATCTTTGACCACGACGGGGCTAACACCAACCCCGTGCCACCCCCTCGCCGGAAAAAGAAGTCTCCAGTGGAGGAAAATCCTGCAGAGAATATGGGGCAGATCGTGAAGCAAATCCAGATTTTGACCTCGAAAGCCATGTCGGAAGGAGAGGAGCCAAATTTCAAGAGGTCAGCCTCCCTGAAAAAGAAGCCCCCGGAGCCCATGACGGCCCCACCGTGCGACTTTGTGAGCGAGTTGCTGCCCTTCAAGAGCAAGGAGCAACTGATCAAAAAGCAAAACCGCGCTTCTGCTCCGCCACTCAGTACGGGGGCCATGCCTAAAAAATGTGCCCCGCCGTCTCCGAAAGAGCCCCCGCCGAGCATAGATGCCCCGAAGCAAAAACCACCCTCGCCCAATACGCAACCTCCCACGCCGTTGGAACGAAAATCATCCCTGAAAAAAGAGAACAAGCCGGAAGTGCACAAGCCGGTCTACTCGCAGCAGTTCTCCGTTCAGTTTGTGGAGAGAAAGACCTACTACCCTGAGATCACCAGAGACAGCGTTGTCCTGGTTCCCGCTGTATCCCAGGAGATGCGCGACCTGATCGCAGACGAGACCATGGCGGCCCAGGATGAGGAGGACGAGCAAAGTGAGGAGCAAATTTCGCTGGAGGAGAGTTTCCGCAGCAGAAAAGGGAGCAACGGGAGTGACATTGTTGCGTGGAAACAGGACCTGCGGAGTCGCAGCAACGCCGACGAAGAGGAAGAGACTTTCTTCTTGGCCAGATCCGCCTACCATCCGGAGGTACATTTTATGCAAAATAACCAAGCATTGTGTACATACTAACATTTAATTTTAAATTATTAAATCTGTCGCTTATTTAGTAATTGCTTTTTTTCTAGTATAAAAATTATCTCATTGCCCAAAAATCTTGTACTTTTTTACATTTTGTAAATACTTTGTATAAATAATTAATTTTCAATTATATTCAACTTATTACACAATCAAATGGGGTAAGACAGGGGGGATGCACGTCCCCATTTCTGTTCAATTACTCTTTAGCTGATATAAATAATATTCTACGAGATTTGCCAAACGTGATAGCCATATATTATGCAGATGATATTGTGTTAACCTCAGAAAAATTAAGTGACTTGAAAATTGCTTTAGCCAGAATGAAAGAATTTTTATTAAAACGAAGTTTGAAACTTAACTTGGAAAAGTGCAAATTCATGAAATTTAGAAATAAGGGTCTAGGAAAATATGCATTAAGTGACCGCCTAGATTTAGGTGGAATTGAAATAGAGAGAGTTGCTGAGTTTACATATTTAGGAGTTACTTTTCAACCATCAGGAATCTCTTTTGGAAAGCACATTGAAAAAAGAACAAGAGCTGCATTGCTGGCCACTTATAATATACGAGAACTAAAACAATTATCCATTGAAACAGCACACAAGCTATTTGATCTAAAAATTTCCCCAATTGCGTCCTACGGCATTGAAGAAATATGGCCTTTCCTAACAAAGACTGATTTTGAAAATCTTGAAAAAGTCAAAACAAGATATTTAAAAAGAGTTTTAGGACTGTCCAAGTATATTAGATCTAGATTTGTGTATGAATTAGTTGACACTGATCTCTTTGTATCGGACTTACAGGTAAAATATTCTCTAACTGAAACTGAAGCATTCCAGAAATTTTGTGTGTCTAAATATTTAAACAAACTTGAGATATGTGATGAGTTCTACGAGACAGAAACTTTGAAGAATAAAAATTGGCAATGTGCAATGTTCAGTGATCGCCAAGTATTTACGAGATTTGCCTGTCACGGGTACCACTATTTATTTTGTAAGAATAAAAATTTTCATTCTCAAGCGACAATAGATTGTGAATGCAAGCACTGCGGTAAGAAATGTTCACAATATCATATTCTTGAATGTAATGAACGAAAACTAAGCCTAAGAGAGGCTGCAAAAATCAGAATTAACTAATTTTTGTACTTTGTAATAATTACTGAAACAAGCTTAATTGTAAAATTAATTTTAGGAATACAAATTAGCTTTAGACACCCGTTGTACACCTAGTTGTGTTCAATAAATACTCTATCTATCTATCTAATTATAATTAGCTATTATATTTGCTCCTTCTTCTTCTTCTTTCATAGTAATTGGAAAACTTTCTGCATCCAGAAATCATTGCAGAGAATTTGGCTACATATATTCAAACTGTTCACACAAAAACTAAAATTTTAAACCAGATTAGATTTTTTGGAAAACAAAGTTTACATTTTTTTAGTTCAATTGGTATCATAAATTTTCATAGAGTTGCATATACTGAAATTTCTTAGTGGAGAAGCGAGTTTATTTAATTTAAGGATGAATTTTATCAGCGCACCTTACAAAGCAGGCATTTTATATCTTCTTTGTTCCAAATCCCTCTTTTCCTTTGTTCGCCGCTGAGTTTGATCTCGGCCGACGACACGACGCCCTTTTAAATCTTTTGCATTTAATTAATCGGTGCACAAGAGACAGTGAACCTCCACTTGAGTTAAATTCGAAATTACAACGATCATGAAACGTTTGAATTAAAGCAGAGTGCATTCTTCAAAAGTAATGAAACTCGTCATTATGTGATCGCAGTGCAACTCACGTTGGTCGGTATTGTTTGCGGTGACGCCGCTTTTCGTGTCACCAGACTCTGTGGCTGGCAAAAAATAGACGCGAAAAAACGACTCATCAACCAACCTGTTCCGCACGTCCCCTATTTGGTGGCGTCACCGAAACTGCACTCGGTTTTTCAGCGAATTACAAGAATACTCATTTGACTGCTGCGTTATCTAATCGCTCTGACATTTTAGCAGCTCGTTGCCTTCGATCACATTATCATTATTTGCTATTCGCCTCCAGTCTCTATCTCTATTGCTCTCGCCTACCTTAATTGCAAGTATTTCAATTTACTCGGTTTAATTAATTCAGAATTTAGCAATTTGCAATCAACGCTCAAGTTCAACTCACTCAGTCATTGTCTCGGCAGACTTCATGAGTTGGCGGCAATTGCCAGACAAAAACAATAACTCGCCGCTCCAGTGAGCGAAACAGCTACCTTTTCTGGAGTATGACACCGGCAGCTGTTTTAACTGCGTTTTAATTAATTCCATGGACGCCTAGCCCTGACAGAATTATTCACCAGGCGATTGCAATCCAATCAGCTTGTTCGGTTGAAACTGATAAACCCAAATATAGTATTATTTTTAATGATTTTATTTCAATTTAATTTAATTATTAAATTTATTACTTTACTTAGGGTAGAATACAACTATGTAATGGTCTTCATAAGACAATTGTTTGGTTTATTTTGATTTACCGCAAAAAAGTGTGGGACATCAAAATAATATTAAATAATAACGAAAGTTTGTCAAAAAAAAAAATTGCTCGCTCAGTTATGGATATTTTGAAAACAGATAGCATAAATATAGGGTTTCGAAAAGAACACCAAGGTTTTTTTTTTTTTTTGTTAAAATAATTCAACCTTGTGGTCCTCACTGAATTTTTTTTTCATATCGTTAAATATAATGCAGAAATTTTCATTTTCAAATTCGCCGGGAGTGCGTGAACCAAATCGCAGCCTCCCCTGCGCCGCGAGTTCCTCCAGCCGAGCCTGCGTGCGTGTTGATTGTGTCGCTCCGTTCGCTCTTTTTCCATTTCATAATTACAATCCAGCAGCAGAGCGTGGCAATCCCGAGCACCACTCGCTCGTTGCCAGACACTTCCGCGCTCACAATTCCGCCGACCGCGATGACGACTTGTCGCTTTTAGACTCTCCTTTTCCGTTTATTGCTCAGAAAAAAATTAACTTCAAAATGAAACTGAAACGGGATAGTGTGTTCGAGGACGATGGAGTGACCACCATCTCTGTGTTGCAGTGGCTCAGCTCGAGCGACAGCGAGGGTCGCGTCTACTTTTTCGCCGAAAACAGCAACGACTCCACCTGGAGCCTCCCGAAGACCCCCGCCGCCCCCAAGGGATCGCCACCCCTGCCAGGGAGCGCGTCGCCACCAAAGGTGAGTTCAAATATATATTATTTTAATTATTTTGCTTCATTTTTTACTTCTGTGTTGACATGAATTTCTTTAAACAATGAAATGCTTCCTGGCAGGATCATAAAAATAAATTTTTTTTGTAGTTCTCAATTTTAAATAAATACAGAATTCAGACCGGTAAGGTTTCTAGTGAGGGTAACCACATTTATTTGGCTTGGTTTTATTCTCATTAATTTTTTTATTCTCTTATTCTTTCAAAACAAGCCGACAAAAAAATATGAAAAAGGAAATGAACATTAGGAAAGAGTTGACAACCAGCTCTAGCAAACAATTTAATCAAACTGAAAAGCCCAATTTTTCAATAAAAGTGATTCCGTTCTTGCCAAGCTGGATAAAGGACAAAAATTATGTCACTCATTCTTTAATACATGCAATCTTAAACTGAACAACTTTTGAACCCAGATGGCAGGGAAATGAGACTATTTTATTGTTTCAAGTTTAACCATTCGTTTGGTTGAATTTTGAAGCAGACATTTAAAAATCTAAAGTTAGCGTTTGAGATAAGGCGATTCAGTTTTCAAATGCGGAAGTTTTTTTTTAATTCGTTGATTTATTTCCTGGTGATTTATATATTTATTTTCTAACGACGCCAGCTTTTCATTTAATCGTCGCACTAAACTACAAATTGCACTGCTGCTGCGGCAACAGGTGTTTTGCTTTGAATAGGCCACATGCTAACGGCGCCCTGCAGCAGCACATGCTATTTTTTAATAACTGCGCTAAACAATTCGCGCTGACTCGACCAATTCTTCATCTTGCAAAGAGCCAAGCAAAGCGATTTTAGAGTAAGCAAAAAAGGAAAAATCGCAAACAGTTTTTATATGGTGACAAAGAATATGGAATAAGGCAATGACAGACTATTAGAGTCGTACGAAGAGAGACATTTTTTTTATGTTTTTACAGCTTTTAATGAATTTTCATGTAATTATTATATATAAAAATTAAATATGAAATTAAGAAATAAAATATATTTCTTACAAAGAGAAAAATTCAATTGCATTTTAAAAAAATAATGGCAACTTTCAATTTTAATCGTCCAAGAAGTTTCATAACTTTGATCATTTTCATAGATTAAGGTGCTTCCGTTTTAAATTAGATACACCTTTGACTTCCAATTACAACACTTGTTGGTTTAAATAAGAACTTGATTTTTCTTAATAAAGGGGAAAGTGCAAGATCGTAATCAATAGCAGAAGAAAAAACAGCAGTGCGTAAAAACGCAATTAATATTTAAAACCAATCCTAGCGTGCACAAAATATGCACTCAAGAAACTTTCCACCACACTTTCAATCTCACTTTTTAACACTGAAAACGGTCTTTTTTCACTTTTTCAATCGCCAATATTGTGTGTCACTGCTCACAAGGGCCATAAAATAAAATTGCTCCGACCAAAACCAGCGATTTGAAATATCATAATAAAAGTTGGCGTGCGTCGCGGTCCATGATTTTGGTGCCTTTTGCTACACTTTCACTCTCTCTCGTTACAAAACTGCTGCTAATTGTATCAAAAAGAATAGCAAATCGAATGCTCCTGTACCACCTTGAGAGAGGATTCATTCAGATTCATTTACTTTTTTTATGGTTGCGCAAAGCTTCACAGGTTTGCGTTCCGTATGAGAGGTGGCCAAAAACACACGCACGCGTCCATTCACAATAATTCGGATGTTCCTTCCCTTCGCCCGGTTCATGCTTGGATAATTTAAACACGCCTATCGTCCTTGCATCCAATTTTTAATCGCTTTGAATGGGTAAAAATATTGCGACGTAATTAAATATATAAATTAATTTGCGTGATTCCGCAGCAATTTTGAAATAATTATAGAATAAATTTAGGTTGAGGTCTTTTGCTGAATTTGGTATGCTCGGCTGATTTTTATGACTATTAGTCTGGCCAGATTTGCAGATTGCGATTTTGAAACTTCTAAGAACTACTAAATAAGTTCAAATCTTAATTTATCATTGAATTTGAAAATGTGCAACAAGAAGAAAGCACGTGACCATGAAATTTAATATTCTATTATTTTCAGATCATTTAAGTGCGAAAATTTTAATTCCAATATTTGGCTAATAGAATTTCCCAAAACTTTTAAATTTGTACCTGCACTACTTAATTCCAGTTTTTTAATATTAATTGATATTTTTGCACACCATCAAAATATCAAGAAATCCGAATTAAATTATGCTTAAACGATTATTTCTCCCTAGTCTGTCTGATTGGGGGAGGATATTCATTGCATTGCAAAATACTTTAAGTCCACTTTTTTTAAACAATTTATCTGTTGAGTAATTATTAATTTTTTCAAATAATAGTTCCGGTCTGCCAAGATATTTCGCGCACACAGACATTAATGATTTTTTATTTAAAAAAAAGGTGGTTAAGTTGCTGCTTAAGTTCAATTTCAAAATCCAGGTATCCTAAATTTTTTTTGCCGTAACATTTAAAAAAAAATATTTTGCCACTCAAAATAATCTGATATTGTCGGATGTGCCCATGAAAAATGATATTTTTGCAGTTTAATGAAATTTTTAAATTTTAAACAACATTCTTAAAAATATATTTATTTATTTTATGCTCATAAATTATGTGTGAAATATTGGCACTCCAACGATTTCTTTGCCAAGTTTTGATGCTAAGAATACTCTATTTATTCTGCTCCAGACCTCCACTCCGCTGCCGAGGGTTGCGCCGCAGGGGGTGCCGCCGGTGTTCAAAAGACTGGAGCTGCAGTTACAACAGACCGCCGATGAGTCGTCGCCGACCGACGAAAACGACACGCCGGGGCTGTACCGGCCTCGAAAGAACATGGGCCCGTGTCTGCTGCCGCCACTGCCCAACTCCAGAACGGCCAAGTCGCAGTCCATGCACGTACCTGACATCAAGTAAGTGCAGTTTAACTGTTTCTCTCCGACTTGAACTTGTTGCCAGACAAATCAAGTTTTGCTGCGGCTGATCAATTATAGTAGTTTTTGTGGAAGTAACTGAACACTTGTCTTTTACAAACTTAAATTATACTTTGTCCGAATATGGCTCTAAAAAAAGATGTATAAATTTTGTAAAATATAGGATTAAATTTTTAAGGTCAGGCAAAATCTTTTTGGCCTGTGCCCTTTATTTTTGGTGCATAAGGCATCAACCAATTTTTATATTTTTTCTGGCTCAACTTTATTTGAAAAACATCATTTTTTTCAACATTAAAAGCAAAATATTTCTTTTTAAATAAATAGAGTCTATTTTAAAAATCTAATTTATCTCGTTTAATAAGATTTTTAACATTTATTTTCTGTTAAGGACACCGATGACTGATTGTTCAGTGGACACCTCAGGGCCGTGGGCTAGTCTTGAGAATACAGGAGTGGTAAAAATGTCGATTTCAAACCTAAATCCAAACAGTAAAAAATATTAATATTTACAGACAATTTTGAAAGAAGGTCTCGTCTCAAGGACCAAAGTGATGGAAAGCGGGAAGAAAGTGAAGAAAAACTGGGCCCAAGGTTGGGCACTGCTCACCGACGACTGCATGTACTTTTTCAAGGACGAAAAGAGTTTTAAACTGATGGTAAAATAGTTATTGGAGCAATATTTTTTCACTCTTTTTAAAACGTTACTTTTCAGAGGAATGATTCAATTGGTCATCCAGAGCTGTGCATCAGACTTCTGAACTCTACTTTCGGAGAGGCAGACAAAAGTATGAGCAGCAAGAAGAATGCATTTATCATTGGAAACAGCACAACACAGCTTCTGTGCCAAGAGGACCAAATCAGAGAACAGGACAGTTGGTTTAACAAAATTAGCGTTGCCAAAAAGAGCTTGGTAAGAACAAAATTGAAAAAAATCAATGTATATTTGAAAAAATCGTTAAAATATTTTAATCAAAATGTTCAATTAATGTGTTTTTTCAAAACTGCAGCCTGAAAATCACCTCAATACGGCGCCGAGAGTTCCTGTTATTAGCAGAGAAGCCAGTCCAAACCCTCCGGCAACCCAGAATCACCGAATGGGCTCGGCCTCTCCTGAAATCCACAAGAGCAACTCTCTGAATCGGTCAAAATCAGTGAAAAGTGAGATAATTTACCAAAAAGTATATAGCGAGACCAAAATTATTAATATTCCACAGTGAAAAAAGATGTTGCCGAGAGCAATGAAGACTTGACTTCGCAAGATAGCCAAAAGAATATCAGAGCTGGACTGAAAAAATTCTTCAAAAGAAGACCCACCATGGAAACGCTAGTCAAAAAGGGAATTTGGAAAGGTGAGTTTCATTTGTTGTCAAGCGTTCTTTTCCTCAACTATTTTTGATTAATCAGATGAACCTGCCTTTGGATCAACACTTAAAAAGCTCTGTGAGGACCGAAGTCCTGGTCCCAACCCCAAAATTCCAAAGTTTGTGTACGAGTGCATCAAAGCCATCGAAAAGAAACCCGAAAACCTGAAGACAGACGGAATCTACAGGGCGTCTGGAAACTTATCTCAGGTCCAAAAAATCAGACTGCAGGTACCTTCCGAGCAAAGTTTTTGTTTCCCTTAAATAAAAATTTATTTCCCTCAGGTGGACCAAAATAATTTGGAAATTTTAGATCAAGAGGAAGAAGTCCATGTACTCACTGGTGCCTTAAAATTATTCTTCAGAGAACTCAAAGAGCCCCTCATTCCATTTGACGCCTTTCAAAAGTCACTCTTTGCTAGCAGTAAGATTTAAGTTTAAACTTGAAAGATTGAATAATTTATGATATTGCAATTCAGGTGTCGGGGACAAATTAGAGAGATCAAGACTCTTTCGAGAAATAATCCAAAACCTGCCTAAAGAAAATCACGATACTCTGAAATTTTTGCTGGAACATTTGTTAAGGTATAATTAGTATAGTTTAAAATTATCAATGTACTGGAATTAATTTATAATTCTCAGGGTGGTCGCCAACCAAATATTCAACAGGATGGACATCGGAAACTTGTCCATCGTTTTTGGGCCAACGCTGATGTGGCCCGAGCAGGAGTCGCTCGACTGCATGGCCGTTGACTTGATGAGGCAAAACAACGTGATTGTCTGCCTTTTGCATGAGTTTGACTCCATATTCAATTAGAGCTGTGATCCTACCGTAAAAACTGTTGTCATCATTCGAGACAAAAGAGACTCTAGCCAAAAATTTTAGAAATGAATTTAAAAAAAAAGTGCTGTGTGAGAGTGTGGATGCCGAATCAATTTGTTGGGATGCATTAAAAATGTTAATCATTCATCATAAACTTGGTTCTAGTTGTGTACATAATTATATATTTGTATAGTTTTAAGCAATCGATTTATCATGTTGCAATTTTGCTCACAATAAATTTTATTGCAAATTATTATGAGATGTTAAAAGATCATTCCTGAAGTGTGAATTGCATGTAAGAAATCTTAAAGATAAAAATTGACATATGTGAAGGAGTCAATGCTACAATAAATAAGAACATAATAACGAACTTGGATTTTTATATTCACATCCATGCCGCATCCATATTATTTGAAAAATCTGCATATATTCAAATATTATGTAATGAGCCAGTTAATTTTTTCTTTAAAAAAATATATCAAAATAGTTAATAGCTTAAAATATTTCATCCTATCGCACATTATTGTAGATTTTTTTACCAAAATAATTAAAGTTGATCTCAACTCTCTAAATTCTTTGTATCAACATCAACCATTATAGTTATTATAATTTCAATTTTGTGAAAGTATAGGAATTTAATTATTATTAATTGAAATATCAAATTTCGGTGTTTGATTTCTGTTTTTAAAGCTTTAAGTTCACCCGCAAGGTTTCATTTATCCACGTTATAATCTTCACAAAAAAATCGTCATTTAGTTTCAATTAATTATCGATTGTAAGCGTTGACAGATGTGTGCAGTTGTTTAGTTATGCAACCCGCTAGGCAGTCATAGTGTGCAAATTGCGTACCTCACGCGCTAGTCTCAGTTTTTGATCCGTGTAAATGTAACAAGATATTATTATTATCTTTACTAAAAAACAATTGGCCTAGTAAAATTACGAAAATTATTCAAATTATTCATCATTTAGATAAGCCCCATCCATCAGACTATTTTATAGTAGCAACTGGATATGGTGGGTTAATTTTAAATTATTAAAAAAATATCCGCATATAACTATTCAAAATAACCGCTTTTCAAAGGGTGAAACTTATTTTTGCTGATTAAAAAAAATGTAAGAAGCCTTGCCGCTGGCACTGCCTGTGTCTTTTAAATTGCATAAAAGCGGAGGGAAATCCTTTCTTTGCTAGTGATTCACAATGGGAACAAAACACCGCCTGCTCCTAATGGTATTACTCGGTCATCGCCATCATATACACATAAAAATAATATAAATACATATGTGTATTTATTGATCGAAAAATATTATCTTTCAAACAATTTTTTTCTTACAGAAGTAAAAGACAAATTTTTTTATCACGAGAAAGTTTTTTCTTACAAATTTTTTAAACTTTTTCTACCTAAAAGTTTTTTTTTTAATTTTTCCCCAATAGAAACATTATGTTTTTTTTTCACAGAAATATTTGAAGTTCAGAAATACAGGAAAGATATTATAAGTGCGCTAGGGAGAGAGGACAAAGTTTGTAAGTCCCTGTGGTCAAATCTCGGTATCCGAATTAAAAAAAAAAGACTTTCCACCGGGCTTTTTCATATACACACCCATATGATGCTAATTAGCATGCAGAGAAGGCGGCTGCGCAAAGCCATGAACACAAAACACATGTATTGTGTCACATGACCCTCACTGTTTATTTTTATTTCCGCCGGCCGCTGTTGTTAAGGCTATAGTCACATCACAATTCTCGTCGGTATCACACCACCCTTTACTGTTAATATTTCGCCTTTGCTTTTTGATATTTCCGTCCGGCGGCTTTCTCTAATAATTTTTAGAAAGCGTGTTAGTTCCCCTTTGACCCTCTACTCTGTTCAGAGTTTGAAGACAGCTTTAGTATATTTTCGTGTTGCTTAATTCAAGAGGCCGGTCTTGTTTTCTCAAGAGAAACAATACATTATAACATGGTTTGTGTCAATTTGTGGATTAAAATTTTTCCAACCCTGAGTTTTGTTGCAGGTCTTTTGGATCGCAGTGGCGACGGTGGCGGTCGTTGTTCTCGCCACCAAATTCTACTACCAATCAACCATGGGAAAGTTTGATGATGACGTTTCCATGCGTGGGAAAACAGTCATTGTCACTGGCTCCAATACTGGTATAAGTTTTATTCATTTTCAATCAACGTTCCTTCGGGTGCTATTTTTTTATAATTTACTAAAAACTTAAAAAATAAACTAATTTATTTTGGGGGAAAATTTTTAATTTTCTCAAATTAAAAAAGTCAACTATTACAATTTCTTTTATTTCAAGGACAAAATTGTATGCTTATATTGCAAATGTATATGTATTTATTTTTAAAATATTTTTTAATTTTTTTTATTAACTACAAATAATAAAATGCAGTTCATATATCATGAATTTAAACTAATATGGATTAATTAGGAATCGGCAAAGCCACCGCCTTGGATTTGGCAAAAAGAGGAGCCCGGGTGATTCTGGCCTGCCGCGATTTGCAAAGAGCCAAAGAGGCAAAAGGTGAGACAAAAGCTTTCATTGCAATTCAAAATTAACTTTTAATTAATTGTTTTTTTTCCAGTTGAAATTTCGGAGAAAAGTGGGAATTCCAGCGTCATTGTGATGAAACTGGACTTGAGCACATTGGAGTCGGTGCGCGAATTTGTGCAGCAGTTTTTGGCCAAGGAGGACAGGCTTGACGTGCTGGTCAACAACGCGGCCGCCGTCGGCATGGCCTACAAACTGTCCAAGGACGGGATGCAGCAGGAGTTGCAGGTCAACCACTTTGGACCCTTCCTGCTCACCATCCTCTTAATTGGTTATTATTTGTGAATTTAAATTTTTACTATTCTACTTTTAATATAATTTGAAAAATTCAGACATTTTGAAAAAGTCGTCGCCCAGCAGGGTGGTCGTGGTCTCGTCGCTGGCGCACAAATTCGGATCAATCGACTTTGACAACCTGAACTGCGAGAGGTCCTACCCTGGTACCCGCAGGAACTACGCAAACGCCAAACTGGCCAACGTGCTTTTCGCCAACGAACTTGCCAGACGACTTGAGGGAACTGGCGAGTCAAATTTTAAAATTCTGAGATTAATTATCTCATTAAAAAATAATATTAATTTGACAGGCGTGACAGTGAATAGTGTGCACCCAGGCCTGGTGAACACTGAGATAGCCCGGAGAATGCCCAGTTTTTGGCACAAAATTTACAAAGCGTTTATCGGCTTCATCTTTAAGGTTGTCAAAATTTTCATTTTTAATTTTAATCCAAATTTGTATTCAGAGCGCGGAGGATGGAGCAAAAACAGTATGCTACCTGGCAGTTTCGGACAAAGTGCGCGACGTGACTGGAAAATATTTTGCCGATTGCAAGGTTCATATAAATCTATTGATTTTGGAGCAAAAATTGATAAATCTACTTTTATGAAAAAAAAGGTTGCGGAAATGTCTGAAGAAGCGAAAAACGAGGAGCTGGCGAAAACATTTTGGGTCAAGTGCGTCGAGTTAGTAAAATTGCAGCCAAATGAAATTTGTGGCATTTGAATCAAATACTTTTATTACCAAATTAAAATAAAATTTGAAAGCGCTGCAGGAAGTAATAAATTAATTATAAGCTTGAAAACCAAAAACTTTCTTGTATGATAATTTTTTATCTCAAAATTTATGCATAAAAAAACTGGCAATAACTTGTGTAGAATATTAAAAATAAAATCTTTAATGCATCAAGTGGAATGCATAAGTGTTTGTGTTTCTTTTAATCAAATATTTAAATAATAATAATAATTTTAAAAAAATGTTTTTTTTAATATCCATGGTTAAAGAAAAAAATTTATTTTTATAATAATCATTTTTGTCAATTGAAAGATTTAAAAAAAAAATTGTTTTGGATTGATTCCATAATAAAGTTTTACAGATTTACACATTATAAGATTTTGGATGAAAATTTTGTTTGAAGGTTATGAAGGGATTAACAATTAAAAAAAAATCCCTACCTTTGATGAACAGCAAATTGCAAGGACCTCGAGGTGTCTGCAGCATTAAAGCACCAATTCAAACTGGGTCGATTTAATTATGAGATTTTCGGCTAGAACGATGAAAATAATATAATAAATAAATTTTGTTCACATTATAAGTCTCAGAAAATGGAAGTAATAGTTGGGCAGACTACAATCCCTTCACTCTATAATAGCTTTCGCGGCTTTTTGCACGACTTTCGAAAAAAAATACTTTCTCGACGGATTTAGACATGGTTTTTTAATATAAGTTTCACTTTTTCCCGAGAAATCGGCGAGTCCGACCCCCGCCGAGTTATGGGCAAAAAGGTCCGTTTTTTGCCCATTCTCTCATAAGGGAGGTTTTTCCGCGCTAGCTCGGCGAGAAAATCACCTAGCGGGGCGTTCGGGGCACCCGAAGACGCGGAAAAATCCGGCGCGTCGGAAAAAATCGCGGCACACCCCCGATTTCGGCCTCCTTCGCCGACTTTCGGCCGAAAAACACGCTTTTTCGAGGTTTAAAATTCGTAGCGAAAAAACTGTACGTACGATCCTAACCAAAATTTGATACGGCCTAGACGATTCGGTCTTCTTTCGATTGCCGAAATAAAAAAAACTTCGGATTCGGCCACTTTTCGGCAAATTGCCGAAAAGTCGGCCGACTTAATTTTTCGGCCGTTTCGACGACGGATTCGGATTCCTCGGGTCCGAATTAGTCGGAGACGCGAGCCGATTCGCGATCCGTGACCGGCTTCGTGCCGAAAAAAATCGCCGAAAGTTCGGGCCGAATTCGAGGCGGTTCGGTCGCCGCCGAATAACTCCCGAACGCCGCGTCCCACGAAGACGCCGCGGGCACCGTCGGACGGAGCGCGAAATTTGGCGAATTTACGGGGGACGCGCTCGCCGATTCGGCCGTCCCTACCAATTTAATTCGCGTGCCGAAAAAGGGGCAAAAAACGCCCATTTTTCGGCTTCCGTCGGCCCTGGAAAGAAAACGGGGCAAATTCAGAAAGACATATTTGGGTTTTGGCCCCGAAATTCGGTCTTCTTTCGAAAAAAAATGTGAAAATCCATTTTCGGAGATATCATTTTCGGCAAATCGGCCGAAAGTTCGGCGACCTCGGAATTCGGCAATTTGAACGCCGGATTCGGTTAGATCGCGTCGGCTTAGGGTACCGACCAAATTTTCAACCCGAAATTCGCCATAGCCGACGAGCAATCGCCGGCCGAAGTCGGACGACGCCCGCGGTCGGCGCCCGATATCAAATCGACGGTTGGTGTCACGATGTTGTTCCGGGCACCGTTCGACGCGGAAAAATCGGGCGCAACTTTCCTGCGAGTTTCAGAATTTTTCTACGCACCCCGCGCCCGTGAGGCCGATTCGGCATAATTTCGCCCAAATGCCGACTTTTTTCCCACAAGTTACAAATTTCTGATTTCGACATATGTTACTTTTTTCGGGGTCCTTAGCATTTTGAGAGAGTTTTATAATTTTCCACCGTCCAGTTTTTCGGCAATTCGGCCGACGATTCGGCCGACTCGGAATTCTGCAATTTTTTCGACGGATTCGGGTTGCCCGCGTTGACATTGGTCTAGGATTAAATTTTCAGCCGATTATTCGCCATAGCCGACGCACGGCGGCCGATCAAAGTTTCGCCCATTTGATGTTTTTCGACGGTCGACGGCCATTAGCAAAAAAACTTGACGTTAGCCAGATATGCCGCTACCCCCACCGGATAGAGGACAAAATTCGGCGTCTTTCTAGGGTAGTCTCGGATTTTTTCTAATGGACCAATTATTTTTAAAGTTTTTTTGAAAATGGAATTTCGAAAAAACGGCCAAAAAACCACGTTTTCCGACGGTCGACGGCGCAAAGCAAAATAACTCGACCTTAGCCAGATTTGCCGCTAGCACCACCGGATAGAGAGTGAAATTCCGCGTCTTTCTAGGGTAGTCTCGGATTTTTCTAATCAACCAATTATTTTTAAAGATTTTTTGAATTAAGTTTTATTTCTCATTTTTGGCTCATATCCAATTCGCAGCACATATGCAGTGTAATTTCCTTCCCTCCCCGTGATCATCGGTAGCCCGGTCGGTTAGTGCGGCTCCGCTCTGTAGGACCCGCGTTCGCTCCCCAGTACTGGAACTTTTTGCAATAACTTTTTTTTCGCCACAAGCCCCGCCGATCCAAGTGAGTCTTTCGGCGCCACCCTAAAATGGGCAACCACGTTGTTTTTGCTACTTACAGCGTAGCTAATCTTTCCGTGCACGTTCCAGTGACCGGCCACGTTCGACGGAGGGGCACGTTCGTGTGGCCGGCCACGTTCCACAATCAAGCCACGATCCTCTCTCTGGGCACGTTCGACGGAGGGGCACGTTCGTGTGGCCGGCCACGTTCCACAATCCAGGCACGATCCTCTCTCCGCGCACGTTCGACGGACACGCACGTTCCAGTGGCCGGTCACGTTCCAAAATCAAGCCACGATCCTCTCTCCGGACACGTTTGACGGAGGGGCACGTTCGTGTGGCCGGCCACGTTCCACAATCATAGCTCGCTCCTCTCTCCGCGCACATTCGTCTGACACGCACGTTCCAGTGGCCTGCCACGTTCTACAATCATAGCTCGCTCCTCTCTCCGCGCACGTTCGACGGAGGGGCACGTTCGTGTGGCCGGCCACGTTCCGATATCAAACCACGCTCCTCTGTCCGGGCACGTTCGACGGACAAGCACGTTCCAGTGGCCGGCCACATTCCACAATCATAGCTCGCTCCTCTCTCCGCGCACGTTCGTCTGACACGCACGTTCCAGTGGCCGGCCACGTTCTACAATCATAGCTCGATCCTCTCTCCGCGCACGTTCGACAGAAACGCACGTTCCACGGTGGGTAAGTTTGAACTTTGCACGTTCCACGGTGCGTGGGCACGTTCCAATGTTGCACGTTCCACGGTGGGCACGTTCAAATATTGCACGTTCCACGGTGGGCACGTTAGAATTTGGTCACCGAACCGCTTTTAGTGAAATTTAGAAAAAATCGATTTTCGACGATTTTTTCAATCTTTGTTAGCCTATTACACACGTTTGCGCAAGCACCAGGACTGCGTTCAGGGTATTGACGGATACCTCGACATGATTTCCTTCGAGATTTCCGTAGAAAAGCGGCGGAGGGACAAAAGTTCACGATTTACAGCCCTCCGAAAGAGGCACTTTGGCGTCGGACGGACCTTACATCTAAGGCGGGCACGTTCAGACTTACCAAATTCCGCGGTGGGCACGTTCAGAATTAGCCCGTTTCACGGTGGGCACGTTCGATCTTTGTACAATACCACGTTCTGGGGGGGCACGTTCGGATGGGCGGCGTTCTAAAGAGGCACGTTACAAGGTCAACCCATGTTCCAAGGGGGCACGTTCCGAGGTAGCACGATTAAATAACCGAGACACTTAAAGACCCGCGCCGCATTAATATAATTAAACTATGGGAAAGAAAACTCTTTGTGGATAGGCACACCACCGAGGATAAGACCCGACCCCACTCTCTGGGTACGCGATACTGACCAGGCTTTCCCCTTGTATACAAGCATATTATGTTTTTACTTATGTAATTTGATTTCATTATTAGTTTTAGTTATGGGCCTGACGAAAAAGCCAGCGAATAACTGTCGAAGAGCCATTGTAAATAAATACAAGTATTACAATAAAACCCTAAAAACCGCTAAAAACAATCAATACCTACAAAAACAAAAACTGGAATGCAAACTCACTTCTCACTAAAGCAAATTACTTGCGATCGCTGACCACTGCAAGCGAGCACTGAGCAGCGCCAGCGGCACACAGAGCTCGATTTTGGACGAAAAAAATTCCTGAAAAATCCGAAATTTGACATCACAAACATGTTATTTGGAGGGGCGAGTGCAATTTCGCTTCGCTTTCCCTGTCTCCCACTCTCGTCAAGATCGAGGTTCGCTTGCATCAAAGTTCAAGGTCAAGATTCAGAGTTCAGAGTCAATGACAATTATAAGGAGTCGAAGGGAAAAATAATACCCCTCTCCCGGATGATCCCTGTTTTCCCCCCTCTTTATTGCACGATCGATGACGTGATTTCCAGCCAATCAAGGGAGAACATTCTTGAGAGCAATGACCTGCTGCAAATTCGTCAGTTTCGGCAGGGGTTACTTGAGTGCAATAAGTTGCATGACAAGTTGGTACTTGTCTTGGGCTGTGGGGGATAGACAGACACAACCAAATCGCAGGACTAGACGGTTTGCGCATTCGCATGTAGAGGTAAAGACTTCGTATTTCTGCACTTTTTTTTTAATTTTGGAGTTAATCATAAATTACCTTCATGCGACTTTTGACTATAATTATTTCGAAGTGATCGAGAATAATCAAATTGGAAAATTTCATCCTTCTAATCTCCTATTTCCTCTCGGATTTGAAAGGACGTTGACCTCTATTATAAGCTAATTCTACTTACAGTGGATTTTTTCGTCTTTCAACAAAAATAAGAGAAGTGCGACCAAAGTTTGGTCTACGGCAACAACAAAATGATAGAACCCGGGGACAATCAGTCAGAGGTATGTCTGCATTATTATAAATAAATAAATTTAAAAAAAAATTATATAGGAATTTTCTGTCCCTATAAATTATTCCTTATAAATTATTGTTTTGGTATTCCCAAAAAATATAATTATCACTACCATATAATTCTTGCTTTTTTGCTTATTTAATTTATTGACTCAATGTGTTTGCAGAAAAAGAGGGGCAGGGGACGAGGTCGTCCAGCAAAGGTGCAAAAACTGGACGAGGGAGGAAGTAGTGGTGACAGGAGCGAGCTGGATATGATGCGGGAGCGCAACATCATCGAGAAAAGCATCATGTTCAAAACCACAGGTCTGCTCGAATCCGCAGCCGCCTTCGAAGCAACCCTCAAGAGGAAACAGGAAAAAGTTAGACCAGGAAGAGACCCTTCCACCTTGGCGGGTAGGTCAACAAGGTCAAACCGAATTGCTGCCCAGCAGGACCAAGCAATCTTGCCTGCGGCTGACGCTTCAAAGGTCCAGGACAAGAAGGATAAGAGCTTGAAAGACTGTGTGGCGCCTTTTAGCAAACCTGAGGATGTCCCCATCTTCCTCGAAGTGGCCAAAGAAGTTCAAAAAGGTATAATAATTTCATTATATTATGTAATTAAAAAAAAAAAATCGTTTTTAGAAGAATCTCCTAAGAAATCTAGCGAACTCCAAAGCATGGAGTTTTCGACCATGAAGGAAAAACTGGAGGGACTGTGCAAAATTTCTGAGCTGATGTTGAACTACCAAGCGTCAAAGGTGACTGCTCTTGCCGTCCATAGATCTGTCAATCCTCTGCTGCTGACCAGCGGCACCAAGAGCGGCAGCGTCTGCATCTGGAAGGTAGAGGAGGATGACCCTGAAGTGGCCTCCTCTCAGGTCTTCGGCTTCGGCACTCACGTAGATCAGGTCAATCACCTCCTCTTCGGGGCTGACCACCCCAACTTCCTGTTCTCCAGCAGCCGAGATGGGACTGTCAAGTGTCTGGACCTCAACCGGGAGCAGTTCACTCTCTGCCACAAAAGTACTTAAAAAAAAATTAATAATAATTAATTATAATATCACATTTCCGCAGCTCTTGAAGAGGAGACTTGGCTGACCTGGCACGCCCAGGTAAAACCTTCTGTCCTGTTAGTTGCTTCTTCTGAAGGCTGCCTGCTCCGTCTGGACACACGTGAAGAAGCCGTGTCTAAATTCCAGTGCCACTACGGCTCCATCAACTCAGTGGATGTGGTTCGAGAAAACTGCGTTCTGACTGCTTCAGACGACGGAATCATGAGCATCTGGGACCTGCGCTGCATGAGCACCAGCAAATCTGTGGACAGTGGGATAGTCAAAGGGCGTCAGAGGGCCACGCCAATCACTGAAGCTGTGGAATCGGCCTTCTTTTCTCCGCAGGGTGGCAACCGCCTCCTCGCTTCCAGCAAGGACCACTTCTACGTCTACGACCATGCCCCAAACCTGGCGCCCTTCCAATCCTTCTCAGGCGTCATCCTGAACTCAGACACCAGGAAGAGCAATTTACCCATGGTAGAACTATACATTCATTTGTAAATAATTATAAATTTATTAAAACTCAATTTCCATAGGCCCATTGGCATCCTTCGAGGAGTGATGTGTTTGTGGCTGGTGGCTCCAGCGGTCCTGCTGCTGGAATCAACATCTTCAACGCAAAGGTTTCCTCAACTCCGACTGTGCTCCGTCAGGCAGACTATCTTATCAAAGATGGTTGCACTTCAAGTGTTTTGTTCCATCCAACTTGCTTTGTCCTAGTCTCTGCTGCTGCTTCAAAAATCCATGTCTTCAAGTGAAAAATTTATGAAAAAGAGTACTCCCTCTCTACTCATAATTTAATTTTTTCTTCTCAATAATCTTTCAAATTAATCTCAATTAATCTCACGGAATCTCACTTTGATTATCTTCTTTGCGTACATTTCAAAAGATTTTCAATGTATCCATTTTTTGGGTATGTATACATATAATATAGTTTTGTACTGTTTATTATTTTTGGCTTTATGGCAAAAATACCATGATTATTTTTCTAACTATATGAATTTGATAACTGAATATGAAACAACATACCTGAAATTAACTTCTGTGGTCGATGAGAAGGATTGCTATAAATAAAATTGAAATAATTATAACGAATTATAATATACAAAAAAAAAATATGCATTAAAATCTGAAGATTCTGTTGGTTCTATTTATTTTCGCGCCATCAAGTCATAGTTTTCAGAAGGAGCTACTTTCCGTGAGGCGAAAACTGCGTGTTGATTGGTTTATTAGAATAGTTATTCGATGCAACAACGGCTCTCGGCTACTCCTCTACGAAACCCTGCGAAGAGAACATCGACTGTCACTTTTTTGCTTTGGCGCTCTAAATCCGCCGAATCCGCCGCTCGGCGCTCGCAGCTGTCAACGTAAAAACACATGGTCGTCCACGAAAACCGGAAAATTTAATCCAAATCTCGTGCATCTTTCCAAAAACACTCAAAGTAGGTACCCTTTCACACACAACAAAAATTTTTGGCTCAATTTGAAAATTTTCCATCAAATAAATTGAAACAAATTAGATTTTCTAAAACATCCGATAAAACTGTTATGTAACACTTGACGACGCTGTATTATTGGTATTATTATTGTGTTATGTTACTCAGTGCTCCTCTCTTTTTGTGTGTTTTGAAATTTTTTAATTGTCAAATATTTGTATTTCAGGTTATTTTTACATCGCTGGCTTTCCCTGTTGCTGGAAAAAAAATGAGTCGTCGCAGTGGACGATTGAGTTTAAAGCACCTCAATCGCGAAGTTGAGGGTTCCACCAGTCTAAAGAAATTATCAACGCCAACAAAGAGGAAACAAGAACCACTCTTGGAGTTGGAAACTGTGGGCAGACGGAAATCACTCAACTATGACGACGAAATTGCATTCAAGCCTAGCGTCAAGCGACCACGGCTTTCGACTGGCTCGACCATTAAGAAGAAAACAATTTTGGGAATTTTGAGTTCTGATAACAGTGATGACAACAAAGAGTCACCCTTTAAAGAAAATGATTATCAATCCAACATAATCCCAGCAAGCACTAAAACCGAAACAGCCGTCAAGGCTGAGATCAAGGAGGAACCTGCTGAAGACGAGGCCGCTGAGGAATCGGAAATGACCGAAGTGGAACGGCTCCGCAGACAGAATATAGAGCAACGTATGAAAATGTTTGAGGAGCTGAACTTGGGGGAACTCAAGAAGGAAATAGAAACGTCTTTCACGGAGACCAAAGCAAGTTCGAGCAGAAGGTCGTCCATCTTCAGCTCAAAATCAAGCATTCCCTTCGGAGCCACAGAGGAAGTCGGCGCGTCTGCTAGGGTTGGAGGCCAAGAAGGAGGAGCTGCCTCCTGATTTTTTGAGGCCAAGTAGGACACGGGCCTCTGCAAATGGTCAAAGCGTCTTCCGATCTTACCAGCAGGACGACTGGGGTTCCGTTCCAAGAAACTCGACCCCGGTGCTGACCCTTGATGACGCTGTACATCACAACTTTGTCGACAAAGAGAATTCGGTGCTGCTGGAGGACATTTGCTGCAGCATGAAAGTAAAAAATATGCAGAAAAAGACAGGCATGAGGGAGGAAAATTTGTCATTGGAGGAATTCAAGAAAAAGATGAACTCCCTGACCCTGAAGGAGCACCACAAGACTAAGGTCGGTATTTTTTCATAATTTAAATATTTTAGAAAATTATTCATATTGTGCTGTGTATTGCAGGTGGTGCCCAGTCGGATATATTCCATGGCAGTGTGTCCCATGAGTTCAGGATTTGTGGTGGCCGCAGGTTGCAAATCGGGCGCCGTTGGTCTGTGGAAGATTGACCCCGAGGGCAGTGAGTGGGACAAGGCCAAACAAGTTTGTTTCGACTACCACTCAAAACCCACCAACTGCATAACCTTTGGAATGCAAGAGCCACACCTGATGTACACAACCAGCTACGATGGAACCTTCCGCAGGGGCGACCTGGAGAAGCAGACCTTCACCCTGCTGTATGAAACACCACCTAATCGAAAGGATAACCACACTTGTTGGCACGCTGAGATCGAACCTGGCGTATTTCTGCTCGGAGTGGGAGATGGAAGTGTTGCCAGGATTGACTCTAGGGAAGACCCTTCCACCGGCACAGAAACCTTCAGGTATTTTTTTTTTCTTTTAGAAACAAAAATGAATGAAATAAATTTTTTAGATGTCACGACCGCTCTTTGCGGACAATCAGTGTGCACCCTGAAACAGGCGTCCACTTTGCCACCACCTCTTCGTACAACAAGGAAGTGGCGATCTGGGACCTGCGGAAAACAACCAATAATAAATCCTTTAGTGGGAAACTGTCCAGCATTGAATTCACAAAGCCCCTCTCTTCAGCGTTTTTCTCTCCAGTCAAAGGCGACTCCCTGCTCACCACATGTGCTGATGACACGGTCTGCGTGTACAACTGCTGGGACCTGGAAAATCCAAAACTGCAGGCCAAAGTCTCACACAACAACCACACCGGCCGCTGGATCACCAACTTCAGGGCTGTCTGGCACCTGCAGCGAGATGACGTATGCATCATTGGCTCAATGGACCGACCCCAAAGGAAACTGGAGCTCTTTGAAGTGGGGCCCAAGATCAAGCCCCTGACCACCCTGAAAAACAACGAATACTTCACCACCATTGGGGCTGTGGCCATGTTCCACCCCTACCTACCAGCTGTTGCAGCAGGCAATGCGTCTGGTTATGTCCACGTCTTCATGTAGATTTGAAATAAGCTTTTTCACTCTTGTGTGTAACATATGAGTTTGCAATTGATTTTGAATAAGCAACAAATTTTTTTGAGAGAAGTCAAGCCATTAATTTTGATTTACAGATTTGAAAATGTATTACTTTAGAGAAATAAAATTCCAGGTTGTTAGGGAGACAAGTGGTTTATTATAAAACAAGAACTTCAAATGTTGCACCTTTAAATAATGATTGATCATTTTCAATTTAACAACAGGATATATTATTGATTTATCTTTTTGATGAGGCAAACTAATCTTTGCTACTAGTTTCACTCGAAAGCAGTGCGACGGATATCTTGCAAGTAAGCAGCTTTCGAGCCTCCAACAGGATTAAATAGAAATTCAACATTTGCTTTTTACACACAAAAATAGTTTTGCAAAGTATAAGAGCTTACATTTTATTTATGGTAATTTGCGTTTCTTGTATAATATAATATATAGAATCATTATTAATACTCATATGTATCTCGTAATATTAGATGTGTGTAATAATATTAAATTTTCATTCTTAAAGAGTTTGATATGACCTCAATTGTGGGTATTTTTATAGTAAAAATATGACACTTTTTATCAGTAAATTTGCACACTCACAAAGTTAGTCGAGTAGACAACAGACAGACAGCTGTGGTCGATCCAGAGTAAAATCCGTAATGAGAGACGAGTCTAATTCGTTTTGTTAGCACGCGCAAGGCTCAGCGATGCCATTATAAAAGTCGCTCACAGTCGCAAATTTGTCTTAGGAGAACAGTTTCTGTATTCAATTATTAATCTTATTAACTCTACAAACTCGCGGAAATGAGGAAAGAGAGATGGATAAGCGATTCTCCTGTCTAAAGCAAAAGTTGAATAATTTTGCCCTGAATGCAGCAGAGGTGGAGTGTCAACTTATTTCTATTTTATTCTTAACAGTGTTTGTGTATTTCTTAATTAATTCATTATCTATTAATGGATCACATATTTGAGGGACACATTTAACATTATTTGTTACACACGTTATTAATTGCTAGCAAAATTCTCGTCGGGGCGATCTGTGACATTTCCACCTAAAAATATTTATAAAGTTTATTTTCTTCCACTTTGTACTTGGTGAAATGCAACTAAAGCCAAGCCATTGTAACGGAGGCTTTCTCTTCAAGCCACACTCTTGCTTGCTTTCTTCCTCGTAACAAAAATAAAGATAACAACAAAAATAAGAAGCCAACCTCTACAGCCCCGAAATGCATCCAACAGTTTTTTGTTTTATAAAAGTCAGCAGCGCCATTTATTTTGTGAACTCCCTAGCTGAGTAGAAAAGGAACAGTTAGTTCAATACAAATGCTTGGCAGGAGGAGAGTCGATAAATGCTTCAGAGGCTTTTCAGAGGCCCTTCCCGCGCCACTGGCCGCCGCAGCACAATGGCGCTCTCGGCAGAAATGATGGGCATGTTCTTCTCGCTGTGGTAGTTGATCAGGTGACTAACACTTTCAAACATTTTGTCCTTGGTACGAACCTGACAAATCAAATTCGTAAATAAATAAACCCAAGGAAAACATGTGCACTCACCACTCCTTCTGGGTCCACCAGCAAAAGGTGCTTCTTCACACCACCCTGAAGGCCCGTCAAAACATACTGGCCAGGAGAACCTTGCGACTCGCGCACCAAAAAGTCTCCATCCTAAAACAAAGTAAGTTGAGAGGATTATAATTAAAAACAGATTAAATAAATTCTTTAAAAAAATTAAACTTCTTCAAAGTGAATAAAATTGGCTTACATTTCGGAGGATGCTCTCCGCCTCCTTCCTGCTGATGGGTCCATGAAACCAAGCTTCCCTTTCGAGCTGCTGCCTCTGCAGAGCAAGGCTTGTCGCACCAGCCGTCAGGGTTGTAGAAAATGGTTCTGCAAGAAGCCCTTTTTATAGGAAACGTCTCACTACTTTTGTTTCAATAAAAACTTACGCATGTCAAAAACGTCGTTTCCGTTGTCGAGTTTCTCCGTTGGCGGGGCGACGTCATGGTTGACGTACTCGTGCTCCCAGCTTTTTTTGCTCACTGGCGACAACTCGGAGTGCAGGTCGATCAGGTTGCTGCTGGTGCTGCCCCTTGTCTGGACAGGCTCGCTGGGGGCAGGCGGAGGAGGAGGGGGAGGGATACTGGGAGTGGCCTGCTGGGGCACCGAAGGTGCATGGTACTGGGGCAGCGGGGGCACGGGCGGGGGGCCAACGTCTGGGGGCACCTTGCCTGGCAGGTCGTTGTAGTACTCCAGGTCAGAGGTCACAGGAGACTCAAATTCAGCGCTCATAGGCTTTGGCTGACGAATTGACATTGGGGCAGTGGACCTGTCAAATTTGAAAAGAGGGGTGATTTTAACAAAATCTGGAAAAATATGTTGTAAAAGGATAAACTATAGGAGAAGGAGAAGTGAAATAATTAGGTTTCACGAATGATCCATCATGTATTTAATATATTTACGAAATACTAACCAATCATGCAAAATTCAATGGCAATCGCCACTTACAATCATGTGAAAATAAGCTGAATATGTCAAAAGCGGCCAAAAGTAATTACATTTTCTGCATTCAAATTAGAAAAATGTTTGATTTAATATTTTTGCTTAATAACTAACGAATTTTATTATGAAGATTAAGCAAGCTGAAAATCATTCAGATATATAATATTATATCCTAATTTTGCACCGAAAATTTTCAAAAACTCATCAAAGGATATTTTCAAGACATGTATTCCATAAATATAGTACGAGTTTACTTTATTTAGTGAATACTGTGATATTTGAAAAGATTTTGAAATTTAATTATTTTATCGCGAGAGACAGCTTTATAAAAACTAATAAACCAGTGATTGCCTCTGTCATAATTGTATCAATAAATTTAATATTAATTGCAATAACAACATCCCCGCGGTTTTGCTATACAGAAAATTTCACAAAATAAATTGCGAATTTTAAATAATAGAAAAGTAAATAGTGAAATAAAAATTGGTGTTCTTACAGTGGGGGCATAGCGATGGGCATCTTGGTGGCTGTGGGAGGGTTGGGTGTTCTCCTCAAATATTCCTTGAAGCGGATCTCAAAGGCCTGTCCGACGGTGGTGATGACGTCCTGAGCCATTCCACCGCCGCACTCCAGCACCATGCACGCCCGCCACTGGTTTGCGTCCTTGGCCACGTAGGCCATGAAATCAAGCGTGTCCTTGGAAGAAATTAAAATTTCAGTTGAAATTAGGATTTGAATTTGAATTGACGTACTGGGTCGCCACCAGAGGCAAAGGAAATGTTGGGCATGTCGTGTTGGGCGATCATCTGGCCTGTGTCCAGGACAGTCAGTTGTAAACCTTTGCTAGAAATGCTCAGGGTCACGTTAGCTCCCGCGTGGTTCATGTTCGGATGGTCTGCTAAGACGCGCCCCACCCGACGCTCCACCTGCCAAAAAAAATCACAAATTTTAGAGTGACAAAATCTCAAATGAAGTAGAAATTTTTAATTACAAACCTTTCTCTTTTTATCAACAGTCTTAAGGCCGGCAGCTTCACATACCCTGTTTATACATTCCCTGAGAGAAAAAAATTTTTCTTATTTCAAATAAAATTGAGATGGAAACTCACTTTGCAATCATAGACCTAGTTTCAAAATCTAGGCTCTTCATTGACGTTTTGACTTCTAGGCAGCCAACATACTGTGGAGCAGAAAATTCACTATTTCTGTTCAGTTGCAAGGTGAATTTACAAACCTTGACCAGGTAGCTGATTCCCTCCCTGGCAAGTTTGTGCTCCGAGTGGAGCCAGCCATTGTCGGGCCGGCTGACGAGGGCGCCCCGATGGGGCTCTGGGGGTGGTGGGGCGGCCATCGAGGGGCGTTGCAGCAAAAGCACCGTGCTGCCCGCAAATGCCCTCAACCCCTCTTGGTTGTGCGCCGCTAGTGGACAAGAGGCGCAGTGCGGAAACGCATGGCGCGCGCTGCACAACGAGGTTTCTGTGGTGGGCGCCGCCGCGGCCGGAGGACTCGTACGCCCGATCCGGAACTTGTGGTTTCGTTCGAGCGAGCGCGACCCGTTGCTTGACACCACCACCGTCCCACTGTTCACTGGGTAGACCCTACAATGAAAAAAATAGTATTTTTTTTTTAAAAATATAAAATAAATTAAGATTTGTTACAAGTGAGCCTTATAATAATAAAAATAATATTATATGATGAACAATAAAAATTGGTTGCAAGTTTTTGTTTCTAGGACTGTGTAGGACTGTTAAAGTAAGTTTAGTTTATTTTATTATCAATCATTTTTTGATCAGCATTATGTAATTTTGCTTTTTTTCTGACAATTTAGTTCCATACGCGTCATTTTTTTCCTTCAAATGTATATAATTTTTCATTTGTTTAAATACAAAATAAATAATAATCAAGATTTTAACATTCAAGATTAACAGCGTTTCAAAGCATCTCAGGAAAAAAAATAATAAAATAAACTCAGAAACTGAAAAAAAAAAAAAATGAAATGTATACCTGAAATTGGAGGTCCTCTCGAGGGAGCGCGACCTTCTAGCGGACTTCTTGCTATCGGGGATGGGGGCTGGGGGGCTGTGAGGGGGCAGGAAGACGTGCTGCTCACTGCTATTGCGTACGAGCAGCCTCTGGAGGGCGTGATCGGAGCGGCTGGTGGCGCCGTGCACCACCGACAGTCTTTGCAGACTGTTGTCCGACTTGGAGCGCTCGCGCAGCAACTTTGCGGCGCCCTTGTGGCGCCGCAGCAGCTGCAGAGCGCTGGCGACGCGCGACTTGGTCGCCGCCGGCAGACGCGTGTATCGCGGCGCCGCACTCGCGTCGCCGCCGCAAGATGCGCACTCGTCGTTTGCCGCCGCGGCGCGCTTCGGCTCTGAGCGCAGACCTCGCAAGCGCAATCCGATGGCGCTTTTCAGGCCGTGCAGACCACCTGTCCGCTGCGGACTGCCCAACGTCGACGCCGGCTCTGAGTGGCTCCTGCTACCGCTCTTTTTGATTGGCTCCTCACTTTCTGCAACATGCAAAAATTGCAAAATTTTTAGAAATTAATCAGATGAGAACATTTTACAAAATCCGATTTAAATCTGAATTTAATGATGGATTTTTCTAAATGATCTTGATTTTAAGATTAATTTTTGAAGAGTAATAATTTTTTGTCTTCGTTTATTTTGGGTTGGCAAGACTGCCTTGGTAAGGAAAACATCAGGGTCCCGGGAGCTGGCGACTAATTCAGGGTTTTCTCGAGTTTTAAGGTCATGGGTGCCCCTGAAGTGTGGCTGGAAGCGCCACAGGGGTTTGCGTCTTCTAAACCCACCATAAACTGTGCACTTCCGTCAGCCCACTCACTCGCAAATCAATTTCCCAACATCGGCCCAGGTCAGAAGGGGAACGAGGAGAGCCATGGAAATCGGAGAGAGGCGGCGAGGTCTCCAGGGTGTCCAACGGAACAAGAACAAAATTCCCAAAGTCAGGATGGACGCTCTCACATTCAGCTAAACCAACAGCAGCATGGGCGCAGGCAGGAAGTTTGGGTATCGCCGGCGCCGCATTGGCCTGAGCAGATGCAGGTGTCAAATCAAGGTCAGATATTCATGCAGCATGCTCAATGGAGGGGCGTTGCCCTACATCCAGCCCATCCAGGTATACCACCATTCATACAAACAGGACAGCCGGACGGTTTCGCTGAAGCAGGGGTGCCAACACAACAGTACTACGGTACCCAGAATCAAAGCAAGGATGAGACAATTCGGCAATTACTGCAGAGGCAATATGAACTTTGGGAAAAACTTGAGGAGGAGAGAACCCTTTTTAGGGATACGACGGCCAAACTACAGGAGCAAATGCAATGGCTGATGAAAAGAGTTATGATGATGGATAAGCCTCAATTTCCAAATTTTCCGCAGGGTCAGCATCATGCCCAAGGAGGCCCTTACGGTGGAGGCCCATACAATAGAGTACCTTATCGGAGAGAAGGAGGAACGATGCAAAACGGAGGACGTTATGGAGGGCAATATAGAGCCAACCGGCAGCGTGGCAGGCAGGGCTACTATCCACCACCAAATCCTCTAACACCCGCTGATGACACTCCATATGTGAATGAGTACATAGAAAACACAAGGGATGGAGGTAAACTCGACCTGGCCTTGAAAAATAAGGAATCTCTTGCTGTACCTGGCTCGAAAGTGAAGATTGTTGAGCATGAGGGAGTCAACATCGTTGAGGCTAAGGAGGAAATTAAGGTACATGCAATTGCTTCTGATCTATGGACTTCCAGTGGAGCGGCTAAAGATGTGACTGAAGTTGCTGGGAAACCAAACGCAATTCCTGGGAAAAGCAAAATTGGTGAAGTCATCCGACAAGAAGGAGGTCCTCTGGGCACAGTTTTTCATCTGGTCACAAAAATGAATTCCCCGGACAAGCTGGAACGTTCTCCGGAAACTTTTCTGAGGGACGTCAAGAAGGCCCAGCAGTGCTTGGCAAAAATCATCAAAGAGGAGGGCATTGAACAAATTGCTATGACGTACTTGAACAGTGGCCTGGATAGGCTGAATCGACTGTGGGTCATGAACTCGCTGTACACGGAATTGACCAAGCTTGATTGTGATGTGACGCTGCACTTCTATGGCAAGTACAACTCTCGTAGATGGCAGCAGTGCGGTCGGCTCTTCGACCCAGTTATCACCCTTCCAGAAGGGGAGTCAGAGGAAGCGAAGGACAGCGGCAACCAGACTGGAGGAGATTCTGTGGGACTGACTGATGATGCAGACCCTGGAGATGATACAAAAGGGCGAGAAGACAAGGTGGACAACAGTGTTGATGTTATTACGAAAAGTGGTCGGGTCTCCAAGCCTCCAAATCGTGATTTTTAACTATCCCTTGTCGAACCAGCAACGATGTGAGTTCAAATAACAATATAAAATTAGGTCTCTGGAACTGTGAAGGACTAAACAGGGCTTTTCAAATTACGGAACTAGAAATATTTACGAGATATGATATTCTGATCTTAACTGAAACATTTTTAAAGAAGCCTTTGCAAATACAAGGTTTTTATGCTAGACATATTCTAGCATCTCACAACAATGGAAGAGGGCGACCGATGAGGGGAATCTCTGTATATTTTAACTCAAAATTGGGGAAATTAGTAAATGTACAATATTTGGAGAATTTCTTAATTTTAAACTTCGAAGAGATATCGATTGCTGCCTGTTATTTGGATCCAAAAATGAGAGTGCATACTCTGACAGATGAATTACTCTCTATCACAAAATATATTTCAAATTGGGACAATTTTATCCTTGCTGGAGATTTCAATTGCAGGTTAGACATTGAAAATAGAAAAGCTGAAGCACTCTTAGATTTTACGGAAGAAAATAGTCTAACGCTAGTTAATGATTTTCCTTATCAAAGCACTTATAACTTTAAGAGAGGATCTAGTGTAATAGATTTAATATTTAAGGGACCTTCGATACATTCCCGCAACTTTAATATTGAACCGACAATCAGGAAACATAACATCCTATCAATAGACTTTGACTTCATTAGGAAACAGCAACTACAGGATGGTCTCAACTTACGGAGTCTTATAAAATTAGATGATTCAGTGCTGAAAGAATTGATTGATAACAAATATCAGTCTTTCCTCCTGCAGGAGTTAGAAGCAGGGAGTATAGAGGGATTTTATGGGAATATTCTTAATATGTTGCAAGAGGCGAATATACCGCGGAAACAAACGGAACGGGTGAGTCAACCTTGGTTTGACTCAGAATGTTACAATTTCAAAAACAAGTTGTTTGAATGGAGGGAGTGGTTGTCTTTCGCTGAAAGTTTGGGTATGAAAGAACAGATAAAACTATTTTTGCCTTTTTATACAGACTTGAAAAGGGATTATAAGAGATTGTGTGAATGGAAAAAGAATGAATATGTACGTAAAATGGAGGTGAATATCTTGAGAGAAGCAGAAGATAATAAATGTTATAAAATATTAAGCTTGACTAAAAAATTCTATAACTCAAATAACATAATGATGGAAGAGTGGGAGGATAACTTTAATCAAATTTTTAATGAGGGACGCTTGAATGAAAATAGTTCTTTAAATCTTCAAACGTTGCTTGATACATATCAATCAGATGTTCCTTTTATACCAATTATGCAAGAGGAAGTTACCTTAGCTATGAAAAGGATGAAAAATAAGAAAGCGCCGGGTCCGGATTGTATTAGAAACGAGAATTTGAAACTGATTTTAGCACACTTGCTTCCTGAGGTGACTCAATTTTTGAATTTATGTGTGCAAAAAGGCTGCTACCCAGAGGACTGGAGATATTCAACCTTAAAACTTTTATATAAAGGGAAGGGGGATTCGGAGGATACAAATTCATACAGGGGTATTTGCATTAGTTCTGCGTTTTATAACTTGTTGGATCGAGTCCTACATGCAAGAGTGTACGCCTCACTAATTGATGAAATACCGGAAAATCAGTACGGCTTTGTAAAGGGGAAATCAACCTTAAAGGCGGTGGAGCAATTGCTGACAGAAATTCAAAGCACTGTATATGGGGAGAAAAAGACCTCGCTTTATGCTGTTTTTCTAGATGTTAGAAAAGCATTCGATTCTGTAGACAGGAAATTTATCTTTCAAAAACTCATTAACAGTAAGAAACTATCCTTCATTGAGCTCAAGTTTTTAGCATTTAGTTTAGACGTAAATTATCTTAGAATTATTGACGGCGTTACCACCTCTAGATTAATAACTCAATCAAATGGTGTTCGGCAAGGAGGCTGTACTTCACCTTTCCTTTTTAATTTCTCGCTATCAGACATTAATACCGTTTTAACAGATTTGAAAAGTGTTAAAGCTATATATTACGCTGATGATATTGTGCTTACCTCTGAGAATTTGGAGGAGTTAAGAATAGCACTTGTTAGAATAAGAGATTTCCTTCTACTACGCAGTTTAAAACTCAATTTAAACAAATGTAAATTAATGAAATTTAGAAATGGGGGAAGAGGTAGATATGCGAAAACAGATCAGTTGTTTTTAGATGGAGCTGAAATTGAGCGAGTAGCTGAATTTACATATCTGGGTGTCATATTTCAATCATCAGGGATAGTATTTACCAAACATATTGAAAAAAGAGTTAGGGCTGCCTTATTCGCTACATATAATATTAAAGAACTGAATAATTTATCGACAGAAACTGCACTGAAATTGTTTGACTTAAAAGTTTCTCCTATAGCATCATATGGCATTGATATTATATGGCCACTCTTGTCAGGGGCAGATTTTGAAAAACTTGAGAGAGTTAAGACAAGGTACCTTAAACGGGTTCTGGGCCTCTCTAAATACAATAAATCCAGATTTACATATGAATTAGTGGATACTGATCTTTTTGTGTCTGACTTAAGAAATAAGTTTTCATTATCTGAAACGACTGCTTATAAAAAGTTCCAAGAAAATAAAACAATGAACAAACTATTAGGTATAAGAGATACTTTTTATGAGACTGAAACAATGAATAATCTCAACTGGCAACGTGCAATGTTTAAAGATCGATATGTTTTTACAAGATTTGCTTGCCACGGATATCATTATTTGTTTTGTGAAAATAAAAAGTTTCATTATGAAGCTATGGATGAATGCAAATGTGAACATTGTGGGGGGAAATGTGAGCAATACCATATAACTGAATGTCCCAATAAAAAGATGAGTCTGCGCGAAGCGGCCCATCAACGATATTAATGTGCTTGTATAGTTATAAGAACAGTCGTTTTAATAATATAGGAATAAATTAGCTACTTATATTTATATTAATATATTTATGTCATTTATGTAATCGCATATGTTGTACACCTAGTGTGTTTAATAAATACTCTAATCTAATCTTTATTTTTATAGCAATAAAAAAATCATAGGATAAAAAAATGTTTGGTAGGTGATTTTAGGATTTGGTTTGTGGTTAAATAAAACTGGTTTTAGATGAAAAGTGTCAAACTTTCATATAATTTTTCCAGTGA